CCTGGGAGGGGGGAGGGGCTTGCAGGAATATGTCCAGCAGTGGACATCATTCGGCTGAGATGGTGATGATGATGTAATATTAGTAACATTTACCCGCAGCTTCGCTTGCTTTAAACCGATCAATCAATTTTTGAATTAATGTTATTCTAAACTTTAATCATCTCGGCGTCAAATTTTATCGTTATCACAAACCTCACAAACTTTTAGGTTTATAATTGAATATACATACTGTACTACTTATAACAAAATCATTCTCTTTTATACCATTCCCATCACCGATGCACCTTTGTAGGTCACTTTTATCAACAACAAGTTTATCTGGCAATGATTTGCACTTAGGTTTTATAAAAGTAATTCTATTAGCGAACTGACGAGTCGTAACTGACTTCTATTGGTTTCTTAAATACTTAATGCCTCTCTAGTGGTGATTGTGTAATTGTCATCGAAATTGAGAGATGGCGTACTTAAATCTCACCATTTTTTTGCAAAAAGTGAGTTTTTGCAAGAAAAATTAAGTACACCTATGAAATGATTTTTCTTTTATTCATTCTAAAATTAAATATTCATTCTTAAATCTTCGTTTCCATGCGCTTCTGGCTAAATAATCCTAATATAACAGTTACACTGGTGTCTCTGATATTCCTAGACCACGACTCATAAATTATCTAGAACAACAAAAAAATACTGTAATAATATCGTTTAGACTGTTGTTTCTGAAATGCAATGCAAGTCAGCTCATTGACTTTCGCTTGTTCAAATAAGTTCTACTCCAAATTGTATTTTAATGCGACTTGTGGAATCGTACTCCTTAGATGCATATGCATATCTCAACTTTGGGGTAGAAACATTATAGCTGGAAGTATAGAACTAGAACCAATAAAAACACCACAAACGCCTAGACTACATTGATTTAATGAGGCTGCCTGCTGTTCAGGATACGTTCCGGGACTCTCATTCTTTAGTGTTTTACTCACACCCCAAAATTTGAAAAGAAATAGCTACATTTATATCGTTTAATTCACACGTTATATTAAGTCATGCAATTTTGTAGATTTTAATCTTTCTTTCAATTAACTTTCATCTGCATCGTTATTCTTTCTTTCAACTCAACTCAAAATATCTTTCTTTCATAAAAAAAAACAAAATTGTTTCTAAATCGTCTTTTATGTAGACTCTAAAGTCGTAGATCAAAACACACACAATAGCAACGATCTCTTTCTTAAAACAAGTTGCAGAATATTGTATGATAAAAGTTATATAAAATATAATATTCGGATGTTGTGGTAGAGTTGTCAAACTGGTTGTGAACTTAGAGGTATCGACCATGGCACACTTTATCGATGTAATGGAACCTCTTCGGCAACAACCAAATTCGGGCAACTATGTCAGAAGCCAAGTATCTTTAATCATTTAGGTCATAAGCTACTAGCTCATGCTTTTTGAATACATATCAACATCCTGATCCGAAATACAAAGATAATCCTTATTTTTTTACGGTTACATGCCCTAATGCCTATTATCATCGCTCATCATAAAATTTTGGATGGAAAGGACACCTTATTATTCAGAAGAAAATTTATTGACAAAATCAGAATTTACGTGAGCGAAGCTCTGTGTGTGGTGTGTAATAGTTAAGAATGAAAAGAAAAGCAGTTAAAACTAATGCTTAATCCTTCTAGTGGAGGTTATTAACTTCTTCAATTACTACTATTAATGATTTGTGTCTTTTTTTAATAGTTTTTTTTTGTTTGGTTTAAATCAGTCTCCAGAACTAAAAGTGGAATTCGAAATAGTATTTTTGTATCAGATAGATAATATACACACAGGAAGATTAAACGCATGTGAAACCACCAAATAAAACAGTGAAAGTAATATACCACTGATGACGGGATCCATTAACAATGTGTTTGTAAGTCCAGCAATTTATCAAAGTGATAATTGCGATAAATAATGTCATTATAAGCTATGCTGTTTTTTTCTTATAGGCCAGTAGAAATTCTCACGTAATCCGTACAGCACGGCCTTTTGCGCTAATGTTTTCACTTATGTAACAAGTACAATGACCCTAACCGTTTTAGTTAACTTTGTTTATATAGTTTTTATCACCTAATCTCACCTTGAAATTTACCGATGCTAGATTAGACGATGGTCTGTATGGAAATTAAAAATAAATCATAAAATAGATACCTAGCTATCTTACACCTACACATCCATACTAAATAAATGAGAATAGGTTAGTTGAGTCATCTGCTTTTGATAGCGTAGGTTGAAAGTAATAATTTAGACTAGTCTTTATATGGCTTTTTACGGGGGACAATGAAATATGCATTTAGGATAGCTGAAAAGTTTCCTGTTTACTTGTAAACTGAGCATTCAAAAGTCAAACCGAACCGAAAACAAACAGATAAACACGTGACAAGAATGTCACGTGTTTATCTGTTTCTATTAGAGTAGTTCTTTAAATTCAATAAATACTCGAGATGTTAAATGTTATATATTCTCTAGAAAGTATATACTGTCCGTGTGGTGACGGATTAAGAATATGGAGTGTCACCACCCCTATATATCCCGTGGGTGTCGTAAGAGCCGACTAAGGGAGCAAAGTATGCGTACTTGGGAGCAAAGTAGTACTGCGGTACAACAGCACTGCAAAAAGAAGGAAAGCTTGACACAAACCATATACCAACCCGTTTGGCCAGCGTGGTATAGTAGGCCAAAACCTCTTTTCTAATGATAGGCCTATGCCCAGCAGTGGACTAATAAAGGCTGTTGATGAAATATATACTTAAGCATACTCTATATAAAACCTTTGACTCAGAATTGATAGAGATTCATACTTCTCCGTTTACAAGTAGCAGAGACGTTATGCATGACGTAGGTTTTCCTAAGAGCTTCATAAGCTTCTAAAGGGCCATTGAAATCCCGTCAAAGCTCGCCAACTAGGTCGAGAGTTTGTTGAAATAACTAGCTGTTCTCAGCTTGTTAGAACTAGTTAATATTGTATTGATGATGTTGATTCTTATTCTGTTCTGTAGGAGTTAATGTGTGAGGGAGTGCTAATATTGGCACCCCTCCTTGAATATAATAAATGTTTAGATGAGAGCTACAACGATGTATTGATTCATCTATATAATCTTGTAGTCATGGGATATCTATTGCTGAAAAATAACGCGAAACCAGAAATGATGGAACTAGCTTAAAGCACTCAAACCAACTTTTATTACTGTTTTCTATTCTAATAACATACAATATAATTAACTATATAAATACATATATTTGACTATCAACTACGTCTATTCTTAAAACCTCAATTAACAATTTTGTACAACAGTTTCGCTTGGTCTGACATGGGCATAGACAAAAGGCATAGGTTACAAACCCCAACCGAACGCAGAGATATCCATGTTTCATTTGAAACCGATCTCTTTCAGCCTTATTTCTTAGGCATTCTACCACATCTTCCCTAACATTGCAAATAGTACAGTTAGGTGAAGAACTTTTTTTCATCGTATATGTGAAGCTTGTTAAAGGCATATGCTAAGAACGAAGCTTAGACTTCGTGAATTAAATTTAAATAAATAAATATATCTCATCACGTCTCCCACATTATAATATGCACTGATAACCACTTACCATGATGCATAATATAATGCATATGCATAAATAGCAAACACCATTACCATCAGAAACAGAAATTCTCTTCTATGAAACATGTTATCACTTATAAGTAGGTAGATAAACGACAAAGTTGTATTTGTAACCTATTGCACTCACGTTGTACTTAGCTCCAGTATTGACCATAAATTAATTTCTAATCTACACACAGCTAATCATAACTGTTTACTGGAACCTATTAATTCACGTTAGCAATTTCGTACCGAACTCCCCTACTTTAGACAAATGGTATTGTTTCTTAACAAGAGTATATTTTTCACCGGGTCTTAAGAAAACTTTAATCTTAAAAGTTGTGTTCGTTAACATCGCATCGTTCGAGTAAAACTTTGTGTATACGGACATATATAAATATGAAATGAACTCTTACGTTTACCTAAGAAGGAGACTTCACTATGCTATTTTTAAAAAGGCCATAAACGTTTTTGTGCAAGCGTGGGAATATTCCATTGCCAAAGGCGGAAAATTAAGCGATTAAATTAAACATGGTTTAGACACATTGTAGGTTGATATTAGCCTTTTTTTTTTAAATAAATGTTGTTCCAAAATGAAGGAACTTATTAATGTAAGAAGTGTATTCTGAAATTATTATTGAAATAAGCAATTATTTCAAATCAAAACCAAACAGTGCATAATGCTACTTTTGAAAGAATTAACATTAAAAGGCACCCTTTATGTACCAACATTGCTATTTTGAATATAAATTCGATTACGTTTTAGTGAAGAACAGTATTTTAAATAACCTTGACTCAGTCCCAAACAAGCATATAGCATCCATCGTTTAAGACATTTACGACACGTCTTAAAACGTATGCCGCCATTTCGTTTGACATAATACTTTTTTTATCTTAAAACATCGTGTACATAAAATAATTAACTCACACATCTCCAGTCAACCGTGACCGAATTATTCGTGTTTGTAAAGAAAATTTTGTAAACATTTTCATTCACAACTTTATTTTTACCAAGCACTAAAATATGGACTAGTTCGACGTTCACTGGCACACTTCCAAATAAAAGATCGTTAAAATCAAAGTTTGCTATAATAAAATTTAAACTTGTACCTCCCATGAGAGCCCTTCTAAATTCGCTACGTATGACCCAATTTACACTCGATCTTTGTTTATTTGATTCGAGGGCAAATGCTTATGATTTTAGTTTTCGCCAACATCGCTACATATAAAATTGCTAACACCATTATAACGTACATCTACATAGGCATACGGTGGTATCCAATACATATTTCTGACTGCTGACGTACAAAACACAACTTTCATAAAATCCATAAAATTCTAGATTATGGTATAGTATAGTAAAAGTGGAGCAAAATGAATGCCCGGGACTATTACAAAGTGTCGTACATCAACACGGGATCCGACCGGTCGAGCATCTCCTTGGAAAGCGACATCTTGGACAATGATACAGGGTTCAACGCCAACCAGTTCAAGTTGTACGATGACTTCACAACAGATTTGAGGTTTGCCTTCAATCCCCTCCGAAGAAACTTTCATAACCTCACCAGAACTGATGTGACGAGGAGACGTGGAGATCCGAATGATTCTGGTGTCGATATGGAGAATGGGAATCCTCTTGATGATGTGACGATGTCCAATAATAGTGATTTGGTAAGTCTTACAATAGTCAGAGGTGGAGTTATAATTTATATGTTAATAAAATCGTCATATTGTTAATATCATATAATAGACTTATTAGTTAAAGTATAGTTGTATGATGAAACGAAAATGATAAAAGCTGTTACCTAATGTAATTAAATAAAATAAAAACTGTTAAGCTAATAAAGTTTGTCTGCAACCTATGTATGTTTTGCAAAATTTTCCAAGCTTAACTATAATATATGTACTTCAAAATGAAATTTGAATTACTTCCAAACCCGTCAAATAATGTGCAATTGACGACTGTTCTAGAATTTCAAACATGAGAGTTTCAATTATTGTTATTATTACAAGACGTCTAACATCTAGGCCACTTTATGTCATTCCTATTTTGCACTTACCTAATTTATAAAGAGCCCGAAAAATCGGAACATATTTTTTTGTAAAATCTTATACCTGGTTTGCAAATCGAATTAGAAATCCATATAGTTTAAACTTTTAAAATATGACTCTTTTTAAACAAACTTGGCGGATAACAGCATTGAAGTGATTTAAAAAAAAAAGCATTAACATGAGTTTTTATTTATTACAAGTAAAAAAAAGTAGCAAAACAATTTACTGACGGAAAGCGAACTTCCATTACAATAGAAGAGTCGATACAATAGTATGATATGTCTTTAAATAAAACAGTCACTTGTACAATGTAATAATGCAACGTCGCCGTAGTTGGCGCCTCTGTTACAAACGACGGACGCTGCCGATATTGTTCGTCTCCGTTCCTATTACTCACTAGTTTGATACAATGAATTATGGAACAACTAGACGTGCACGCGACCATGCCTGTGTACTAGCATACAAAATGTTTAATAATCCTAAGGTCAGACACAATTTGAACTAAGGACAAAATAATGTTCCTTCATTTTAATTTACTCCGACGCAAAAAAGGGGCGTCATACGTCGTGACGTGATTGTGTTTCTATGTGTCTCTCTGTGGCGTAGTAACTCCTAAATGAATGGACCAATTATGATGAGGTTTTTCGTTTGAAAGCTGACGTGATCGAGATGGTTTTAGGTATAATTTGTGAAGATCATCAGCTCATTTCTTAGTTGATGAAGGGATTTCACTAAGTTCCAAAATTCCGATTGATACGAAATTTGATGTACTGTTACTTTCGTGGTATTTTTAGAAAGAAAAAAATAGCATTAAATAAAAACAAAAACATAATTCATTAGATTTAATGACGCACATTGTTCCATTCTACCACAACACTCGTCTGTAAAGTCACAGACATCCTTATTTAACGTACTAAATGATACCATATCGCATATCATACTGGTAAAGATTCTGAGGGAACGATTAAATAGGACAGTATGACGTAAGCTTTCGTAACACTTGAACACATTGTATCATGACTCATTATAATGTCATACGCATAAGCCCCATACGGGTGGTCATTATACTGTCATACGTAACACACAAACAAACAAATTGCATTCCATATTTGACCAGCTTAATTAAGACATATTGTATGTCAACTTATGTGATTAAAGTTACAAAGCTAACGTAAAATTCTGCCACAAAATCGGTCATTTTTCGTTTACTTTGAATTAAAAGGCATCACATTACGCATACGTACAGCCTCGTGGACTGCTAATTTAGTTAATTGTAACAATTATAATCAGGCTTTTATTAATATAACCACAATGTCGCCCTTACCTGGTCAGTCGTAATCAAGGCCGTTGCACGCAATGTGCCATGTAGTGCGCAAGCGTGTATGCCTTTTCCATACTCACCCAACGGCTATTATCACATATCTTTACATAAATATAACCTTAAGAAAGCGCCGCTTACGCTCCGACTGACTGACCTTGACCGAGAGTAAATGTTCTGCTTATTTTGGACATTAATTTTAAGTTGGTTGCTCCTACCTACTTAAATTGCCTAGACTGCTTTGTCGTTTAAACGGTATAATAATAAAATTGTTGTCTTGACTTGTTGCAGTTGGAGAACGAAGTTATGGTAGATCCTTGGAGCAGCATGGACTCTTCGAATTCACCGTTAACAGACTCCGGACCTTCGGCAAGTGAAGACTGTACACCCTCAACTTCAAGTGAAACTCCTCGCGGGCCTCTAGATGCATCTTCTCCTCTTTCGCCTGACTCGCGCCGCTTACCCGACCCAAAAGACACCAAATCTAAAATAGCCTCCAAACACATTCCCTCAAAAACCACAGACAAGGCGCGGTCACGAGATCTCACGCTTGAGTTAGAGACACTAGATTCCAGCTCCCTCCCTCGCCAGCCACACTTTCTTGACGAAGACTATCAACCGCCGTCCAAAACAAACATCGAATGCCGAATCCCAAAACCGCACTTCCTTGACCACTCTCCTTCGCCAGACGAATTTGATGAACGTAGTGATATCACTAACCCAAACTTCTTGGATGATGACGTTGATGGCGACGATAACCAAGCTCAGAAGAAAGCTGGAGCCCTACCCAAAAAACCACAAAAGACTCCATCTTCAACATATTCAACACCTGAAGATCGGCCACACCGAACAAGTTATCGAAGTACTTTACATTATGGATTAGAAAGTGCAGCTAGATCCAGTGAAAGAGATAAAAGAGCTTCCCAATTGTACAGAGGAACCTGGCCAGGAGAACGCGACGTCTGGACAGGTCATGACTCGTCTAGTGTTCGTAGTTTCTCTAGCAATGGCTCTGCAGAAGGCCCAAGACCTTCATCGAATTTAGAGAATAAAATGGAGTGCGTTTGCTCATTAATTTCGCTTCTTAGTTTATCACCAGAAAATAATGCTGACTTGAGTGGTCCTTTGCTAGAAATGAGTCGGTCGGTCGAAAGCTGTATTGCCATGAGGCAGGCCGGCTGTATTCCTTTACTAGTTCAGCTTATTCATTCTAAAGTTCCTAGGGAAACTCGGGATCGAGCCGCTAAGGCTTTACGTAACATAATTCACACACAGACTGACGATAAAGCAGGTAGGAGAGAAGCGAGAGTCTGGCGGTTGTTGGAACAAGTTAGAGAATACTGTTACGTTTTAGAAGACCTCGTGGAAATGAGAAAAGAAGGTAAAGATATAATCGAGGACGATGCTACCAAACATCCTAGTCAAAGCGTTGCTGCTTTGATGAAACTGTCCTTTGATGAAGAACATAGGCATGTGGTTTGTCAACTAGGAGGACTACAAGCATTAGCAGCTTTAGTCAGCGGTGATCAAGCGGCACACGGTAGCAGAACTGATGATAATACATGTTTGACTATGAGAAAGTACGCAGGAATGACGTTGACAAATTTAACCTTTGGTGATGGAAACAACAAATCTCTTCTGTGCTCTTTCAAAGACTTCATGTTAGCTCTAGTAGAGCAATTGGAATCACCTAATGATGATATGCGACAGGTACATAACAATATTTTATCTTAACTTACGATTATTAAGTTTGTTAACACTATGTTTGTCAAAACTTTTCAATGTTAGAAAATAAATACAATATGTAAATAAAAAATATGAAAACCTAGTGATATGCTGATTGATTATGTTTTTAATTTTTAAATACTACTGGTCATACATTGCCATTTACTGTTACAGGTAACGGCCGCAGTACTAAGAAATCTATCATGGAGAGCAGATACCAACAGCAAACAAGTACTAAGAGAGGTAGGCGCCGTCAAGGGTCTGACCAAAGCCGCTATGACGTGCCAGAAAGAAGCCACTCTCAAGTCAGTCTTATCGGCCCTCTGGAACCTAACAGCTCACTGTTCAATGAATAAAGTAGCCTTATGTTCCGTTGAGGGAGCCCTAGGATTTCTTGTAGACATGCTCAGTTATAATTCACCTACGAAAACATTGGCGATTGTGGAGAACGCTGGTGGCATTATGAGGAATGTGTCAAGTCACATCGCCGTCAGAGAAGATTACAGGCAAATTCTCCGCGAGAGAAATTGTTTAAGTGTCTTACTGCAGCACCTTAAATCTCCAAGTCTGACAGTGGTCAGTAACTCGTGTGGTACTCTATGGAATCTTTCAGCAAGATGTCCACAAGACCAACAATTTCTTTGGGACCACGGTGCGGTGCCAATGCTTAGGAGTCTCATCCACTCGAAGCATAAAATGATTGCGATGGGATCCAGCGCCGCCCTAAAGAATTTGCTCAACTCCAAGCCGGGCAAGACCCACATAATTTCTTTAGATACCACAGCTAGAAACATGAATTTACCAGCATTACCAACTTTGGTCGCTAGAAAGCAAAAAGCTTTGGAGCAAGAATTAGACCAAAATTTAGCCGAGACCTGTGACAATATTGAACCTGCAACATCTCCAACAACAAGTAATAGAGAAGAGAAAAACTTATTCACGGCTACTGAACGACAAATCGCAATGAATCTAGAAAGACACAGAATGACGTCAAGTTCGCCTCTTATGGGAACTTTAGCATCGCAAATATCATTAAGCCATAGCGCCCATTTAGCGAGCTATTTAAGCTGCAGTAACACACTTTTGAAAGGTGCATTGGTATCTAGATCTAACACAGGAAGTGCTGGGAATGTCAACCGATCTGAAAGCAAAGATTCTGTCACAAGTACTCATTCAGACTCTGTTTTTGAGCGAGCTATGCGTACCGGGAAAGTACCTGTCCCAACGCCGAGAAACAAAGACCTCGTGAAAAGTGAAAGTTCAAGTGAATCATTTAAAACGTCCTCCAAATCCAACAAGGATAGTAATTATCTTAGGTATCCAACTCAGCCACCAATACCTCCTCCGAGAAGTACAACAGAAATGCGAACTAATTATACAGAATCTGGTTTTGACGTCGACCAAGATTCTTGTGACCAACCTATCGACTACAGCAGAAAATATTCTGAGACTAAAACAAATGAGCCTGAAGTTGAGAAACCGAAGACTGACATAAAGAAATATTCAAAGAAGGAAAGTCCAAACACGTATGGTGATTACCAGGAGACGGATCTAGACCAGCCCACAGATTACTCTTTGCGCTACGCTGAACATCAATCCGAGACGGGTTCTGACATGTCAGAGCCAGCTGGTCCCTCTGTCCACGAAGACACAATTAAACACTTTGCTACTGAAGGAACACCGTATGAAACACCAGCAATCTTTTCAACAGCAACTTCCATGTCAGATCTCCGTGTGATCGGCAAAGACAGCAAGAAAACTCCTACCACTGTTAAACCTAATCCCGAAGCCATGACGCATTCTGATGAAAAAGACACATGTTCAATCGAGGATCCTCCTAGACATGACAACGATAGAGCAGCATCGACTCCTCAAAATGTATCTGCGTCGGAAACCATGCAGGAAAAACGAGGAGTATTTGACACGAAATTTAGTTCCGGGATGATAAGTCCTGAAAAACCGGTGAACTATTGTGATGAAGGAACACCTGGGTATTTCTCAAGGGTTAGTTCACTGAGTAGTCTGGGTGAACCGACTGAGGAGGATTGTCTGGCTAAGAGAAATGCTATGGCCACTATTAATGTGGAGCTTAGTCCTCAGGAACCAAACAGCGGCAACTCTGCTAAAGACAAAGAAGGTAATTACTGTGCAAATTCAATTTCTTGTCCTTTATTTTACAAACGGAGTTAAACATAAAGATGAGTTCATGATAAAACTATCACTAATTATCCCTTTTACTTCTCAGCTATCGCATGTAAACTCCGCCTCAGGTTTAGTGGTATGCACTAAATAAAATATATAGATACACAGTCCATTTACATTTTTTGCAAGTTGCTAATTTTCATAGACAGATTTCATCAACAGATGAATATTTTGTTTGCTACATTTTTAACATAAAGATTTATAATATTGTAATTCAGATAGATTCACTACTGGCATTGGGTAAGGTTAAATAATAGGGGTAAGTTTTCAATAGTTAAATAAATTATTGAACAGTTCTCATTAAAATAAATAACATAAAACTGTGTATTTTTATACTATATTCAAGTTCCTTACTATTTTTAAACCAACTTAATCAAATGTATTTGACAATACATTAGTATGACGTCATAAGTCATTATTTTTTAAATGAGTTATTTACAGAACATACATTTTGGACGTTTTATAAAGAGACAAAATTTTTAATTGACACTCATATCATATTGATATTTCGATGACTACTTTAGTGTGGGACTACTAAATTACGAAGGTAAAACAGAGTGGAAGCCAAACTGTTCTTTCAGTTAATGTGATTTACTTTAGAGCGAGTCCATTAATTACTAGCATTGGCGTGATTTATCCAATCATACACCGTTATACGGCTGCAGATCATGCTTAATTTAGTTTTACGCGAATACAAACACAAGGTCTCAATAAAGCGATCCATGTAATAGGTATTCATATCATTAATATTTTCTCCAGGTTCCAAAGCAGTGACATTTGCCACAGAACCCGTCGCCTTGCGTCCTGGTTCTGAAACGGCATCAGGCCGCGCCTCACCTCCCACACAACGGTTCGTAGAGGACACACCTCTAATGTTCTCGAGATCCAGCTCGCTCGGCTCACTCCCCGAATGCTCACAGCAAGACGACCAAGGGTCCGTGGTGTCTGAAGTTAGGTAAGTAATGTACCAAGAATCCAGTTTCTTTAAGATATATTAAGGAATTTCTATCTTTTTTACTGTTTACAAAGTTCTTCTTACTTCTTAATTATTAAACCTAATATTAAAAGTAAATTACTAAACATAAATAAGTAGCTTCACGACTAACTTAGTCAGTCTAACGTCTACTACTGACAGTTAATAATAATAATATTGTACCACTTGGTACCGTGCTGTACATGGTATGGTATCACATAGATATATATGAATGTTGTTCCAGCCGGCTAACATCAGGCTGTATCTCCCCGAGCGAGATCCCGGACTCTCCGGGCGCGAGCGTGCCGCTGTCGCCGCGCACCCGCGCCGCGCCGCCCCCCGACTCGCTCACCGCGCTCTCCACGCTCTCCACTCCGCCACAAGGTAACATCGAATTAGAATTATTCAATACCTTGCATAGCGTGCCAATAATTAAAACATCAGGATGAATACGAGGGGTGATCAATAAGTAATGATAATCAATATGAAACAGAACTATTAGATTAAAAAAAGTATTTTATTTTTCAACATAGTCTCCTTGCAAGTTAATACATTTAGTGTATCTTTTTTCTAAGCCCATGATTCCCTTAGAAAAAAATTCTTTGTCTTGACCCTCCCAAAATGCCTCTACTGCGGCCATCACTTCACTATTGTCGTCAAATTTGTTGCCCCGGAGGTGTTCTTTGAGCCGAGGAAAGAGGTAGAAGTCACTGGGAGCTAGATCTGGCGAATAGGGAGGGTGTTCGAGCAGTTCGAACCCCGTTTCTTCAATGGCAGCCATCGCAACTGCGGCTTTGTGAGCCGGGGCGTTGCCTTGGTGAAACAGCACTCCAGCGCGCAGTTTACCGCGTCTTTTTGACTTAATAGCTTCTCGCAATCTTCTTATTTGGCCTGCGTAGTAAGAGCCTGTTATAGTGGCCCCCTTTTCCAAATATTCCACCATAATAATTCCTTCTGCATCCCAGAAAACAGACGCCATAACCTTTCCCGCTGAACTTGACACTTTGAATTTCTTCGGCGTTGGTGAGGAAGCTCGTTTCCAAGTCATTGATTGTTGTTTGGTTTCGGGATCAAAGTGGTGGATCCAGGTCTCGTCCATGGTCACAAAACGCGACAAAAAAAATTCTTTATCGGCCTGGAACTTTTGAAGATTCACCCTCGAAATGTCGACTCGTTTCTTTTTTTGCTCGTCGGTTAACATTCTCGGTACCCAACGCGCAGAGACCTTTTTCATATGCATTTTGTTGACAATGATTTTTTTAACGCTGCCATAGGAGATCCCTGTGACCTCAGCTACATGCCTCACGGTCACCCTTCGATCGGCCAACACGATATCTTCCACTTTTTTTTTCCACTTTTTCGCGATGTTCATCTTCAGTGGAGGTTCTGCCCAGCTTAAATTCCTTTGCCCAGCGTGCGACTGTGGAATATGGAGGAGCAGACTCCCCCAATGTTTCCTCTAAGTCGCTGTGTATGTCTTTGGTAGACATTTTTTTCAGGCAGAGGTACTTGATGACAGCTCTTATTTCATTTTTCTCCATTTTGATGTTTTCTCTTCGACAGTTCGTATTCAAATGAATGTATCTCCCGGTAATGGTGTCCTATTTATACATTTTTTTGAAGCTGAAGTAGTGGATATATAAGCAAGCAGAAAAAAAAAAATTGGGTTTTTGTGCGTTCTAGAAATACTCGATTATCATTACTTATTGATCACCCCTCGTTCGTGTTCATAATTTGCCACGTTTAAGGGTGATATTTCTCTTTAAAGTTGAATTAAATCAAACTTGAAATATACCCCATCGTAAAAAAATAATTTTCCAAATCAGTTTATAATGTGACGGAGTTCTGAGGTGACAAACATAAAAAATAGAACAAAATCGAGAACTTCCTCTATTTTTAGAAATTAGGTTAAATTAACGTTAATAATAAGAATAGCGTTATATGGCCTTCTCGCTTCTAGTTTTGACTCCTAGAGATTTAAGTAATAAAAAATATCGTTTCTTTTCAGAGCGTGCGTGCGAAGGTTCAGTGTTCGAAGAACGTGTGTCCCGGTTCATGGTGGAACATACTCCGGCTCAGTTCTCCACCGCCACCAGTCTGAGCAGTCTCACCATTGACGACGAGCCCAAGTTACCGAAGGTTCGTACGATAAAAATACATTTGATCTTACTAAAGATGATGATTATGGGATATGTTACGTTTATACATAACACACTAGTAAATGATAGGCATATATGACCTTCAGTTCATATGTAAACATTACCAATAAAAACAATCTGTAATTGAATTGCGGGTACGGAGGAATGTGAAATTCAACTATAGTTGAATATAACTTCTACATTTCCATAACGAATTTCAAATTATCATTCGCGTTGAGAAAATAGTGACGCATCGACCGAGCCTCACATCCTGACCAATCAGAACGGTTCGGTTCCAAGGAATTATCGCTTGGAATCTGATTGGTCAGGGTGCGGGACCATAAAAATCTTGTGACTAACACAAAATCAGTATGTATGTTTACCTGTCGTGGTACGGTAAGTCGGGCAGTATTATGTTATATGTTTTAAATAGGTTATCGAAAATAATATCCAAAATTCAATTACTAAACGATCTTTCATAAACAGAAGGGAACAGTACAGTAACTATTTCTCCTCTACTTGTTAACCGACTTTACGATTTTTGCTATTAAAAATAAGATTTCATACTTTTATTTTGGTTTGTTCACAGCAATCGCTTAAACTATTATCAAAAGTGTCGGACCAAGACGAGAGCAACGATTCGTCGAACAGCAGATCTGAAGATGCCTCAGAGAATAGAGACATGAACCAATCGTTGCCCTTGAGAAGTCTCCTACCCAACGAATTTATGAAAGGTAATTTAATTATTATTGGCATTGGCAATTAACAATACGCTCTAGACAATTTCCTTACCTAGTTTTATTCAGTAGTTTTATGAAAATTTTTAGGATAAAATAATTTATTCATTCTTAACTTGTACGTATCCATACTAATATTATAAATGCGAAAATGTGTCTGTCTGTTTGTTACCTCTCCAGGCCTAAACCGCTGAACTTATTTAGATAAAATTTGGTATAGAGATAGTTCGAATCCCGGGAAAGGACATAGGATAGTTAAAAACAGAAATAATTGTCGGATAAAAACGATGACTTTGTTATAACTGTGAAAATGGTATTGTTGTTACTGTTAAATTAGGTATAGAGATAGTATGATACTTGAGGAAGGGCATAGACTACTTTTTACCGAGAAAATCGAAATACCATAGGATGGATAAAAATGTTTCAGACAGACCGTAGTTTAAGGTGCATTTCAGTTTTGAGAATATTACATATTCTACTCATTATTCTTTTGTGCTTATTAATAGAGGTAGATAGAAACAAATAGTCGGTTACACATTTGATTGTACATGACAAACATGTGTAATTCGTTGTAAATATGATCAAAGTAATCAACAGACATTGCTAGTACTATCCTACACAAAAATTAAACCGGGCAAATCTTTGTATGTAGTCATAATTCAAAAGTTGTTGTTAGTACTGTTGCAAAATGCTCTGTAATTAAACCCAAGGCCTTGGGTGTAAACGCTTTCGCAGATACTAAACTGTACAGGCTGCACGCGGTAATTAACGCGATCAATGAGTATTACACACTTTTGAATTTCCAAACGTTCAGATTGAATATTAATTCACGTAACAATGTAACGCGAAAGTTCAAAAGTTAGTAAAGAGACTACACCCTCGACCTCTCCAATATCGAATGTTATTCAGAATAGAACAGGGTAATTAAAGTTAATGTGATGATTCTTATGTTTAAGTTTTATTTTTTATTTTTTTGAATTTCTTTTTGTTTTGTTTGTGTCTTTTTTTATTGTATTGCTTATTTAACTATGACAGAGTTCTTTATATTATGTGCGGAAGACACTGTCTCCTGCAACACAGTTTCAACTAGCGCAGGAGCCATTCTCAATCATATGTGTACCAACTTAAATGTAAATAAATAATTATTATTATTATTTTCATTGTTCTGCGTAGTTCTTCTTCAAAGAGAAGGAAAACGTGACACAAACTCTATACCAAACTGTGGTAGGCACAAACCTCCTTTCTAAGGAGAGGTCTATGTCCAGCAGTGGACTATTAAAGGCTGTTGATGATGATGATAATTTTTATTACAGGTAGCCAAACCCCAGGCGAAGTGTGCAAAGTGTACTTTACGGAAGACACTCCCGCCATCTTGTCCAAAGCTGGTAGCAACTCCAACCTGTCTGTGTTGTCCATCGACTCGACGCCACTCCGGCCGTCGGACACCCTCGATCCTCACGACACCTCCGACAGCTCCAATCTCAGTGATGCTGGGGACCTCCTAGAGGAATGCATACAAAAAGGCATTGCTAAGGTCAGTAGTCTAACTAACTAACTGACTAACATTAGTATCTTTTGTTAACGAGCTGAAATTGAAAGAGTAAGGCTTCTATCAGAATTAACAAAAGTTTTCTTATGATTTTTGTGACACACTTGAGCGGTTAGTTTGGACATAGCGAAGGCCTTTGACCGGGTCTGGCATAAGGAGCTTCTCTCGAAGCTCCCTTCCTGTGGGCTACCCGAGAAATTGTGTAATAGGGAACAGCTTCCTTGCGGACAGAAGCATTAAGGTCGTTGTCGACGGTGCATGCTCCGACTTGAAATTCGTAAATGCTGGTGTCCCACAAGGCTGTGTGCTTTTCGAGCCAATTTTTGTCCCGCACAACCAATCTGTGGAACGGGTTATCATCTGCGGTATTTCCGGACCGATACGACCTTCAAACCTTCAAGAAAGAAAGTACTCCTTCCTAAAAGGCCGGCAATACGTTTGTGACTTCTGAGTTGTAGACATTCATATGCGGCGATGGTCACTTTCCATCAGGTGACCCGTCTGCTAGTCTGCCCCCTCTAACGTAAAAAAAAAGAAGACAAAACTTAATCGTATTTGTGTGTTATTGCTATACAGAGGTGTAATCTTATATTGATATGAACAATTGTTTACCAGGTTGTCAAGAACAAAGGCCCAGCATCAGATATATCCTCCATCAATCCGTACAGAGATGAACTATACGTAAGTTTTTTATTATTGATACAGCACTTGTGTACATAGAGAGAAAACACCGACTTGCTTCTGTCCTTAGTACTTATATACGTCAACGTTAAAGAAAGTTTGTTTGTTAAATAAGTAAACTTATTGTTCCAGCGATCGCTACCGCCCTATCTACGTTCGTCCACGGAAACTGTACGAATGTCCCACGAGTACGCGAGGAATGTTCGTGACAGGTGAGTACATACCATTCAAAATATTTGACTGTCTATGAAGGTTACCATCTATTGTGCTGTGGAATAGACGGTAACTCTCTGGGACTGTCACTTCATCGAGGTTTAAGTGTGCTCAGAATCGAACCGACTAAAACTACACCGTATGCCATACTTATTTACACAAAATAGGAGGGACTCAATTCTCTCCTAGTGACCGAGTGTATGTACCTCCTGAAGCCGTCCGCCGATTAAATTTGGTTTGCATTCCGCCTCCAAACCCACGGGGGAGTGTCGGCCAACGCCTCCGTTAACACTTTCGGTAGCTGCGCATGGCTCCCGCAGCGGTGGACCGTGTAGTGCTATTGATCGGAGAACCCCCATTTTCAGTCGCCTGTAGGACTGTAGATTGGGCAAAAATCGCTGAACATCGCTGACCAATTTTTGAAGTGAAAACTTTTTTAGGCGCTATGGGCATTTTTGAACAATAAACAAAATAATGTATTTTTTGAGATGGAAAAAAAATCATCGAACTCGCGACACTGTTGTTACCGTTACCGACACCTCTGTATATAAGTATCTACATATATTACGTTTATAGGAGAGTCTAGTTTGGGTGGAAATACATTGATAATATAACTATATATAATAAAAGCATAAATTGTATATATACGTACAACATAATATGTATTCGTCAGAACTTTCTATATCAAAAAAAATGATATTATCAAAAAGTTTTAAATTTTCAAGTTTTCACTTCTGCGGGTTCTACCGGTACCGGCGGTACTCCTGGAGTGCCATTGTTTTTTTTTTTTTATTAAAATGAGTAAAGATAATAAAATGAAGTCGGTAGCGACAGGTTCGAACGGTATAGTATAGTGTGGTGGTGTGTCACGTTCCAGCCGCTCGCGCAGCCCCCCGCCGCTGCCGCCCAAGCTGGCGCACGGCGCCGCGCCCCCGCGCCCCCCGGACCCGCGCCACGGTCAGTACCCGCCACCCTACATCCCCCCGCCTAGCCAGCGTGATATAGTACGCCATAGCCTCCTTTCTGAGGAGAGGCTGTTGATGAGATGTGATATATTACGTTACCCTCAAACTTGAACTTGTGTCATCCGTCCATTTCTGTTTCGATTCATTTTTATTTCAATCTTTAATCGGCTTACTCAGATTTAATGTTTGTTTAAAATATTAATATTTAATAGTGTGACTGTTGTGGGTTAAAACCCCACATGGGACGACACTTTGTGTGATCCACAAATTGTTGTCTTGAGTCTGAGTGTTCTTTGTGCCCGTTTCATGTGTTTGTAAAGTCCCCCGCGACACAGGAATGTATTCCTAATACGGGAGTTGCCTTATAAAAAAATGTTTAAAGAGTTTCAAGTTCTAAATTGAAAATTATTATGAAATAACTCTGATTTGTTTCTTATAACCAATATACAAGACTCACAGCTTTGATCTTGAAAGAAATGTACGTAATCATTATTGAAATAATAATTTATATATTTTTAATTACCTTAAAAAAGAATCAAACACTTTCTGTATTACGTGAAACATTTTTTTATAAAAATTTAAAATAATTAATTACATATTTTTTCGTAGGTCGAAAATACGAATGCCGACTACCAGGTAAATCACAAGCCCGAGAGCGACCAAAGCCTCCAGCGGCCGCCAACCTTGCACGAAACGACTCTCTATCATCGTTGAGCCTGGACTCTTTCGGCTCCACGGACCAAGAAATTTTTGAAGAAACTGTCAAAGCCGGCCTTTCGATAGTTCCTCGTAACAGACCCACGATCGATGATAGAATACGAGCACAATCAGCGGAACGAATGGCCGAACCTGTTCGACCGCACCGGGTACCTCGGTCTCTAGATCGAGCTCCCGCAAGGTCCAGGGAAATCGAGGAACCGTCTCACGGAAGAACGGGAAGGTCTCGCAGACGACGATCGGCGGACGGCGCGAGAGCGTCCAGGTCGACGCTGTCCCCGCGCGCCCTCGAGAGAAGCACCTCCCTGTCGTCTCTCAGCAACGAATCGTTCGGTTCCACGGACAGAGAAGTCTTCGAGAGGTCGGTCAGAATCGGCATGTCCAGAGTCCGAAGGCGACCGCGATCGGACGACAGGCTAGAGGCCAGAAGGAGGAATAACTCCGGCAACTCGGGAGGCGCGCTCGCTAGATGCGGTCGCGCTCGGGCTCTGCTGGAGGAAGTCATAGCGAAGGGCGCCAAGCGACGGCCAAAAAACGTGCCGCCGCCGCCAGCGGGGCGCGCGCCCGCCGGCGGGGACCCTCCGCGCCCAACCACACCTGGCTCTGACGCGCCGCCCCCGCCGCCCCCGCCACCCCCGCCGGCCCACCGCGACCCAGAGATCACTCCCAATCCATCCATTCGCGTGCAAAACTTCTCAGAAGACATAAAAACTCTCCCGGACGAAATCCCAGACCCCCCCGAGACGTCTTCGCCTCTCGACTCCGCGACCCTGACCCGCTCCAACGAGTGCTTGGCCCCGTTGTCGGCCAACACTACCCTCGAATCGGAACCCCGGGACGAGCTCAATCGCTCGAACGAGTCCTACGCCGACGTTCTCGACGGTTCGTGGAGTGACGGAGAGACGCCTCATCCTCCGATCGATTCGGGCACCCTCACGAGATCGGACAAGAATAAACTCGAGTGGACCGATATTAAATACACTGCGAGTAAACCGGATGATCATATCCGACACCCGGATGATACGTCGAAGAAGGATACGGACACCTGGAACGACAATACGTGTCCCGATGACGTCACGTTTCCGACCATAAGCGGCTCCGTGCACATGGTATCTTCTATACGGAGCGAAGTGGCCGAAACGGCACTGACGTTACCAGATTTACTTGAAAAGAGCGAAGCGCCTACGATGTCATTTTCGAGACCAGATCTTACGAACAGATTAGATACAGAGGTTCTACACTCGACGAACGCGTTGACTCTTGAAGATAATGTTTTGGACATGGAAACCAATATGATGTTAGATAGTGTTCCCGAGCCAAGCTTCACCTCTCTCGTTGACGACGGCGAACAAAAGTTCGACTCGATTATTTCAGCTGCTATAGAAAAGGAGGCAGCCAGGTTAGCTGCTCAATTAAAGAGTTCCGCTCATTTTGGAATGGAAGCGAGTGTCACATCTTTGACCTCGTTAGACCTGGACCATGTCAAGCCACCTTCGAATCTCGGCAGTTTACTGTCATTAAGTGCATCAGGACATTGGGACGAGTCCTCCAAAGATCAAATGCCCAAGAAGTCCCAAAAGAGTCGAAAAAAGTCTCTTCCTGTTGCACTTATGGTAAAACGAGCTCTTAGCAATTCTATGTATCATGGTAGCACGGAACATTTAGATAGCAATCCTGTTAGCTTCCTCGATAATGTGAAACCTCCCTCAGAAATGGAAAACATAGATATGGAAAGCAGTATGATATCAGTGTCCAGTATCGTGTCTGAAGTTGCGGAAACACGCGAAAGGACACCAATAGTCTTTGATTTCAAGCAACCGGTTCAAGACTTTCCTCTATGCAGTACATTCACCAACATCTTCCATGACCTAGACAAGGTGAATCCGCCATCTTTGTTCGACGAAATCGCTGAATCGACAACGGAAATCGAACAAGTGACCGCACAGCAAATTTACGAAGAATGTACGTCGAACACTTTAAATGTAGTAACAGATATTCCGTCTGGATCCGAAAATTGTACTCCACTACCTTCAGATATTAGCAGCGTTGAATCAACACCCAAAAAACAGAGAGATCCAAAGTATTTAACGCCTAAAGAAAAAAGACATGTATCTAAAGATAGATATCAAACTTACACAATCACTGATAAGGTGACAGAGAATGACGTTGTGTTAGAAGTTGAAGATGAGTTTGTAACGTGGACAAAGTCTGAAAGCGACAGATCTGATGACTATGTCACAGCAACCTCTGAAGTCAAATCCAAGAGAAAAATGAGTGCTAAACAGCGGAGATTGGAAGATAGAGCGAGGTACCAAACCCAAACTGTAGACATTCACACAATTCTGCCTCAGGACCCACAAAAAGTCGTCGACCCACAAATCGAAAGTCTGAAACAACGACTAGCGGCAAAAAAGACGATTAAGCAGAAGAGGATAGAAGACGCTGAACGTTTCCGAACTAGAACTTTAAGTGAAGATATACCTCCTTCCCCAACTTTTGTAACAAAAGACGCCAGTTTTGAAAATGTTGAAACAACAACAGGCTACGATAGTCTATCGTCGAATGAGTTGAACCATCAACAGATCCTGGACGATAGGCAGGACGATGACGTATTCTCAAGAGACGCCGATAGCGGCCACAATGAGGATGATTTTGAGCTAAACTCTACCCAAATGCAAACATACACAAAAAGCTTTAGAAATTATCTTCCTGTTATAGAAAGTCCCGCTGCTGTTGACATGTGTGTAGTCAACAATCTCAAAAACATAGAAATGACAGCATCGTATACACGTACGGTGAAAACGCAAAGTGATAAAAATCTAAATCCTAGTAGTAGTGACTTCGCAAGTTACGAAGGTGATAGCAATTCAGAAGATAAGGCCCACTCAGAATCAGATACGGAATCTCCACGCCCGAAACCAAAAATAATAAAACCAGCTAGACGCGATGAGAGCTTAGATTCTAATGACTCTAATGACAAGGAGCTAGATACTCCAAAAGCTATTCGCGGGAGGAAAAAGGCAATGTATGTATCGCCCTACAGGCGGAACGTTCCAGCTGGTAAAAAGCTGGCTACTCCGCCCACTAAAACTGCACCTATGAGTGCGCCTGCCAAACTTTCCAATCCAGTAAAAGCTCATGCAAGTGCCAAATCGCCTAAACCTCTCGCTTCGAAGACACAAAGCGCAAAAACTTCCCCAAAAAAATCACTTCCAAAATCTCCTTCTAAGGTACAACAAAAACCGATCTGTATTCCGCCAGTCGCCACAAAACCTTTACCTCTAGAGCGGCAAGGAACATTTACTAAAGAAGAAAGTTCAGTTCCAGCGAAAGATTTACCCGTACCGGACAAAAAGACGGTACCGAGGCTAGCCAAAACTGCAACACCTACTAAAAGCAATACGTCGCCTTCGAGGTTGCCACAGTTCAATCGCAATAAACTCTCACCAGCAAAAGCCAGCCAATCTAAACAAATGACAAATCGCTCAGCGAAGAAATCAGAACCAACTATGAAGAATTCCGCTTCAAATCACAGTCTACAAAGCAATGAAAGTGGAAAGACAATCACTATAGCTTCGAGAAGTTCTCGACAAGGTAGTACTTCCAGCGTGAATTCAGTCCAGTCGTCGAAAACAAATTCTAAAGATATCGAAAGCAAAATAGCTAGTCTATGGAAAAAAGTAGAACAAGCGAAAAAACTACCAGCCAAAGTCGAAAAGAAGGTTTGGATAGAGGCCGATGATAAAGCCAAACCGCCGAAATTGATCAGAAGTTCTACTTTTGAGGGCCAACCGAAGGCTCAAGTATCTTCGGCACCGAAACAAAAGACCTCTATTGGTATTAGGGTATCACAAATACCTAGTCTGAGGCCAAAATCGACTCCAAGTAAACCGATCAGTCCAGCCAATACAGCGAAGAAACCTACGAACACGAGAATATTTGCTCGGAAACCCTTAGCTGGACAAGTCGGTACATAAGAATATATACTATGGGAATGTTGTTCTTATGATGACCATAAGGTCTGTTCTGTGGGTGGTTATACAAATAATCACATTGAACAAGCTACATTTTAATCATGAAATGTATGGTAATAGCGTGCTGTGCATAAACTTACCTGTAAGTGATAATATTATAGAATAAAGTTAAATTATGTTACTTATCATGATTAAGTAATCGCATTTACCGAAGAGATAAGCAGACCTCGTGCATTGAGAAGAATTATGAAATTATTATAGTATGTCAGGTATTCTAAGGCCTAACGCACTATTGCGTAAAGACCGTCAATTAAATGAATCGAGTACTGAAAGGCCGATTTTCTCGGAAATTAGACCAAGCCGGCTAAACAATTTATCTAATCGTTAATCGATTGTAACTACATACAAATTGAATTACTGATTTTAGCATGACTATTACTTTAGCTTTGTCTAACAAATTTTGTTACTGTCCGTAGTTTGATGATTATTGGTTCAAATGTTTGACAAAGATTTTGTTAACACAACTTACTATTGTATGTTCTGTCAAATATTTGAACAACGTTGGTCCTTCGTGCCATATGTGTGAAGCTAACGAAAATATGTGCAATATCGTCAAACAGTTTGGTAATGCATTATCCGTCAATAGCCATGTACGTACTTAATACATTTAAATATCCCTGTCATTTTAATAGAAAATTATACATCATAATTTGTGATTCCATTGCCGAGTGAACAAACAGTTAGTGACGTATTTTTCTTATTCCTTTTGTTTTTTTTTTTGTATATTTGTTGCATTTATTCATATTTTAGAGACTATCAATTACCTACTTTTTCGACTGCAATGTTAGTTTTTTTAAGAAGATTTTAAAGACATACTTACAATTTCTATTTTAACTGGCGAAATACTTTATTTCTGGCTCGAAGTAAATAAATAGGTACTTCAGAGTACTTAGTACATAAAACATAAGTCAATACTAACAAGTCACTATATTTTATATGTTTAATGTCTTCAACTATATTCTTAAGTCGCGCCCTGACTGCCCGAAGTACCAAATTCCTTTTACAAAATCGTACTCAGTCAACCCACTCTCGCATTTATAGAGGAAACATAAGATTTTCTGTCTATAAATACGAAAGTGAAAGACAATATTGTAAATATATATCTCCCGCTAAATTATAGTTAAGGTTACTGTAATACAATTTGTATATTTTTCATAAAATCTACAAAAAAAATGTTCGCTATTGGGTAAACATTGTGAGATGGCATTCTCTCCTGGCTTTTGCGAGTGGCCGTCGGTTCGATGTTTCGTCTAGTCAAGTAATATTAGATAAGCGGGATTAATAGTTTTGGGGTAAGGAAGTAATTTTTACATAAGAAAGTGGATCGCATCGATTGTTACTGGCTTCCTGTAGTTTCGCATATGATTTTCTCAAAAGAAATGTGACATTTCTACGAAAAATCGACTAAATGTAGCTTATTAAAAAAAAATAGCCACTGTCTGCTTTTCTTAGGTTAGAAAATATTTTTATTAAAAAAATATTAGTGAATATATTTGAGGCACCTCAAGGCCCGTTTCCATGACAGAAGCGATACGATTCCATCGGGCAGAGGAACCGCGACACGTAGTTTACCAGTAACATAGAAATACAAAATTATAATCATGTTTAAACGCCATGGTTAGTACTGATTCCTTTATTATATAGATTGTAGTGAACGCATAGATATTTGTTTATACCTTCCTATCACACGATGTAGCAGGATGCCATCATGTTCGTTTAATAAGCCAGTTTTATAGATAAATAATAGTTGTAAGGTGCGTAACTTGATGGTAAATAAAGGATACTTACCGTAACTTGTGTATTATTTGTACTTCATCAATCTCCTACCCTGTACTGTACTAATTCCTTAGGATCTACGCTGCGATGGTTTATCTTCATACGAGTACATTTCTGTCAGTCATCTTTGTAATCACTGCTCATGCTTTTTCACACTAAACATCTATGTAAGTACCTAGTTTTTATGGTCATCCTTTACTGTTAAAGTTTTCCATCTCCATAAGTCCAACTCTAATTTTTTTCACCTATTGTGAAAACATTATAACTACTAATGACAGATGCGCGCTAGTTATTGTTAGACAAGCAATCATTTAAACTTTTTTTTCTAATAATCTCATTTCTTATTACTAGACCACACGTATCTATCAAGAGGCAGAGGAAAGAGAGCAAAGGTACTCTAGGCAGCTAGAGATTCATAAGTAGTGCAAACGGCAGGTACCGTCGTATAAGACTATCAATTTATAAATTCAATGGCTAGCATCTGGAATTTAATACCGTTTAATAGGTTCTAACTATCAACGCATTTTTCTAAACTCACACAAGTCTGAAAGAGTATATACTTCTGAACTTAGATTAATATTACGAGGCTCTTATGATTCATTAGTTAATAAGTTATCACTTCCTATTGAACTTTACTTCTCAGGAGTAATGGGTAGCTCAAAACAAAACACACACAGTTTGAAAATAATTTATTTCATCAAATTGAGATCAATTTCGTACTATTCAAATATGATTAGTCGATTTTAAAGCAATATATGTACACTATACACCGAATCACATGAATTATTTTATATTGTAATTTTTTATCTGATATGATTAACCTATAGGTTGTGCTAGTCGATATTTTTATGGGCGATTACTTAATCTTTAAGATCGTAGGCCCAAAATGAAAGTATCAATTTGTCTTTTTGTAATTAATTTAAAATAAATTTTATAAGTTATACGCCTATAATATCGAAAGTTCAAACTTTAACAACTTCTAATGTAAATAAGTAGCTGAGACGCGTAAAATCTATAAAGAAATAACTATTTTATAATGACTTATACTCAAAGTTTTTCAACAAAAACTCCCAAACCGTGTTTAGGATTCTTTACGACATATTTTCCACAAAATTCTTTATTTTAAATTCATTTACAATATTCATGGACATACGTCGGTCACACGCATGATTATGCGACTCATCGACTAGCTCAACCGTAAAAGACTGCTACATCCCTCACAAATAAATCAAATTTCCTTAGGCCTCCATACAACTGACACGGCCTTGCAACACAGTAATTATAAATTAACAAAAATACTTTAGGCATTCTAATCTTACAAACTTTCGCGTTCCATTATATAAAATCATGTACATATACAGGTTGATTGTGACCACTGCAGGTACAAAGTGGTCGAAACCAATTCAAAGATATGTAATAACTATTACGTGATTGCGTTATGCCCGTATATATACATAAATATACAATCTAATCTCAGTCATATTCCTATGCTCCTCATAATAATATCTTGGGCCATCAATAATCAACGCCAGGCGGACATTTCACTTTATTGGACCCAGCTGCCCTTGTCACGGTGCCTTAATAAAAAAACAATTCTAGTTTCACAGAACTAAATTTTAGGCCCGTATTTTAAAAGACGTCTCAAGTATCGGTTGAACTCTGATTGCCTGAAACTAGTTTTAAATGCAGATCAAAACTTAAGTATCGATCTTATTATAGAACGCGTTTTAAGTTTTACTCAGTTGAAGCTAGTTTCATGTACATATTGATTTGTACTTAGTTCTCAATGGCGTTTCCGCATGATTGACATTATTATTCCGTATTACACAGCTAATTATTTAAAACATAATTTTGTTTTACAAACTCAATTTTCGTGAATTTGTGTATAGAATTCTATTGGCTAGTTAAGCAATGTTAACATATTAACAAGCTTGTTGTTTGTCCAAAATTAAATATAATAATTATTAAAATAAAAATGACTAGATATAGGCTATAACGGAACTTTCCAGTTATTTTAACACTTGTCATGTTGAAATGTCAAACAATTTTTTTATTTTTATATTACTAGAATATTAGTATTATACTTGCAACATAAATCAAAAGGTTGTGGCGATTTTAATTTAAACAAGGATTGTATGTGTAAAATGCGAATTTCAGATAAATTAAAGTGAATTGATTATAATATATACAAGTATTTCTTTCGTAAATAAAGTAAAGTAAATCTGTAATAATTATTCTGAAACAAATCATTGTAAAACACATTCATTTCCCCCAAAAAGGCCCTAAAAATCACCGCTTGAGACTAGTTTCAGCTTATCTCACCTAAACAAAGATCACAGCTGTCAAAATCTATACCGGAGTAAAGATTTCGACATAAACATCGTTCTAAAATAAGCTTTCACTCACTTGAATCTGGATCGGTAAATCGGTTATTCTCGTTGTAAGTGACGTTCAATAATAAAATCTCTACTTGAAATTAGTTTTAAGACTAGATTCACGACTGAGATACGTTTTAAAATATGGGCCTAAGTCACCGCTGCAGCCATTCACTTCACCAAAACAAGACAAAAACAAAATGATCATAAATATAAAGTGTCGAAGAAGTCTTGTCAGCCACGGTCATTATATATATATAAGCTGATCTATACACAATGAAAAGCAACCATGGCTTTTGGAACGCTCGGCAACTACAAGAGTAATAAGAAAATAACAAATAAAATTCTTATTTACGTTTAAGTTACCACTTTGTACTCTGTACTGTAGATTACTAAAACCTTTAAACATATTCACAATAAAATTAAACAATAAAAATGTACATCATTCATTGTATGAGAAAAGCACAAAAGAATGATAAAGTGTCTAATTAAATGATATAAACCAATAAAACATTGAAACACTTCTGCACCATATCTCACGTTACATAATAAGATTTTCTTAATAATATTTGAACCTCGACAGAATAAAAACAGGGATGACTCACATGTCACAATTATGCGGAAATCCGCAACATGTCTCGTCATTGCCGCGTTAAATGACAGCTAGTATACAAGGGAGTCTCCTCTTGTATTTATAATGCCGTGTCATCAACAGTGATGGCTACATAGTGTATACACGCCGAGTAGACTTAACATTACATCTAGGTTCACAACGTCGCTTTTGGGGAGGGAGCAATGCATGCACATCCAAGCGGGGTAGTCTGAGCGAATATATTAAAACATCTAAGGGTAAATGAATTGTAGTATAGGCGCAAACACATGGTAATATGGGTTCGTGTGATTTGTGTAGAGAATTTCAAAAGGTTCAGCTTAGTAACGATGGTCTGTTTGAAGAACCAGGAATTCTTTATTTTAACTTTTCAATTTGATTAGCTGAATCTTTATTCATTGTTTTGTTGTAGCTTTTTTTAAGCGATAATTAACGTAGATACTTGTACGAGCTATTATTTGCAGAAACTATTGGCATATAGGTACTTTTAGAGCATAAGCAGAAATCTTCTAAAAGTATTTATAATAATGAAATCATCATTTACCGCCCACATTGAACGCCCAAGTGAGTTAGGAGACATACCGTTTTCGTACACATTTTTAATCAGTTTGGCACTCCTATTTGATTTTTCATGAACTTGTTACGAGAAGTATGCTAGGTTTTTAAAGCAACTACAATTTATATACCCAAAGACACAAACACTATAGCTAGGCACACTTAATCATTACAAATATTGGCAACTATTACCGTAGCGCTGTTTCCACAAAAGGGATCTCAAACTATACGTAACTGAAGGATGAATATTAAGTGACATCATAAATTCTAGATTTTGGAATTGGTGATATTTCTCTGTAGATTCGTCACGTAAAAATGATCACAATACTTAAGTGAACCAAAAGTAAATGATTTTATTTTAGTGTTCCGTATGTGTGAATGAAAAAAAACGGAACCTTTATGGGTCATTAATGCGTATGTTTTTAAGTGTGTCATAGCCAATTCGGTCCGCATCTACTAACAAAGTAGGGGTAATGTGAAGCCCATATCAATTCCTGTGCCCAAAACAAACATGTGCAACGTAAATAAATAAGTTTCGAATAAGGAAGTCACAGGAAGCGTTATATGTCCATAGTCTACAAATATACATTTGTTATTGTAGCCGTGAGCATAAACTAAACTTGACATTTTTAAAGAATACCTACCTACTGAACCTAAATATATTAAACAAAATTTAAATGTTCCTTCAATTACATACGACGTTTTGTGTATACGCAGTGATATCGAAACTCAAAATCGGTTAATCACTTAAAACAACTCTTCATAATTAATCAATTACTGTAGCACAACAAAATGTAGATGGCACCACAGTCGTTGACCCCATTGACGTCGAAGTTATATAACACGTCACGCTAATCATTAACATGAAATATTACACGACATGTAATGTATAACATATGACAAGTTATAAACCATATGTTACACATTGCATATGAATACAAACTAAAACCTGTCTTGACCAACTATCTCCACCTACGTCATAAGCTTCCAGCATCACATCATCATACATATGATAGCATATTCGGTGTAGCAAGGTGAATGTAGCCGAGCCTCGATCTAAGAATTATTGACGTCGTATTGTTATAGGGTGACGAAAGACTCCATTCCCTACAAGGTAGGTTATACTATAGATATTATTTCTTTTTAATTCCTTTCAAACAAAGTTCATAATTCGACAGTGTTTTTTTTTAGTGTGAATGGTATATTATTTTTTTCTTTTTATAAATTAAAATTTTCTTTTTTTAATTAAATTGTGGATTCCCAAAGTTTGGTCCCATTCAAATTTGTAGAAAATATTCCAACTAACGGATTAGGATTTCAATTTATCACGATTTAGGTATATTCGAGGCGGTATTTTTTTAATTTAATAGATATTTATTTTACATTTATGGTTTGGACCGCTATTACTCACCGGCCAGCTTCCTTGCACTTTTAGCAATTTTTTCATTACGGACCGTAACATATGGTGTAGATTTTTGATATACCGTTTTCGTGTTCATGATCCACGCAAAAGGATTAAGAAAGTTCAAATGGTGTGATGTCAGTTAAAAAGAAAAAATGAGTCACATCTAATGTAACCCAATTAGTAATTTACTTTTAGTTAAGGTAAGTGTATGAAGTCTTTCGGAACCCCAGCTACATCCACAAGAGAACCGCCCCCCCGTGTGTCGCCTACTGCTCCTCATCGGCGGAGTCGGGCATGCTGACGGGCAGGTTGTCCTGCAGCCGCTTGAAGCCGCCCAACACCTCGAAGTGCATGTGAAGCGTGTGAGACATGCCCTTGTTGTTGTGCAGGTAGCGGTTCACCTGATAGTTAAAAACGTATTAATTTTCTTACACTGACTACAAACTATACTTACTGCAGTTCAAAATATTTTTGACACCTTAACAATAAATCAAGAAATTGTAAAAAAAACCTCCTTCTACATTATTGTGAGGTTTTAACTACATGCCTGTGTTTTTGCATCTGATTATATCAAATAAAAAAATTACTAATGTCAAGCTTTTTTACCTTCACATCGAAGGGCAGTGCTACTACTTAATATTCTTTAGTGCGGTATAGTGTTGGCTCCTTTTCAGGCAATAATATCATATTATTAGGATTATTTGGGATTGAGGAATATTTATAATTTTTAATGTGCGTTTAACCAATCCTTGGTAATGTCGTCATGGAAATATTTTTCTGAACTTAACTGAATACTATTTGGAGGCAAACCATAAACAAAATCATAGACAATTATTTTTTTAAAGACAACTCCCGCAGTAGGAATAAATTCCTGTGTCGCGGGGGACTTTACAAACACACATGAAACGGACACAAAGAACACCCAGACTCAGGACAGCAATTTGTGGATCACACAAAGTGTCGTCCCATGTGGGGATCGGACCCAGAAAACTCAGCCTAGCGGCGTGGCTACCGCTAAAACCACTACGTCATCCGTGCAGTCATAAAGTCAAAGTAAAAAAAGTCAAGTCAAATAAAATAAACTCAAGCTTTGTATAAATATATCATCAAGATATCTCATCTTAATATGTTTCATAAAAGTGAATCATCAATTATCGTCATCAATAACTATTGTTACATAAACACGGTACCTTAGCACCAAGTTTCTTGAGCAGGCCGGTGAAAGCTTTCTCCTCCCTCCCAATCCAGGGTCGACCCTCATCTTGTACCTGATATGGGCTCACGTGGATGAAGATGTTTACATCTGGTGACATACATATTACGTACACTAATAAACATATTATATTTGTAGATATTGATGTAATATACTAATTATCCTGTACTACGAGTATATTCTTAAAAAAAAACTTTCAATCGTTTTTTTAAGGACAACTCCCGCATTAGGAATGTATTATCCTATGTTGCGGAGGACTTTAAAAACATACATAAAACAGACACCCAGACTTAGAACAACAATTTGTGGGTCACACAAAATGGTGTCACATGTGGGGATCGAACCCACAACACGCAGCGCCATCTGCGCAGTCACTCGTTGGCGTCAACCGTTGGGTTAAAAAAACCTCTTTTAAAAGAGTTGTATTGTTTATCTTAATTTATAATTAATCTATATTTTTTTAACATGTGTTTGTACTGCATCATCAAAACGGCTAAACACGATTGAACCACAATTATTCTTTAACACCTGGCATAGCTATGTATCTATACCTACACGTGTTTATACAAAAAAAAAAGTATCTTATCCAAAGATAAAGTCCGTTTCGCTTTCTTTACCATCAAAGTGAAACTCAACGGATGATATACTTACTGAGTCTGGTGAGTGTCTCCAAGAGGCTGCGGGAAGTGATCCAGGTGTTCTTGCCGCCCGCGTGTCCCCCGTCCAGCCAGTACATGTCCACTATGTGCTCCATGAACCTGCGCCGAACATACAACATTCATATCAGACGTGTACGTAACCTATCCATACAAAGCCTCCAATTTCTCGATTTCTAACTTTGTCATTTAATCTTTTTTTTTCGTATAGATTTTTACTAATTAACTATATATATTAACTATATATATTAAATGTTAAGTTGGTTTAATGTGAACTTTTAATATTTGATTTGGTCTGGGTGTTCTATGTATAATATGTATGTATTTACATAAAAAAAGTATATATGTATTTATATCAGTTGTCTAGTACCCATAGCACGAGCTCTGCTTAGTTTGGGACTAAATGGCGTTGTGTGAATGTGGTAGATTATTATTATTATTATTGTTTGTGTACGCTTCAAAATCTTATAAACTTCCGCATCGGTGGAGCTTAAATTTTTACTCGATATACAACACGATTCAAATATTGTTTTTATCTATTTTTGGCGACAGTTTTCCTTCTCATTTTTCACCAATGCAACAATAATGTGCCACAGCGAAGTGTGGCAGAGCACAGCTTGTTAATTACAAAAAAAGATTTTATATGGTTAAGTCATATAAAATTTATATTTTACCAAGAATAAAACAGAATTATCTCACTCACCTCATCATATGCGCGTCTCCTGGTGTCAAGGTCTTAGTGTAGTGAAACTCGTAAATCAGCTGGTTGAGGACCACGCAGCCCTTACTGAAGCCCACCAGGGTAAGCTGACTCTCGTCCAGGGCCAGTTTGTCTCGCCACCAGAGCGGGTCCACCTCGCTACAACATTACTGAGATGATTACAATATATTCCTCAAATGGGCGTCATGTGATAGAAAGGATGAGAATACAATTGATCGCCTTTGGGTCAATAACGCTCTTATAGAGTCTCTCGGTTTACTAGGAAATAAACTGAATAATAAACTTACAAATAAAAAAACAAACAAAATCCCGATTACGTGATAGCCTATACTTATTACAAACCGGCTATTTTAATTGTTATCATTTGCATGACGACACCTCCTAATCCAAAATACATCAAGAAGTTTAGTCTACAGAGCCTGCCAAAGAAATATATATATATATATATATACATATACTGGAAAAGGAGGACAGGATGGCGCAGTTTCAGTTTTAATCTTGTATATGTTAAGGGTCCAGGGGACGTAAATAAAATTTATTTATTTATTTATTTTATTTATTTATCTTAGGAAAGCTTACAGACTAATATTAACATACACGGCTGAGTAACGCTTAAATTGCTAATAAAAAGCTTCCACATATAAATAACCCAATAATAAACCACAGTTATACATAATATTCCCAGTTGATCTGAACAGCAGTGTCAGCAAAAAATAAAAACGAAAACTAAATCATAGGCAACACAAAAAAAAAACAAATAAAATAATAATTAAAAAGATAAACAAGGTAATTCAGTAGGCATATCTACCGGTCGCTGCCAAAGAAATATTTACTGAAAAGTCTTTTGACTGTAGTTGAATTTGTACAAAACAGATCTAAGTCCAACTTTGATGCCACATCAGTATAGCTCTCAGCCGCACGCAAAAGATACGAGTTCCGCCTATAGTTAGCTACAGCAAAGGGAACGTGTAATAGGGGACGATGTCTAAAAACTAATTGATTCGTTCCAAGTGTGATATTGCTCAGCAATTCTGGACAATCAATGGTACCATTGGCGATGTTTATCAGGAAACATATGTCACTAACAGTTCGTCTTTGTTCCAAAGGCAAGAAATGATATCGCTTGCAACGTTCATTGTAATCGGCAGAGTATTGTTGGGCTTTAATATCTAAGTAACGCAGAAACTTACGCTGAATACCCTCTATGCGCGATTTATAAACTTGATATTGTGGGTTCCATACCTGTGACGCGTATTCAAGAAGACTACGTACATAGGCGCAGTATAAAATTTTTACAGTTTTTAGAGATCGGAAACATGTAGACATTCTCACGACAAAACCCAGTGCTTTCAACGCTTGTTTTGTAATATGATCGACGTGCATATCGAATAAAAGTTTCGAATCCATCACCACACCAAGGTCCCTAATGTGATCTACCTTCTTAATAAATTCATTGTTTAATTGGTACCCAGACCCAATTGTAGATTTCCGGCGTGTAAAGGAGATATAGCAACATTTAGCCACGTTAAGGTCAAGCTTATTTATTTTGCAGTAGGTTACAAAGTTGTCCAAATCACTTTGAAGCTGTTCGACATCAGAGGAATTATGAATTGTTTTAAGAATCTTCATATCGTCAGCGTATAAGAGTATTTGCGAGTTTTGGAAACAGCTATTAATATCTGTAATAAATATTATGAATAGCAGAGGGCCCAAAAGTGATCCCTGGGGCACCCCAGATGGGATTGAACACCAACAAGAGGTAAAACCTTGGACCACTACCGCCTGGGACCGATTGTCAATATAGGAACAAAACCAACGGTATAAATCGCCGTGTATTCCAGCGGCAAGAATTTTTTGCAATAATATTTTATGATCAATACGGTCAAAACATTTCATATAATCAGTGTATATCACATCCACTTGTGCCCCCTGTGCCATGCCCCTGGATATGAAATCGTGGGATAATATTAGGTTTGAAGTAGTAGTACGTTTACGAAGAAAACCGTGTTGTTCACTACTAAGCATATTCTGAATCGCCAAATAAGTCTCATTATAAACAACCCGTTCAAGCACTTTTGCAAATAAACATAATTTTGATATTGGGCGATAATTTTCGATGTTATATTTATCGCCTTTCTTTAATATGGGAGTTATGAAGGCAGATTTCCAGATCAGTGGAACTGTGCCCTCTGTCAAGGATCTACTAAAAATAACACAGAGTGGCACAACTAGGCTTTCCGCTAAACTAACTATAAAGATCGGTGGAATGTAATCTGGACCACCAGATTTGGAAAGTTCTAGGGTTTTCAGCAGATTTAATACCTTGTCTTCAGAAACATTAATTGAACTAATATAGTTTGAACAGTTACCTATCTCAGTGTGGTGATGCATACGGTTTGTATCTGTATTCTGCTGATCCCGAAAAGTTGATTTAAAATACATAGCAAATAAGTTACTAATTTCTACGCCACTTTTCGCAGTTACATCTCTGTAGAATAGCGAACTAGGAAGTGATGATGTGCTTTTCTTGCTTTTAATAAAAGACCAAAAGGCCCTCGGGTTATTCAAAATAGATTGTTCTACTTTATTTATGTACTCATTGTAACAGGCTTTTTCTAGCTCAATTGCTCGCCGACGGAGTAAAGAAAACGTTAAGTAGTCACTTTGATTACCATATAATTTAAACCTTCGATGATACTTCGATTTTTCTTTTAAAAGTTTTATAAGCGCAGAATTATACCAACGCGGGTGTGAATTGTGTCTTACGGATTTAATGGGTATAAATTTATTTCTTAGAGCATATAATTTACTGTAAAAAATGTTCACCGCATCCTCCAGAGATCCAGTAGTCAACAGGGAATGCCAGTCAGTATCATTTAGTTCAGACTTAATAGCGTTGTAGTCCCCCTTGTGGAACAGATATTTAGGTGTTATATTTTCTTCAAAGCTATGAATTTCCACGAAATCTGCCTCAATATGCAAGGGTTTATGGTGCAAATCTATTGGAGATGCCAACGGAACGTCACATTCCTCGACTATCAGTAATCCATTCGAAAAGGCGAGATCCAACAACCTATCATTTACGTTACGTATGTTATTATATTGTAATAGATTGCAGGTAAGAACAGTATCGAGAAACTCGGTTATGTATTGACAAGTATAATTCGACGGTACTAGACTATCACATGCGTTTTCAAAGTTCCAGCTCACTTGATTACCAAAATTAAAATCACCCAATATAATAAATTTGTCTAATAAATGGGACATCATTAAATGGTCAAGTTTAGAGGTAAAGTTTTGTAATTGAGTATTATAAGAATTACCTGAGTTCTCGTGGCAAAGGTAAAGAGCACAAATATGCACGTTATATGTCACTGAGGGTCTAGATCTTTTCAAAACAATTGTTATCCACAGATCTTCCGCAGAGCTACGCCACTCACACTTTTCCGTAACGGTTAGATCTTTCCGAACTACAATTAACACTCCACCCCCCCTTTTCTGACCCGTATGACAATAGTCGCGATCGCGTCTCCACACTAAATAACGCTTATCGAACAATTCATCACTACAGACACTGTCCATTAACCAAGTCTCCACAAAAACTATTACATCGTAAGAATTCAGTGATATGTTTCGTAACAAGCTATGTGTTTTGGTACGTAGGCCACGAACATTTTGATAGTATATATTAAGCTTAGACATTCCTGCATTTAACTATAACTACATAGTCACAAACTATTTCATGACGCAATAATAATAAGCAAAAAAACGAATTTAAAATATTACTACAACAATTAATTGCACTACAGACGGTAGATAGTAAAAAGATATGAGTATTTTTAAAAAGACACCGTAAAACACAGAGTACGCCAGCAACATCGCTCCGAATATACCCCGCCAATGATCCATGAATAAGAACTATAGAATGCTTATCTAATACGGCAGGGTAGCATGTAGTCATAAGAGACATAATGCTACACAGAGTGTTATACGCTACGAAGCTCACCATAACGCTGGTTTTTGCTTGGCATGCTGAGGCAGTAAACAAAATATGTTTTATAAAATTGTAATACCACATTGTACACTGACACAGACACAGTTGGAAAACGCAAGCAGCACAACTCGACAACGACCAATAGATCTCAAACTTTAAGTTTCGCATATTAATATCATTAGTAGAACAAACAATTAATAACGGGATGTAGTATAAAAGACATCCCATCACATAATTTTTGCTAAGTCTAATTCGGATTTCACTACAATGACGGGTGACGTGTCGTTTTTCCTTGCGTGTATTTTTGCATGCTTGACCCAGACGTAACGAAAACCCCTCTCAGCGGCCGCCTTCTTTGTTTTCGACAAAAGAAATTTATTTTGCGTTGTTAGGTGATCATTAACATATATTTTGTGACCGCCAGACAATCCCACGCGGCCCAGTGTTAATGGCCTACTCTTCATTGTTGACCTCGCCGCTGCAAGAAAGTCTTCCTTCACGTACCGATTACAGAAGCATACAATGATGGGTTTCGCACGATCCTTCTCACGTGTCGGAACTCTTGTTAAAAAATTAATTTGTGTTTTATTAACAGGGTAGCTTATCTGCGAACCAAGACTAGACAGGATTTCAAATAAATTTTCATTGCTCACTTGAGGAACTCCTTTGATTTCAATATTATTCATCCGAGCCCATTGCTCACCAGCATTAGTTTCATCTTCCAATTTATCAAGTCTATTCTGTATAGAGTCAACCTGCTTTTGGGCCTTCTCAACTTGCAACAAGCGATGTTCAATGTCTGTAAATCTGGCACTAAATTCCCTTAGCTCCTTATTGGTATCGTTAAAAGAGCCTTTCAATTCCTCAAACTCGTTTCTTAAGGCAACAACTTCATCCTTTAAACATTCAAGGGGTGCCAATTTATCATTGATGGCCCTTAGTTCTCTCATAATTAGTGACTCAGGCTCGATTCTGGGCGACAGCGGCTGGGTGGGAGTTGTTTGCTTACATTTCCCACAGCGCCACGTAAGCTTTCGGTCTCCCAATTTTCTATATCCAGCTTCAGTAATGCCAGCACACTGGAAGTGCAGCTGCTGCTTGCAGACCGTGCAATGAACTCCATCTGTCAGCAATTCGGCACAGGCTCCACATTTATAATTCATGATTGAAAAGGGCCAACTACAACGACACAATAGAAAATGTTTGAGATACACTGACTCACTGAACAGGTTCACCGGTGCGTTGCAATTAGCATAGATCGACCGTATAGTACGAGACACACGGGCCTACTGGCAGTGGACTGTATTACTGGTATTTTAATCGCCAGGTCTTTACACGTTATCAAGTGTGAGGTTGAAGTCGGACCGTCCACGGTGATGTCCCAAGGCGAGCAACGGCTGTTTTATGTGTCCTCTGCTCCTCCCCGGCTGGGTCCCCCACTCGTCGCACACGTCCGGGTAGTCCCCCCCACACGCGCGCTGTTGCCCGTTATAGTGCGTTTAGTTAACTCGCAGTCGCAACATTATATTATGCGTATAATACTACACTGTCTAGTTAAACTCATCGATGACGCTAGTTCCAATACTGTCTTGACCAGAGGCCCAGTGTGAGTTTATTTCACTTCTGCCCAATCGTCACGGTGACCGCCATTGGCCCGCACTAAAATCTTCACCAATCACAACGCCGAACGCGCTCGAGAACGACTTGATGTAAAATAAACAAAAAATTGTTCTTCTTTTTAAGCAATCGCTGTACTGAAGATGGGAATATTAACGTTCTCTGACAACTATTTTTGTTTTTCGAGCCGTCATCAGGGTCGCTAACTGTACTTGTAGCTTGTATACCAAAATATCTTCGATCGTTATGTGTGTGAGTATAGGAACTGTCAATTGTAATTACAGAAACGGTAAAAATAGGCTTTTGAATTCGAATTGAAATTTAGAAAATTAATGAATTTGAAATATATTTATAATTTAAAATTACAAAACATATACAACGGCGCAAATATACACGCATGACATGTGTGAGCGCCTTTTCAATATCCTCTACTAAGAAAAGACTAGTAGAGAAGATAGGGGATAGATAACAAGTAAATAAATTTGTAAATGCTACAGACAACATCCATTGGAACTAAACCTACTCACGGCTCAGGTAGTCCCGGTGCCGGCCCCGATCCCGACCCCGGTCCCGGCCCCGGTCCCGGCGAGTCCGTCCCACCTCGCCCCGGTCGGGTCCCGCTCGCCTCGCCCGTCTGGACGGCGCTTTTCTACAAAAGTATCATAAACGACATTATGAAAATAATCTTTAATAAGTGTACTATGTAACCTTTATGATTATAATAAATTAAATTTAACAATTTCAGTATAGTTTCAGTAACACCCTCCGATCAATGAGTACGGCGATATGAAATACTTGAATAAGAGATCTAACGTAACGATAATGTAACTGTACTTATGAGTAACCGTTCAAAGATTGGAACAATTTATTTATATACAAGTTGCTTTATATACGCTTCAAAAACAAAAAGTTCTATACCGATGAAGCTCAAACTTTGACACGATATACAACCCAATTCAAAGATTGTTTTATCTATTTGTCGCGTCAGTTTTTTTCCTCGTTTCGCATGAATAATAATAATATTGTACCACATTCACACAACGCCATCTAGTCCCAAACTAAGCAGAGCTTGTACCATGGGTACTAGACAACTGATATAAATACATATATACTTTTTTTTTGTAAATACATACTTATTATACATAGAAACACCCAGACCAAATCAAACATTAAATGTTAATGCACATAAATATTTGACTTGAGCGGGAATCGAACCCGCGACCTTTGGAATAGCAGTCCGTTACACAAACCACTACGCCATTCGGTCGTCTGAACCACAATGTGCCACAGTGAAGCACATGAGGTATCTAGGTGACATAGATTAAAAATATTTTTATACACACATGTAGATCTTCGATATCAATTTCCTCGGGCAAGGAGACTGAGGACACAGCTTCTAACAGATCCGCAGTCGGTAACGATTTTAATCTACTAGTTACGCCTTGAAGTAGCCTGAAATATAAATATAGGTTAGGTTTAGGTTTAACGAATTTATTATCAAAAAGACAAAAAAGGGACTTAAATGAGAATATAAAATAACATATTACAGAAGTGATAACTTAAACTAATCCAGGTTGAACTATTTAATATTGAAAATTTTTAACTTGAGAAAAGCTATTATTAGGTTATTAGTTAAATTTTATGTAAAGCGTCTGTCCGAAATACGCCAAGCGCTGTGGGTTAGAGTGAGACAGGAGGAACCTGCCTACCGCTGCCGTATGCGTGACAGAAAGAAAGGCCAGACAGACTGGCGCCATAACGTGTTACGTAACGAAGCGATTTACCCTCCCATAAGAAGTTATCACTTCAAAAATAATATCTAGATAGAAATGGACCCTGCCTGGCCATTTCGACAATAGCGTATGTTACTGTTAAGGGTCGAGCATCAATGAAAATTTTTGCAAAAACGGGGAATTTATTTGTTTTGAGAGACGCAGTGTTTTTGAGTTTATAGTGTGGTTATATAATTAATAATATATATGTTTACATTACTTCTCTAAGTGATGCAGCGCACTGTGGGTAGGCGTGTGCTCGGGGACGCCCGCATTGTTACTTGGCACGAAGTTATCGTAACAGCTGAAGCTCTTGTATTCTACCCTGAAGTTAAAATCACAAATATGTTTTGAAAAAACCACAAAAAATCATCACTCCCAGATCGATAAATAACGTTCCAATTACAAAAATAACCAAACACATCTTACACACGGCCGTTTGATCCCAAACTAGGCAGAGCCTGTAAGATGGTAACCCGACTTTTTTTCTTTTTGTTTTAAAGACTACTCCCGCATTAGGAATACATATATCCTGTATCGCAAGGGAATTTACAAACATACATGAAACGGACACAAAGAACACCCAGACTCAGAACAACAATTTGTGCACACAAAGTGTCGTCCCATGAGGGGATCGGACCCACAACGCTCAGCGCAGTAGTAAGCGGCGTGGCGACCGCTTAAACCACTACGCCATTCGTGCAGTCGTGACTGCTGACAAACATATATTTCTAAATACATACCTACATCTTATAGATAAATTACACTGAGATACAAAACAAATGATCGCGCTCATCACACTATCTAGTATTAGTCGTGGGTGGAAATCGAACCCACGACCTCTAGCTAGCAGTCAATATCACTAACCACTAGACCAACAGGCCCGGCAAATGATCACGGACTTAGAAAAATAAGGGCTTTGAATGCACCATATACTCCAGCATCCAGAGATAAGAGACTTATTGGTTTCTATAGCGAGTTTTAAAAATAGAATGCGTATATATAGTGCTCTACTCTGAATTTTCATTTTAAATATATGCACGATGTTTATAATAATACTTTCGTTTATACAAAGTTTATATTGCGGTTGTATGTATAAAGTTAATGGTGCATGGTAATTCACTACATCAATAACGAGGCGAGACACGTGATCAGTTGCTGCTTTTTTTTATGGTATAAGGGGGGCAAACGAGCAGACGGCAGAGTCACATGATAGAAAGCAACTACCGCCGCCCATGGACACCTGCAACTCAAAAGTCACAAATGCGTTGCTGCTCTTGGAGTACCTCCCGCTCAAGTCAGCGGGAGGGGGGATTTGGGCTCTGGTAACCTCACTCACTCAGTGCAAAGCAACGAAAGAATTGCTTAACACCGGTTTTCTGTGATGTCAAATGCTTTATAATTTTCAATATTTTACTATCGATTGGGGCTATGTCTGCTACCGCATAATAATAGCACAGCAACTTCTTCATTATTTATTTATTTTATAAAAACCTAAGAATGTAAGGCAGCGCATAAAATATTTAGGTGATAATAAATAACACCGGCGCTACACCAGTTTTTTTTGGAAAGCAATACTAGTTCTCTGTGCCTGTGATTTTGATTAGTCTATACACTACACACAGATAAATTTAAAATACCACTAAGCAAAAAAAAAACAATTAAAACCGTTTAGTTATCTGTTTTGAATGCGTAGACTGACATATGTATATCTGAGTGTGTAAACTTAAATACCACCTTTTTATAATCGGGGGTAATTAGCTTGCAACACCTAACTTATTTCTAATCTTATTTTTTTTAAATGCATCTTACAGTTACCTAGCGGGTTTCACCACCAGAACGTGTTTTGTAGGGAAGTTATGTCCGAGCATGCGCGCTGTGTTTTCCAAGTTCCACTTTACGTAGTTCCGGTTGTCGCGGTGCGCTTGCATCACTTCCGGATAGTCCTGGGAGATAGCAATACTTAAAAATAGAATATATAAATACCCTATATGGCTATATAATCAGACGAAATAAAGACTATGGAATCTTAGAAGAAATAAAGGCTACGTGGTAAGCACATATGAAGCAAACAGACGGAGTAAGTAAAGTAATCGGAACGAGTCTAGTGTTTTGACGTTAAAAAAAAGATATTGATTTGCTTTGACAGTCATATACGTCTTTATGACCAACTAGTTTGTGCCAGCGACTTCGTTCGCGTGGAATTTGAAAAGCGCTGACTTAGTGGGTTCGATTCCCGGACCGGGCAAAATTTTATGGGGTTTTTCTGAGAAAAAATAATATAATATATAGGTAGTAAGACATTATCTAAATCGGTCCAGCCGTTTTGAAGATTACCCGGAACAAACAGACAGACAGACAAAAAATATTTAAACTGGTTTTTTTGGCATAGGTATCATGCAAATAACCGTGTGAGCATGAAAAAAAAGCTATTATTTTGACATTATAAACAAACATTTCAATTTTATTGATTTGTATAGATATAGGAGAGGCGCGTTAGACAGAGGCGATTTAAACGCCCACAATTTGCCGACTACAATTTTTCATGACACTATTGGACCCGGGTGGGAATCGAATCCACGATCGACCTCTGGCTGAGCAGTCAGGATCGCTAACAACTAGATCAACAGGTCATGTTTTTAAAGATTTTAAACTTCGCAACATTCTCCTTTGCAATTTAAACTCAAGTAAACGCCATACCATCTAGGATTTTCACGCTAAAGTGAAAGCTTTTACAATCACCAGAGGTCAGTATAGCGTTTGTGCTTACAACTTAACACTTCAAAGGAGTACAAGTAATCAAAATTTATGTACCTGGACATCTCCTCCGAAAAACACAATGGTCTGGGAGCCGATGGGAGGGGGGCGGGCGGCCGGCTGGAACAGCGCGTCATTGAGCCGCCCCTCATGTCCCGTTACACGCCGCAACCGCAGCGGCAGCATCATACGCGAGAGACAGCCTATTGTTGACGTTCCACTGCTGGACAAAATTCACATTTAGTATTTTTACACAACTGCCCAAAACAGGAGTGTTATAAGAGGGCAAACGAACGGAAGCGTCACCTGATGGTAAGTGAATATCTACGCCCATTGATACCCATTGATTAATATAAGAGTAGCGAGTGTTTTGTTTTTGGGCGCTAATTTCACCAACAACAATTACTCGGGGAACCGCACATCTGAGGGCCTAGTGTCAAGGTGACAGAGTTCGGCGTTGCCCTTGACTTCACTAAACTCTTCACCAATGGCAATGCCCAACGCGGTTGCCGTCGAGAGCGAGTTCATGTGAAATAAACTCACACTTGGCCCTCTGTCGTGCGATAAATAACCAATCAAATCACTAGTTTTTAAAGAAGTGTGTTTAGTGACGCTGGCTCTGGTACTTAGTAGCTAAGCTACACGTATTACACACACCATAATCAGCATACAGGATCGTAACAAAAAATGCACCAATAAGTAATATTTTAATGATCACTTTCTGATCTATTTTAAACTATCTGTGGTGTGGATGTGCATAATTATATTGAGCCAACTTCCACATACAACTACAAAGAAACAAAAAATATACTTTAACACCATCTAACGAAGAAACACCGAACTACTAATCCTACATTGCGCTATTAAAGTTCTCGCGCCGATTTGTATATTAACAACTTAAAAACTTCAACGGTATGGTAGCGTTGCCAGGTCTGATTACCAAACCTGATCAGAGGATTTCTCTATGTGTAGGAGGTACATAATACTCTGCCACAATATTTTAGAGCGGAATTCAAGTTAAATTCGGTTCGCCTAGTCTAAATTTAAAAATTTATTATTAATGTGTAACTTCTTTCCTTTCGCTTTCCTGCAATCTGAGGGAGTGATTGAAAACGAACTAATTATGTGCCAGCAAGACGACGAAAGGCTAATTTAAGTGACTTGCGTCTACGAATCTTAAGTAGACGGACAAGGAAGGAAGGAAGGAAGGAGATGAGACACATTGTGTAAAATATACAAGTACTGTGAGGCTCGCTATGCTTACTGTTTTTGATATAAGTACTGTGTTGACATTCTGATGCATTTGGTAAGAAGCAGCAAATCTTTTAAGTAAATTTAGATTGGGTAGCCATTCTCATTTTCCTGTCTAGTTTTTCTATTGTGGATTTATAAAGATTAGGGTTATTTTATATTACACTAAATAAAACAAAAAAAATAGTTTATAACTTAAATGCATTTATTTTCATTAACAATATTATATTACCACCCAGTCAGTTCATTAAAGAAGGCACTAGTTACAAAAACTTTAATGTATTGCTTGTTGTACTATAATGTCATTTGGCACTCCTACTCTGCTTCTGATGATAATACTTTGTATCATTCATGCACACTGTGATCTTCAATGTAATGTCATCAAGGCAATTCTTCAAATCTTCTTTCAACTCTCTCACCTTAACCTGTACATCTTCACACATAAGATTATAGCACATAGCTACCAACCCCATACCCAGGAGTACATAAATGAAATTAATGACAAGCTTGACATGAGAACCATCGGCTGAATCAGCTATATTTGCTCCCGGAACAAAATCTCCAAATCCAATCTTGCACAAACTAATTACACAGAAGTACGTAGAGTCCAAATAGTTCCAATCTTCCCAAGCTCCAAACATTATGGTTCCTGTCAAGATATAGAAAGATATTACCCATAAACAAGCTGTAGATGGTACGGTAATCTTCCTCTTAACAGGCTGTATTCCACCTTCTTCAAATAATGTGTCATCACGCCTGCTACACTCATGAGCAGTAATATACAACCATTTGAAGGTCTTTGCCAATACTTTGCCCATGTTACAGAAATACAAAATATATATTGGTATACCAAAACATGCATAAGCTATGGTGCTGATCTTGCCCCACACTGTTTTAGGCACCACATTACCATACCCTATCATGGTAAACACTGACAAAGAATACATAAGAGCAGCGGGGAATGACCAAATATCCTGGGCTGATCTCCCATTGTAACCAGTGAGTATTGCAGCAGTTATGTTGTTTTGAAACAATCTTAAAACTTCATTCACCTTTAACACCCATATTGTCTCGTTAAACACGTTGACATTCACTGTGATGTTCCACAGTGCCTCAGCACAGTTCTGCCTCAATCTCTTTACTTCTTCCAGCTGCTCATCTGGGTTGTCCTTTTCTATGTGCATGAACCCTGCAGCACCAAGGATGGCGTAACAGACAACAAGAGCGCCGACACCCACTTGTGTAAACATAAATGCAATGAATTTTCTAAAACAGTCTTTTATTTTCTCCCTAGGATCACTGCCTATAGTCGATGAAGAATCCCTGCTCCTCATGGAGCCATGGAAACTAGCGCTTATAGGGTGTTGTCGCTCCATAACAAATTTTTTTTCCGATGTTTGTTAGAACAGGGAGTGGAATAACGCCAGAGTTAACTATTTCGAGAATACTGTTGGCAAGACGCCAACAGACTTGTTTGACATTGATTACAAAACATTACCGTGTGAGCGCTTGATATGCTATAAAACAAATATATTTACTAATTTATTACATCTAATTAGTAAGTAATTTTCACCCTCAGTCATCTGAGGGTAAGAATCAAATTATTAATCAGTTATAATTCGTTCAATAATATTTACCTGCAATCGCTACACAAATCAAGAATTAATAAATACCAAAAAAATTAAATTAGTTAAAGGAAAAACACGGCTAATAAATATTGCAATCACACAAAACTTACAATCTCTGTCGCCAATTAAGATTTGCATTTCAGTTAGATATGAGATCCTTCGATATGTTTTAATATCAGCTTGAATGTCCACAGCCACAACACTTGAATTTAAGTACTTTAAGCACTGTAAAAGGTAAACTTTGATAGTAAGTAATAGTAAATACCTATTACTAATTTATTATATCACAATTATCAAAATTATAGGTACACAAAATCCAATTTGATATTGTGCAAATTGACATATAAAATTGACAAATTTAGTGACTGTCTATCCTGACTAGTGGTGACTGACTAGTGGTGACACAACAAATCTTAGTTGACGAATCATTAGTCGATTCTACATAGTTAGTTTCATATCGTTTGTGATTACATTAATTTTATTGACACTTTGATTCAAAGAAAACATTAGAAGCAATAATTAATGGTGACAATTAGATCAACAATACTTTAGATTATTTTTTTTGTTTTTTTTTTATATAATACAACAGCAAATTGTAAAATACTTAATCTTCACATTTTTAAAACTACACCTTAATTGTAGCTTGTACACATCACTTGGACCTCACTATTCATTGATTTTTTATTACGTCTGTTGTATGTATTTTGTTCCAGTGTTTGAAATTCAAAATCTTTAGCAACAATTTGTGATTTCACTTGTTTCGATGAATTGTATATAGTGCTATCCTGTCAGGATGCTAAATAACTACAATAATCGGAGTAGGGGAATGCGCAGATAATCAAAATCCACACGTTTTCTTGGCGTTGTTTGTTATCCGGCGTTGCGTTTTTATTAAAATTTATCATTTATTTCTGCTGTTGCAATATAAAATGTAGTGTGGGGCTATTGTCCAATGCATATTTATTAGTTTCTATCAAAATTTGTGTGAATCACATGTTAATTTCATTGTTAAGAAGTTACCTACGCGATTCTTTCTACTAATGGCTGAACAACCTACAATTGATCAGTGAAGAGGGACGCGTAGTAATAGTACGTATGAAACAACTTAAACTGTTGTTCTTTTGTTCGAATTACGATGAATGTTAATAAAAGCAATTTATTACCATCACAAAAAGCCAAGGTCGTTGCTATCGCTTACGCCGACATTTTTTTTTCAGGCAAAATATTGTTCAAACATGTAGCCGCAAATTAAATTACAAAACAATGTTTTCAATAGCAGCGTTCACAACAACCATTTGACACAGATGAAAACTTAATAGATGGATCATACTTAGCCCAGGGGTAGTGATGGAGTCACCCATTCAGTTCGAAGAGAGCGGCGGGGAGTGGTTGGTAGAGCTGGAACAGCTGATCGCTGGCTGCCCGAAACCGACCGCTATCGACGTTATCGGTGGCATTTTCTGCAATTTATGTCATTCAACATTTGGCAACAAGAAAGAGTTTGACCGTCACTACACTGAGCAGCATAATAGGATTCCTTCAGCCATAGTGTACACTTGCGTAGTATGTCACAAGGAGATAGCCCCATATCCCAATTTTCGCAACCACTGCTATCTGGCACATGTAGCTAAAGACAGGTTCAAGTAAGTATTCCTATAAATATGTCATATCCATTATAAATGAAACAAGTACTCAGAAAAAGCCAACATAATACTTTTCCCGGAATGTTATCAAAATAAGATTAATAAATTAAAACTTTCAATTATGAATTCAATAGAATTTAACCTCTAACTTTGACTGAAGCTCTAAATTGGATTTAAAGCATTCGTATTGGATCAGCGCAAATGAAAGGTCTGTAGAATGTGGAAGAAGTAACCAAGATGTATGTTATAATTACATTAAAACTTATTTTATTGGAGATTCAGGAATTAGATGCTTCACTAATTACACGACTCAAAACAAATTAGAAGTGCGTCATATTTTCTCCCAAACAAGATGCATTGTAAACTGCCAATAATGCCTGTCAAATGACATGCAATTTTTCATCGACATCATCATTGATAGTTTTTATTTAATAAGATCTTTGATTGTCTTTTAAAAGTGATTGTTTTGTTGCTACAGGTGTGAACTATGCCACAAGCCGTTTTCAAAACAATCCGTACTGACCAGTCATATTAATTCTGTCCACCTATTCAGGTGTGCCTCATGTCAAAAAGAGTAAGTACTTTTAAACTTAAGTTAAAAAAATATATATTAGAGTTTTAGCCTCCCCAGAAACAACTTCTATAAATCGTTTTTCGCTTCTTTGGGACTGAACTGAACATCCTACCATCAAAAATACCCCTATACCATTCAATAATTTACTGAACTTTATTTATTCCATTGAATCAGTGAATCACTTTAGTGGATGTTTTGTAATTTGAAACATGTTGATTTGAAATAAGTTTTTGTTAATCTTAAATATATTTTTGTTTTCATTCTGAAAGAAGCATGATAGGCATGACCAAGCACCCAAAAGTTTTAGTCAAACTAACAAATAAAAACGCATTTAAAATTTTTGATCACGCAACTTTAAGTTTTTGATATTGATTTCATTCATTCTCTAATAAAAGAAATTCATCAATATCAAACTCCAAAAATTTTTTTTTCAGATTTCCATCTAAAAGTGAACTGCAAACACATCAAAACCTTCATAAACGAGATAAAGAGAAGCCTCCTTACCCTTGCCGCCAATGCTCGAGTACAATAGAGAGTGTTGATATGTGTGAGATGCATATTGATGAACACTGCAAAATATTGTATCCGTGTCCTATCTGCAATGAGATATCCAGCAGCAAGCTTGATACCGCTAAACATCTTACAACCCATTTTGACGAAGCACTTACTAGCGAAATTGTTAGCACTGAACTCAGTACCGACTGCTCTGTTGACATGCTTGGAGGAATCCTCTGCTCGTATTGCGATGAACTATTCAAAAATAGAACAGATTTTGATCATCACTTCATTAATGAACATTCAGACAAAGATATTTTTTACTCATGCAACATTTGTGGGAAACAGTACCGAAAATACCATTTATTCGCCGACCACTGCTACTTTCACGTCGCCAAAAATAGATTCGAGTGAGTATTATGATGATAGACTATCACTATGACTTGCAATTGTAAATATACATGTTTCCCTGTATTTCTAAAATGTTTGTAAATATTGTAAAAATGTAATTTTGAATACACCACCCACATTCCATTCTTATATTATATAGGTTGTGACCTCTTCCCAGGATTAAACTTATTTTAAAACCTTTCAAAAAGAAGTGTATTTTATAAAATTATATATAGTTATTGGTTTAATCTCCAGATGTGTAGACTGTGGCAAGTTATTTCCTCGCCTATCTCTCCTCGTGCTCCACACGGAAGCGTTCCACACTCCGGGCTCGGCAGACAATAAGCCGTTCAGCTGCGTCCAGTGCGGTCACGCGTTTGGCTCTGTACGCAGGCTTCACGAACATCTGCGTGTTGTCCACACTGTCAACGCCTTCACTTGCCCTGAAGATGGATGCAACATGAAGTATGTAAAACAATATAATACATTATTTAAGATGTTTAAGCTTCTACATTCGTCACGAAAGTATGTGTATATAATGGCTGCCCATTTATTTGCATTGATTCTGCGGAGTGCTCATATCTTCGTGCATTTATTGTTATCTTCTAAATGTTATAATTTTCACTTAACTATATTATTATTTATTTCCTTATTATTCATGACATGAATATGTTTTGTGTACAGATTTGATACACCCAGGGATCTGATCCTCCACCAGCGCACCCATAAAGCATCTCGTGACAACTGGTGTCGACAGTGCGGCCTGCAGTTCACCACGCTATCATCCTGCCAGGCACATCTCGACGTTCACCGCATGAAGCATTATGCCTGCCCCGTTTGCAACAAAGAGTACCGAGAAAAGTACCTGATCACCAAACACATCCCAATACACTTTGAGTCAGTACTCCATGTCTGTAAGGTCTGTGGAAAGGTATTTAACGCTCGCCACCGGCTCGTTGAGCACACAAAAACACACTCCGAAATCAGACACCACAAGTGCAGCTATTGTGGCAAAGGATTTATGAGACCGTATCAGCTTGAACAACATCTCAACATCCATACCGGTTCGAGACCCCACAAATGCATCATCTGTTCCAAAACTTTCGCAAGTTATCCAAACTGCATGAAGCACCTCCGCAAAGTGCACAACATTGATAGAAACAAGCTAAAAACACTCGCCGAGGATACCAAAAAAGCTACGAAAAACGTTTCCGCTGCAAAAAATAGAAAGGACTTTGATAGTAGTTACAGTGAAGTTAAAAGCGAATCAGGCATAGAATCCACGAGCCCTGAGATATCACTGGACACGTACATATTCGCCGAGTCCGACGACAGCACTATGGACAGCATTGATCCGACGATAATCAAGAAGGATTGGTGTATTTTGAACGAAAATTCATTAATCGACAATAGTCTACAATATATGGATATGCTGCCGGTCACTCATACCACATTTGAAACTGGTAAGTTTTTTTTTTAATATATGTATACTAGCACTACCACTTTAATAGCGTATTACTGTAAAAAGCAGCCTACCTGCTATTTCAGACCATAAACCAATCTCTGTGGTGGCATAGAGTATCTCTACTCAAATTCTAGTTTTTTTTTTTGAGTAGGCCTTGTTCCAGTGCAATTTTAGATGTCAGTAGAATATAAAAAAACAAGCCACTACAATAACAGAAATGAGATGACTCCGATAACCTGTGTGGAAGGTCATAAAAATCACATCAATACAAATATATAACTCAACATAGACCAATCTATGGGCTTACAACTAAAGCAACGCAAGTTCGTGAAATCATGAAAAACTGATGCATAATGAAGATTTCACAAAACCCAGTCTGGTCCCATAAACAGACAAAGCTTTGTCCTTACATCTAGTGGCTAGAGCAATTCGATTAGAGATTTATCATTGATGTAATTTTAATGCAGTAATAAGCTTTTGATGTATCTCTGGTATGAATGAGAACAAATAGGTATACATCCATTCTAACAAAGATTTTTATGATTCTCTAAATTTCTAAAACAATACTCGGTGCAATTGTAACAAGATGTGTTAGGTTTTTCATTTCTTACTTACAAAAATACCAACTAGGGATTTCATAGAATAGTGTGAATGAGAAAATCGTATTTATTTGTATAGAAATAAAAGCAACCCCCCTGGAGTGCTCGGGGGTGGGCCAGGGCGCGGTCCTGCGCGAGTACGGGCCCGAGTTCAACGTGGCGGACGGCATCCACCTGGACGACCACTACCTGCCGCACATCGACCCGCGGCTCACGATCAAGCCGCAGCCCGCCCCGCGCCTCGCCTCGCCCGCCGACCCGCTCATCACCAAGCTGTACCAAGCGTATGAATTAGACGACGTCAACAGACTCTCCATTATAAACACAGATATATTCTAAGTATATTGTATTTTGTATCCATATTTGAGGCTCGCTGCAGTCACTGCCGTTCGACAGTGATGAGAAATATAATTTTCACGTATTTCATCCGAGTTTTTCAGACTCCTGCCGATTATTTATAGAATGCTTTAATGACGTGTTAACAGCTGACGTTATGGGTACTGCACGTGGCGTGTTTCAGCGACTAATACTATGATGGACGGTAGATCACCGCACCTCAAAAATTAACCTGTTCAACCACATGCAGACCTCAAAACGTTCATTATGAACTGTATAGGAGTCTGAGTTACTCACTTGAGTTCGAACGATATAATATGACTCACTCTTATTAAAGTTGAATATCTGCCTGCAGTAGGCCTTGTAGATGTTAATAGATAAATAGTATTGTTGTGGTCGAGCGAATTTGAACACTAATATAAAAGAAATGGGAGTGCATGTGATCAAAATCGCTCGTCCGACCCGCAAAACTACCTCAGCCGGAAACGACTATATACCTCAGTAATCCATAGGAAATATTTTAATGTAACTGTTGATATATACATTTATATAACATAGATCCCACCAAACATTAGTTGGTTAATGTTCTTTAATCATATTCATAATAATGCTATGCTACCTCATTTAGTTGTTTAAGTTATCGCTTAAGATGTTGCTTAAACTTATGCCTCGACATAATATGTAGAACGGAATATAGTTTTATGTGCCATTTAACGATGAGTCTGCGACCGAGGAATTATGAACCGATAAACGTATTATGGAAGTTAACGTCTTGAAACGAATAGTGCAGGTTATCAAGCGAATACTTAAAAAAAACTCATTTACATGTAATCCGTAGACAGTTTCCTAAAAAGTGTGGTTAAATCTTTACTTTGGGGGTTTCGTTAATTCCTGACGTCGCCGACTTCTGTTCTGAGACAGGCGCCAGTAAAATATTTAGATTGCTGTTCAAAGGTTTGGTTTTCAATATTGCATTCGATGATTTTGATCCAAAGTTAGAATAAGACATTCTAGTGAACAAATTATTTGCGTTTGTAAATACTTTGGGTACTAGCGGCACTCGTGATTGCATTTCGACGCTTTTTGAGGCCGCCGTTGGTAGCAATCGAGACATTTCTATCATTTCAGTTGTTTAACTACCTTTCTAAAGAACATTCCATCCTTTAGAAATAAATAAAACCGCAGTGAAATGACTCGTGGCGGCGAAAACAAGAACACACAACACAGTATTACACAGTTGGAAACTCTTTGTATAAAGCACCAGGTATAGCTTCCCTAGTCCATCGAAGTACAGCTCTGAGACCAACGGCGGTTTGCTCATGCATTTCAATTTCGATTCCTTTATTATTATTGTTATTTTTTATTCAAAAGTTACGACGCAAAGCGTCGTGATTTTAGTGTAAGTGAATCGATAGTGCTGTGATATTTTTTATGTAAATTTAGTGTTAAGATTAGAGAGTGTAACGTAACGAGTGAGTACAAACAATGTAATGTGTAGCGTGTTACGGCGACTTGGAGACAGACAGGATACACGCGGCTCGGCCCGGAAGTAACATTTTTGAATAGCTCGGAGCGGTGCGGGGCCGGGCCGCTCAGCTAGTATACATTTGGAAATAGAGAAATGACGTTGGTACAAAACATAGAGATGCGTAAGCAACCTAATTAAAATCGATCGATACCGGTGTTGCCACACCAAAAAAAAAACAACTTGACAATGTTTACTTAAGCAGAATCAAGCTGCAACTTAAAAATGTTGATGTAAATGTTAAAAAAGAGAAATAATATTTAACTCCGAAATATATTTTGGAGAGAATTATTTACAAAGTGAAGAGAGGGGTCTTAGTGATAAAGATATCCAAAGACTGCTAGGTATTATGAGTTCTTTGAACTTGAAATTTGACTTATAAGTCAGGGATTTATGCGGAATAAAGTCAGATGTTACGAAAGCAAAACAAGTAATAGACAACGGCGTAGCTATCGGATAATCATAGGCTTCGACACGAAAACGACAAAATTAATAATGAAACGAGTATTCGGCGCTCCGAATAACTCGCGGAAGGACGTTGGGCAAACTGCTCGCACCGCGGGCTCCGCGGGAGGCTCGCGTTTCGGAGATACTCTTGTATCGGCACGACCGCGCTCGCTGGCTCGGCGCTGGCCGCCCACGCTAGATTGGTTCCCCAGTGGCCGACTGCGCGGTAGGCGATCTAACAAAAGCAAAAAAAAAATTCATGTGGCGTTAAATTTTGTACAAGTTTGCCAGTCGATGATAGCAGTATTCTATGTCTTTTTGTCGTAATCGATGTTCGTGAAACTGTTGTCTAAATTATATAAATTAAAAAAAAGTAGTCCCTACCGCTGCGGTCGTCCAATCGCTGTCAGTTCTGTGCGAGCTTGTGACAGTTATAATATACATAGCATTTAACTCACATACAATATAAGGATGTCTTAAAACCTCGCCTGAGGCTTTCATTATTCAATATAAATAGTACTTATTTCAAAACTTCTGTATTCATGAAAAAACCATTTTGATGTTAAATTTTTTGTTGCAAAGGGTACAATAGTATGTTTTTATTCTAATGACACTGCGTTTAACTATACACGATTAGTTGTAAAATAAGTATAATCTCTAGCAAATTAGGTGTGTAAACAATTAAAACACAACTTTATAATTTTAATATGGTCTCTGAACAGTAGAAGAGTGTTAATTTTAATGACTCGTTTCTAAACAACTATAACGGTATAAATAAAAACAAGTTGACTAATTATCCCACTGCTGAATACATTCCCGATCAGTAGGCGGGATTTAGGTTTAAGCCTACAACGAGTTTGCTAGATCATAAAATCTAAACACCTAGTTAAGCATTCAAACTGTTCCTGACCCGAAGTACCCCATTGTACCCTTTGCGACCGTATTTGTCCCTAGCTTTTAGGTGTTAGATTATAGTCAATCACAGGGTATTGTGGTTCTATTTTATCGGAACGTGTTTTTAAAACGATTAGTAAGCGATAATTCGCACCCTCAACAAGATGGCTACGTAATACTACCCCAATACCCAAATACGTGTACAAAATAAGTACCATTCTAAATCTGTATTAAAATATAAGGTTTGCAGGCCGGGTTACGATATATACTTACAGGGATTTTTAAAAAACGTCTTGTAAGAAATCCGTTTACTATGTGTAGCTTTTGTGTGTAAAACTATAAAATGAATTTCTTTATACGACGTTTTGCAACTGTACCTTTGGTACTGTTGCGGGCCTGACTATGTTCATGTCAACCATTCATTTACTGAAAGTACTTTATAAATGTCCTATAAACTAATGTGTTACTTTGGATATGTTCCAATAACTGTTTAGAAAATAAAAATTCAGAAACGTTGAGTCATATTTGTCTAAAACAAAAACTGTATTGATAACAACCACGACTACATACTATTAGACATGTTGACATGAACGTAATCCCATAGTATTCGCTAAATAAATAATCATATTGCATGTAAACTTGGTAATAATAAGGTATAAAATTATGTAGTAAGGCAATGGTGAAGTTTATCAAAACCCGGTCGATGTTTCAAGTAGTAAGCTAAAATTTTGTTTTCATTCAGAATTGTTCTTCATTTTAGTAAAATAAAGAAGTAAAATGCATAATAAGTATACATAGTGTTACATTCTGGTTATTTGGCGTTGCAATGACATGTGTACATATTTCTATGACAAACTTATCCTTGAAACCTGACACTGCAGTTCTTTGATGTACTTATTTTCTCGGCAAGACTAGTTTTTAGTATTTTGAGATTTTTCAATTTACAACTTTTAGAGTTTACTGTATTTTGAAATCTCTTTTATGAAATTTACCTATATATATCTTGAGAATATAACCATATGAAATATAATTTTTTGTATATGGTGTTTAAGTGTGGTGATGAACTATTTTGATATATTTTAATATTTATAGATATTTTTGAGTCTTGTCGTGTATTTAAGTAGCTGGCCTAAATCATTGAACGGTGCTAGGAACTAGTGGACCATGATTTGTTGGAGCTTACGTAGCGCCCGCGCCCACGCGCCCACTTGGCATTAAACATATGCAGCTGAATCATGGCCTACACGTTTTGTGGGTAGAAAGGATAAATTTAATCAGCTTTTTCGCTTTGATGTTTTAAACTTTTGACATGATATGATGTATACTTTAAGAAACTGTATTTTTTGTGCGTCAAGCTTCTAATTGTAAATAGTAAACGCTGTTACATTTATTTTCTTATATTCAATAGCTGTATGGGAATTGTTTTAAAACTCTTATATTTAGCTATATAATTACCGAGACAGGAAATGTTAATGTTTACAAGACAAAGATTTTTCTGCCTCGGTTCAGATACAATTAATGTACCGAACTACCTCTTGCATGCCTCATGGATAACAGTAAATATTATAGAGACTTTTTGTTATTGCGATTTAACTTTACACATTGATATATTTTGTAACTACGTTATATTAAACAGATAATTATAAGGGACATAGGTTTTACAGTTATAATATTGCTATATGAAGTGTAGAGTTTGATGTGAGCATTATTACTTTCCGTTTCAATGTAGAGCGCTACTCAAATCTGAATGGAAATTATTGATCCTTATACATATTACATAATACAATCTGACTAGTTCGCATTGGGTTTTATTTTATTTGCCTTTTCTTTGTTATTCTCTATAGGAATGGGATGCATTGGCAAATTTTATTAATTCAAACTAAAGACCGCCCAAATGCGTGTCGGGCTTCGCTCATTTTAGTATTCTGTAGTCGACGGGTAGTAAACCCGTTTTAAAGGTGTCAGTGACACTGGCGTGGCTACCAACAAGGTTTGCAATTTTGATAACAAAAAAATGTGCGAAAAATTGGGATTAATTAACTAGGGCCTAAGGCCCTAGTTTTTGAAATATAAGCATGGCCAAGCTGGGGACACTGACCCCAGGTCGGCCGCCTATAAACGCTTATAACTTTGAACTAGTGACCGACAAATTCCAACTAATGGTTTTGCTATACTTAAAAATATATCCTATACAACTGTTTCTCATAGTTCACATAAATTAGATTTTGGTCTTCTATACTAGCTGACTTTTTATAGTGCAGTGGACAAATAAGCAGCCGGCAAGTGATTCAAAAACAATGATCACGTTGGCAATGTTTTCTTCTATTGCAAATCCAACACTGGAATGAGAAGCTTTCCGGTTTCTCGCTAAAATGGCTGAAGCTGAAGCATTAAATCTTTCAATGGAGACATTCTAATTGAGAATCAAGACTCCTTAAGCTATCTGTAAAAATGAAGTATGGCTTTTGATGGAGTTAAATGCACAATGCAATTTGGTTTTACAAGGGGTCGCTTCACAACTGATGCTAGTGTTGAGCCAGTAAAACATGTATTTGATGCCTGGGAGGATACCCACGATTAGGTATCTTTTGTGATTTATCTAAAGCTTTTGAATGTGTTGTTCATGAAACGCTGATCAGGAAATTACAGCACTACTGCAATCAAAAATAAAGGAGTAGAACTTCTTGCTTCATAGCTGTATAATAGGATTCAGAAAGTTGATATTAATGGTGAGCAGTCTCCAGGCTCTGTGGTACAAATTGGCGTTCCGCAAGGTTCTATTCTCGGCCCTTTTTTGTTTTTAGTATATATTAACGACTTACCTCACTTTGTCAAGGACAATCTCGAGATTGTGTTGTTTGCAGATGATCATCACTACTATTTAGACAAACGGACACTTACTAAATTCACAGACGTAAACAGCGCCATTTCGAAAGTGGTTCAATGGTTTGACGTCGACAGTTTGCTTTTAAATTAACAAAAAACTAAGTGTATACGTTTCACTATGCCACACGTCAAGCCAGTGAAAACTACTGTTATGATTAAGGATGTCGAGTTGGACCTTGTGGATATTACGACATTTTTAGGTGTGGGCCCACTTCGCTTAGAATCTATTCTAAGCTAAAGTGGGGCCCACATGTCGATAAATTATCGAGTAGACTCAGCTCAGCAGCATACGCAAACAGAAAATCTCGAGAGTTGACTGATGTTGATACAGCACAACTTGTCTACTTCAGTTATTTTCACAGCATAATGGTACTACATTATGCTGTGAAAATAACTGAAGTAGACAAGTTCTGCCTCTAGGCTCCAAAAGATAAAGAAGTCGTTTCGAGGTCAATGTGTCCGATTTTATAATAAAATCCCAAATGATATTCAACTCAAGTATTAAGAAATTTAAATCCCATATTATAAATTTCTTATAAGCATAATTTTATTTTTTAAAAATCCTAACTATTTGACAAAACAGATTTTTGCTATTGTGTGTGTTGATCTACGACTTTAGAGTCTACATAAAAGACGATTTCAACGGTCTTAATTTTTTTATGAAATAAAGATAATTTGAATTTTGCACCCAGGTACCAAAATACCTGTTGGAGTGGAGTTTTTAGATTAATTTCGATGCTGTTTTTGCCATGTAGGGTGTGACAAGTACATACAAAACTTCAAACTTCGTACAGAGTAAACCCAGTGGGAACCAAATCTCAAGTCGAACAGACGAGATCTCATGCTGTTTGTGAATGTTCTACTCTCACTCTTGTACTCTATGCTTATAATGATAATACACGTGCATCTCCAATCACTCTTTGTCACCATTGGTAAACATTTAAGTCGCGACTATGGGTCAATGGAGGCAGACAACAATCTCTTCTGATATGTATAAGACACGTGGTAGCCCGACGGTGGTAGAGTGTAACACCATCTGTGTAAGATGTTATCAATATTTGAGCTAAATAAAACACAAAGAATGCTTATTACAATTTAATGTAAATTCATAAACTAAAATAAGTAACCGATGTACCTACAAATAAACCCGTGCTTACTCAAACAAAACACACTAAAAAATGACACTCAGATTAATATATGTATAACATTGCCTGTCACGTGATTTGGCTAAGGTATCAATAACAACACTGCTAGTTTGTAACATAATGTACTTCATTTCTAAATGACATTTTGTAATGTTTAAAATAGGTAAAAAAACGGGTACATAATTATTTCATGACAGTACAAGCATTGCAATAATTTATACCCTTTAGTATAAAATACGAGTGAACACAGCCCGATAATTCAAATATACATAAAATAGAGAGGAATGATTCGTCTAAAGAAGACAAAAACTGGCGGTAAGATTTCATTGTGTCGATGGTGCTTAAAACAATAAATTGACTAAACTAATCGTTTCTGTAAAGAGATTTCTTATTTTGAAGACAGCTTACAATTACACAAGGCAACTATATATGCTTACGTTATAATCTGTGTAGAAACATTTGGCAGATAGTTAACAACACGATTTTTCCTGACTGCTTTAAGTCGATTCATTAAAACTGAATCTAAGGACGTTTACTGCGTTCGAAGAAAAATATCAACCTTACAACTTGAAAGTCTTCTTACATCTATTGCTTGTTTGGGGAAAAAAAATGAAATGAAATTAAAAGACTATGGTCTTTTAATGGTAGACATAAGATATGAATGCAAACATTTCTGAAATATGTAGTTGACGTGCGATTTTGTTGCGTTTTAGGCAAAATTGTAAGCAAAATTGCTTCTATACAGATTTTAGGTAAACATCTTTATGCTTTTAAATCTACATATTCTTGAACTGTCCTTCTTTGTCAAGCATAAGAATGTTGGGGTTTTCTTTTTCAAATTCGGTCGGTTCGCGAGCTCGCTGCTGGTCGGTCCACTCCCCTTCTCCGGTCCCCCACTCGCCCACCTTCTCTCCTATTACATCCACTTCGTTTTTAGCTCTTATCTTTTCCATCTGTCGAAGATTGGGAGACAATTTATTTTAAACATAAAAAACAAAAAATGTTCTCCTAGTGTTTAACTTTAGGTTTAGCAGTATTAAAAATGTGTGCACATAAGCAAAACAGTTTAAGTTTTGAGTTAGATATTTCTGATGGTTTAGGTAAAGGCTGAAAATTTCAGCTATCTAGAAACTGTCATGCCCATTTGGATTTTCCACTGCAAAATCGACAATAAACATGAGACACTAATATAATACAGTGATGAGACAGCAATCGACGTGGGTGCGTTTAAAAGATCGTGCGAACCTGTTACCTCCGTGTCGTGTTTGGCGAACTTGTCAAACATGTTGGCATACATCTGCTTTTCTGTCTGCTTCTGCTTGCGGATTGTTGTTTTGCACACGAGCACTTGGTTAGCGGCTGCCTGTGAACATAGCACGCATTTTATTCTTACGTAAGGACAGAAATGACTGAGTAGTGCTGGATGTGCGACCTAGTGTCTGTGAGGAACACGACGACCGCAGGCGAGCTCCACTGAGCCTATGTGACTATGACACGTGATTTCGCCGCGATTTATAGAAATATATATATATAAAAAAAAAAAACGGTTTCTTCTTTGGCTTTATATCGAATAATCGCTTATTAAATGCTAGACTTTATAAAGTGGATTGGGACATTACGCTGCATTACTTATCCCTAATTAATCATATGATTGGCAGACGCATTTTCAATATATATTTTGTAATATAATCTTAGTCAAAATTTTGCTAATAGTAAATACTCCTTATAAATCAACTATTGTACTGTGTATTTCGCCTATTGTGTTTCTTTTCCCAACACCTTTTTCTTGTCATCATCACATACAACAGCCTTTAATAGTCCACTGCTGGACATAGGCCCCTCCTTGGAAAGGAGGTTTTGGCCCTTTATTCTTGTAAAAAGAAAAAAAATTGCAATAATTACCTTATTCTGTGGTTCAATTTCCAAAACTTTTTCAAAGGCTTTCAACGCCTCCTCTGCATCTCCAAGGCCTAACACTGCCTGCCCTTTTCTGAAAAGTCCTTTCACATTCTTCTCATCGTACTTGAGAGCTTTAACAGCATGGTCCTTGGCTTCGAAGTAATCAATGGGTGTGAGTTTTAAGTAGACTAATGCAAGGTTCAAATGGACTGACAAGAGTAGTTCCGGAGCTTCTTTTTTTTCCTGAACCAGAAGAGGTTCATTTACATTATCTATTATATCTGTAACATAATAAGGTTAGCCATTAGGGGTCTATCAAAACACCCACTGTCACAATTTGGAGGAGAACAAAAAATATCGTCTTAGAATAATCCATTAAAAAAATAGTAAACATATCATTTCTAATTATATTCATTGTTAATTCTCAGTGTTGCTGTATTGACTATCAGTTTTATTTTTATTATCTTTTTTGGATTCAGTTAGTTCAAAATATCTATAATACAGAAACTTCTCAATAATCTTGTTACATTCCCAATAATATCTAGAATGTTACTGTATGGGATATCAACTCTGGACATAAGTTATTATATTATTATCATTATCATGTTTGAACTTCTGTAAGAGGTAACTCTTTCACAAGTGTTATCTCTTTCTGGTGTTAACAAGGTTCAGATTCACACGGACAGCAGAGCATACATTGATTTTTGCCGATATTTAACAATCATGGTCATATATCAGCCATTTTACACTATAGATACCTTAGTGTTTAATTATATACACGGATACCATCCTTATGAATCACGTCTTTTAATAGTGGAAGCCGAAAATCGGTTTAGTACTTAATGAGTTTATCGTGTCCATACAGACATAGAGATGCTGCTGGAGGACTTTGTTTTTAACCGACTTCAAAAAAAGGAGGAGGTTCTCAATTCGACTGTATTCTTTTTTCTTTTATAACATGTAATGATAAAATGAATAAACTCACTTTCTAGTAATGAAACAACTCTCTTATACATCTTAATGGCAAGCTGTAACTTGCCCGCCTTAAAGTAATTGGTGCCTTTTTCTTTGGAAATCTTAGATTGTTCTATCTTTTCTGATGGATCTAGTAACCAATCTTGCTTGGTATTTTCAAACTTGATCAGTTTAACAATATATTCTACTGCAGTGTTCGGTGGCACACCAAGTTCGGCATCCCCTTCCGATTTGAAGGCGTATTTAGGTTGGATCGTTAACCGAGATTTCTCATTTTTGACGAACTTATCCAAAGCTATCTCGATGCCGTCACAAATTTTATGTTCGCTACCTTCACCCAAATGAAATGAAACCGTTCTCGTATCAAAGGTTTTGCCTTCTGGTAGTAGTCTACCTTCGAGCTCCACTGTGAAATACAGAAAAAATATATTAGCTTAAAAGAAAATTGTGCATTTGGTCGATGGAGTTTATATCGGGTAAGTTGTAATAATTGCAGCGCGGTGGTGAGGATTTGTACTCGGCGATGTGGGAACCCTTCACCGCTATGTAGGAAAAAGTACAAGCCCCTAATACTTTATATTACCCTGGTATTTTCTACTCTCAGTGCCTGGTAAAGTCTATCTGAAAAGATTCTGCCAGGCTCCCAATTAGGCTTCCAACCTGACCGTGGTACTTGTGAGACAATTTCCTTATTGCGTCAATTGCAAGAAAAAAACAGAGAACAGAGTCGCATTATGTATCTCTGTTTTGTGGACCTTGAGAAGGCATTCCAACAGTGTGCTGTGAGGAGCCCTCTGGATAGTGCTGTGGAAACTTAGATGCACGGAGAAGCTTCGAACCGAACAATCGCTGCTCTGAACTAGATGCTTGGCCATTTTATCGGCTCGACCGGAGTGATACCACGGCCTCACAGAAAACCAGTGTAGTGTGTAAGTACCTTTATACCGGTGTTAAGCAATTCTTTCGCTGCCTTTCACTGAGTGAGTGAGGTTACCGGAGCCCAAACCCCCCCTCCCGCTGACGAACTCGAACGGGAGGGACTCCAAGAGCATCAACGCACTTGTGACTTTTGAGTTGCAGGTGTCCATGGGCGGCGGTAGTTGCTTACCATCAGGTGACCCGTCAGCTCGTTTGCCCCTTTATACCATAAAAAAAAGATGCTCGGCGCGATGAACTAAAAGCACGCCTTGTGCTACTGTCTACTGCACTAGTTGCATCACATAACTACTGCAATGATGTGCTTACATGCCCGCATTATGTGCGTACGTTTATCATTAAGATCGGTAGGTCGGATCGATCACTAAGTTTAATGAACCATGAAAATTCGGCATTAAGATAATAGATGCATGATATTTTAGTAAAGTCGACAAAGTAGGAAGGTTGGTACAAAGGGCATTACAAGTTGCGACTGTTCAGCGGCTACAAGTAAACCACTCCAGTTTGGGATCATGTTTGGTTCTGATGACTCCAATAGATTGGACTAAGTAATGAAGGTCTGGTGATGGGGTCAGGACTCAGGCGTTTAATGATAGAAAACTTAGACTTAGACATTTTAATTTGATTCGCTACTAAAATATTTTTTTTAGGTCTTCTAAACTAGATTTTTTTAATCTATCTTCATTGTTACGAGCCGGGTATTCAACTAATAAAATGAGTCGGTTACTTACTAAACTTGCACAGTATTTACAAACACTCAATTATATGGGGCAACATTATGTTCAATATCCCTTATCTGTGTAAAAAGTTTACAAGCATATTTAAACATAAAAGATAGAAACAAAAATGGTTGACTATTAAATTACTTTACGCTTCTTTGTTCTATTGACACATATCCTGTTGCACCTATCCTTTCTAAACAATATAAGGATTAAACAAAATGCGATATGTTCTAAGCAATGAGCACCATATATGCTCTTATTGTTCACGGCATAAAAATTGTGTAGGACATAGTACCTAGGACATATTTCTACCACTCCTTAACCTATAGTAACCACTCTTGCTAATAACTCAGATTATCAGGTTTGAAGTGAGTTGAATAATTAGTGCTTTTTATAGCACAAAATTCATCCCGTGGGTGTCGTAAGAGGCGACTAAGGAAGCGAAATAACAGCACTGCAGAGAGAATGAAAACTTGACACAAACCCTATACCAACCCGTCTGGCCAGCATGGTATAGTAGGCCAAAACCTCCTTTCTAAGGAGAGGCCTATGTCCAGCAGTGGACTGTTAAAGGCTGTTGATGTGATAGCACAAAAGGATTGAAGAGGTTAAACACGATACATTCATAAAATAATATTACATCCTCCACTACCTTACCTGTAACATAAGAGCCGTCATTGGGGTTGTCGGTACCGCTTCCTTGTTCGATGATGTGCCGCAAGATACCTTTGTTGTTACCAGGACTTAGATCCTCCTCCTTCCAACCAATCATTTCGATCTGATAAAACAGAATTATCACATGTTACAAATAATATTATTAGATACATTTGTGGCGTGATTCTTTGGGCGCAACCCGTGCGCATCTTTGGCTGCGTCTCTCAAATGAATACATCTGTACAAATTTTGTTGTTCGAAAACTCAAAAAAAATTGTTTACTCCTGTCAAACAACGTTTCGTATTCTGAACTTGAGAGGACTAAACTAATTTTTAGTTTAGAGAGTTTTCGAACAACAGAATTAGCACCATTGTCCCCGTTTTAGCAACATTTTTATTGATGCTCGATTCCTATTGATCGTAGCGTGATGTTATATCCTTCCTCGATAATTGGGCTATCCAACACTAAAAGAATTTAAAATTTCGAACCAACAGTTCCTTTCAGTATATCAAGTTGTGTTCAACCAAACAAACCCGTAGGCTTTATAATAATATTAGTGTAGAATATTTATTTGAGAGATATTCTTAATACAAATGCAAGAAGTAATAAGAATAGGAAAAGGCTTGAGCCTTTTCTTTACATCATGACTTTAAATCCAGTTTGTGTAAAATTCATTGTGATTTAAATGTTTCGTTTTAAATACTATTTATTATACCTAAATGCACTTATGTAAGCTAAACAATAAAATAAAGCCTTGTATTTATGCAAATAGCAAGAACTTGTACAACTGTGACAACCTTGTCAAGCAATTTTCCCTTTTTTTTGAAGTGATAACTTCTTATGGGAGGGTAAACCGCTTCGTTACTGTCTGGCTTCCCTTTCTCTCACGCATACGGCAGCGGAAGGCAGGCTCCTCCTCTCTCACTCTAGCCCACAGCGCTAGCCGTATTTCGAACAGACTCTTTACGTAAAATTTAAGTAATAACATAATGTTTTCTTAAGATAAGCAATTTCAATATTTAATAGTTCAACTTAGATTAGTTTAAGTTATCTTTATATAGTTTTTTTTTTCTTTTTGTGCGTAACTCCCCTCGGATACCACCCACCAGTGGATGATTATGTCAGACTCGAACGGACCAAAAACCGCACGCCGTCTCCAGGTACCAGTACGGTACCCCGACGTACCTCGGGCCATCTACGGTTTATAGTTGACCCTTCCTGTGTGGGAACTCGGATGTTCCCTTCCTGCCCCCGAAGGGCGTGCGCGCTCCGTAGCGCGTCTTGCCGCCACCCACCCAGGCCTGCTCCTGCTAGAGTGACAGATAGCCTCACCTGTCACCCTCAGGGGTGCGCTTATGGAGGATGGAGGTCGTTTTGCAACCTCCGGCACCTGAGCCGTCTCCGATACCTGGCCCGGGAGTGTTCTGAACCTCTCCCGGTCCCGCTCCGCAATCTCCTTCGCAAGCATTCGGCCAGGAGACTCGCCGCCTCAAAGGAGATCGTGCGGTACCCCCTCTTATGACCCTGATGGCCAGTACTAACCACGAACTAACAATTGAGATATCATTTACATTTGTACCACATAAAATAGTTAAGATCATTATAGGCCTAATTGTTAGGAATTAGCGCAATAAAGGTCATAGCTCATTTTATTTTTTATTTGTGCTTGTGTATAAAAGTATCTTAGTGATTAGTGTTAAAACCTATAGGCGCCTACAACTCATGATTTCTACACTACCTAAAGGTTGACTGGGAGAGAATGCCTTGGGCATTAAGTCTCAGCGGAAATGTGCATAAAGTTATAAATAAATAAATTGTAGTGTCATTTCTGCAAAAATGTATAGTACTGAACCTTCTTGTTCATTTAGGCTTGATATAGCTCCTGGAACAGTATAAAAAATCTGTATCACTAACATTTTAACTACATTGTTGCATGATGTGGTCTGTATTGACCACGATGTCCTGTAACATGCACCACATGTGATAAAGCATGATAATATATATCTATTTCCACAGGTTTCAGTATTTAGACTGTGCAGATGGCATAGTGGTTTAAGCAGGCACCACACCCCTTCCTTCTACACCTAGTGTTGTGAGATCAATCCCTGCATGGGACGTCACTTTGTATGATCTGAGTCTGGGTGTTCTTTGTGTCTGTTTCATGTATGTTTGTAAAGTTCCCTGCGACACAGGATATATTCCTAGGGAAATATTTCCTCTTTTTAAAAAAGAAAACAAAAATTGATTCTTGTCCATTCAATAAATACAATCAGATTCTAATAAGAATATAGACTCACTTCAAACTTCAATGTAGCATTAGGAGGGATCGTTGGTTTACTGCCAGCTGCACCGTAGGCATATTCAGGGGCACACGTCAGCACACACACCTCTCCTTTCTTCATAGTCATTATGCCAATGTCCCATGCTTTGATAACAGTACCTAAAAAAAGAGTTTATTCTCTGTTTAATCTCCTATCAGAGTTAAATTGTTCTGAAACTATTATTTTGTGGATAACCAGAGAATTGTTCAGATAAGAATTTAATGGAAAATATGTAAAGTATAGAAATTTGAATAATGTTTTTACTTAACTGTTTAATATTTCTACATTTTCATTTTCTTAGAGAAATATAATTCATTCTCAGTAATTTTTCTAATGTAATAAATTATTTAAATCAAGAAAATAATATAAATTGTTGCAGGTTTTTTCAAGATTCAGATTTACAAAAAAAAAATGTTTTCTTATATAACGAATATTTCACTCATAATTCATGAAAGAAATGTACACGACAAGATAATTTTTACATACTAGGCACTTATGAAGATGGGGATAAATAATTATGGACCCCATTAAATAATAAAAATCAGAACTCAAGGTAATTAAAAGAATTAGGCAAGTAATTATATATTTTAGTGTTAAAGTTACTAGGAAACTGTTCTATGCATAATTAATTACAATATTCTGCATCGAACAAATTTAAATAAAAAGGTCAATTATAATTAACCTCAACTTTCAAAGATCACATATTATTTTATGCTGCTGGAACTAGCATAATTTACAAAGATTATTATTAGTTTTAAAACATGTTCTGATTCCAACTAGAAAATCACAATTCAGACAATTATCACAACCTTATCCGACACATTTATTAGAATTAACGAACGTTAAAAAAACTGAGAGAAAATAATAACAATGTTTACCGACCTTTGCCCACATTGAATTCAAAGGGCTGATTTCTATCCCTGCTGGAATCGAATTTGGTACCATCTACAAGAGTCCCGGTGTAGTGTACGGACACCGAACATCCAACATTAGGAGTATCAGTTCCTGTCCCTTCTTTGATTATCCTTTTCAGGACACCGCGGTCTCCCACCTTTGTAATATCGACGCCCTCATCAACAGTCATATTGGCAATTGATATAAACTTAGAAGAATTTGCTCTTAACTATATCGTCAATAACTTTTCGAAATCTCGAGTGCCGCAATCTAAACGAAATGCGCGTTGCCGCCGGTAATTTTTTTACAAGTTACAATGGCACAGATTATACACGAATACACGAGGTAGCGTGGTTATTGCCTATGGAGGGTTTTAGAGAATTTTCTAGAGAGAGAGCATAGTGCAGTTTTTCACAATATTAGCTAGTAAACACTGTGTTGCCATGAATATGGTACATTAATTGTTCAAAGAGCAGCAAAGGTTAGGAAACATGTTAGTATAGTGAAAATTAATAGTGAAAATTTGTATTTAGAAATCATTAAACAAAAATTTTGATTTGTTAAGTTTCCTTTAAAAATAATTAAATTCAACCTCACAGTAAAAAAAACCTAAAAGGTTTTAAACAGGAGCGTATCAATCGACACTGACGACTACGATACGCAATGACACACAAATATCCCTTGTAATTGGAATATGCCTACCTAATGTGCAAATACACTACACTTAATGTGCAAATTTAGCAAATTAATCATTCTTCAAATCAGTTCGCCCATTTAGTAGTCATTATGGAGGAACGTACCTATATGCAAAAATATTGCACCCTTGTAATAAAAAGGCATAATAAAAAAAAAATTTTTTGGTAAACGGCGTTTAAAAGTTTCTGGATTCTTACGTTAGATCTTATTTTTTGAATTAAATATTTACATTTAAGCTATAAATGTGAAATTTGCAGATTTATTCTTTGATAGCTATATATAGTTATCTATATATATAGCTATCTAAATAGCTATGAAAATAAATGATAATGTAAATAAATTCCATTCTCCTCCTCTCCTTCAGGTAAAAAGAACAAATACACTTTCTGCAAACATAATTTAAAATATTAAAATGGTTAATGATATAGTATCTAAATAATATAAATTACATTAGTAATATAAGTACTAACTGCCATTTAGTTTTACTTTACACACACATGTTTCAAAAGATCTCTCTTATGAAACCCTCCATTACTGGAATAGAAACTTAATTCTTTTATTGGATCATTTACGACTTTATTTATTTATTGGCGTGATTAACATATATCCATGCAAAATAAGATCTCTCCAGTATAAGCAACTCATGTTAAAATTATGCCGTTAGAACAAGTAAACTCTAAACGCCAATGGCAGCGCCATAACGCTATCCAATCCATCACTTAGATTAAATTATTGGTACTCCACCTCTATTCAAGAAATAATCAAATCAAATCTAACACCTCACCTCAAAACCGGCAAAGTACTTGAACTCCAGACTTGCAGATGGCGATAGTCACTTTCCATCCGGTTACCAGTCAGCTTGTGTGCCAACTATATCATTTAAAAAATATTTTTTTATGAAAGACGGGCTGTCGCCGTAGAGGCACTCCAGCCGGTCATCTTCGTCGAGCAAGTAGGGCGGCAGCACGGGACTGATTTGTCTCAATAGCAGTTCGATGTCAATAACGATCGACGAATGGAAATAATGCTGCGAGGAATCATCTAAGGGTGGCGCCAATTTACCCCATCCATTCACGAGTGGTTGTAAATTAGTTTAGTCACCATTTCGTCAATGCTTAACGCCGGTTCTAACTGTAAACAGTATACTCTTTGTATCTTCTGGGTATGTAGAGTTTTTGGTATAATTAACGTAATACAATGCTGAATAGATTTCAATTGACATCTGGGCCGGTCTGCTTCGAGGATCTTGTATCAACACGGAGGGTTTTCTATGCGTTTACGCGATGCTGCCATACATATTACACTAATCAAATATAGCTTTTATAAATATATTTTATAAAACACTTAGGAGAAATAATAATTTTGGGTCAGTAGTGCTTTTATGTTTAATAGGTTGTTTGCCTATTTTCACCTAATTTTATTCCCCGAGTGTAAATACTTACTAGTAAGAAGTGTAAAAAAGGTTATATAGGTACATTAAATTACAAGCCTATAGGCCCTATCGACATCATTACCTTCATCACCTTGATGTAGACTATTATTAATACGAAGTTTTAAGAGAAGTTCCAAGACAAAGATTTTATCAGCGACCGTCAGGATAGTTTACACCACATTGACTTTCTGTCAGATCTACTGTACTATTTTTACTACCTACTAAAAGCGAATGCCCATGGGCTGGTATTTATGGATTATTAGTTTTCTATCCGGCAGATACGTAAGAGCATTAGTAGATGGCAGTTATTCTGAAAGTGTACACATTAACGATGACATTCGACAAAGTTCAGTGCTGTCCCTAACATTGTTTTCGATGCATATTAATTATAATGAAAGTACCTAAACATATTTTGTCATTGATCATATCTATTGCTATGTAGATAATAACAGATGTTTATTATAAGGTTCATGTTAAACATTCCTCGTCCCATTGTATTAGAGAGCCGATAACAACTTGTATCCAAAAATGAGAATAGTGTAGTCAGAGATTTTGACTAGACTGCTCTCGATATTGGACACGAAAACAATCTGGCTCGATTCAATCCCTGTGTTGTGTGGCTGTGGATTGATTTACGAGATAGTAATTTCAAAGAAGGTAGGTAGTCATCTAAGTTTCGACATTTCTAGTAAAACATTAAGCTAGAATTAAAAAGACTTCTTAGAAATGTTTATTAGAGGGAAGCGGTAGCTATGTATACACTCGTATGGAGTAATACAATCAGCGATTATTGAAAACTCACAAATTATTTTTAGGCCTTTAGGAAATGAACTCACATGCTCCAATAAAGAATGAGCTCCCTGTCGAGGTTTCCAGATGGTACCTACGTAACCTTACGGTATGAGTTTCTTCAAGAATGGTGTGATAAGGTATTTAGGTAAAGGGTCGGCAACGAGTATGCTAGTCTCCTAAAATTCCAGTTCAGCCGTAACCGCTTTGACATACATACCTATACTTAGGTAATACATCCTATGCAGTAAAATAAATATAAATGAAATAAATACTTTTCTGTGTGGTGAAGGATTAAGAATACAGAGTCTCACCATCCCTATTCATCCCGAGGGTGTCGTAAGAGCCGACTAAGGGAGTAAACTAGGCAGAACAACAACACTGCAAAGAGAAGGAAAACTTGAAACAAACCCTATACCAACCCGTCTGGCCAGCGTGGTATAGTAGGCTAAAAACTCCTTTCTGAGGAGAGGCCTATGTCCAGCAGTGGACAAGTAATGGCTGTTGATGATGAAAATAAATACTGTCTTACATATTCATGTGATTCAAATTTCACGTCAGTTTTACATGCTTTAACATTGTATGTGATCGAACGGTATGAGTATGCCCCAGGCGCATTATATTATAATGGTTTAACCTCTGGCGTTCTCGGGCCTGCCGAACCGGGAGAGCTCGCAAGCATAATGCTCCACCCACGCTTGCCGTTCTGCCAGCGCAAGGAGCATCCAAGATCCGGCCATCGCGGTTGTGGCACTCGGGCGTTGGCTCCTTGCGGATCAGACACAGGTGATCTCCGAAGTATCCTTTCCCGGTGATCACCTGCGTCAGCCGGTATGAGAGGGTCCTCTGTTGCCTCTCGAGCCAATCCTTCATAACCGTTCTTACAGCCGCAATAACGGCGTGCCCGACTGTTGTTCCGCCTCTTATTCAGAGACACAAGAGCGTAACACCTCACGCCGCCTTTTTAAGCCTACTCCTGCTAGGGTGTCGCAGCAATAGATACTTTTGCTAATTGCCCATAGACCGTTTAGTACTTCAAACGCCAGAAGAATGCTCTCCCCTTTCCTTTCAGTAGCTCAACATCACCTTTTCAGCAAATGAGGTGTATCACAAGCATTTTTCGACATCCGTTTTACCTTCGAGATTATTTTTTTTGTAACAAAAAGTAGCCATCGTCTTTCGCTATCGTATTTCTCCCTATACCAAAAAACCTAAGATAATCCTAATTGGTTCAGCAGTTTATCTCAATATATCATTTTTTAATCATTACACACAACAAAGATAAGACATATTTTTGCCTTAGTATCTAGTGATGTATTAATATTAATCCAAAAAAAATATGTTACTATATGTATGAACGAAATACTACTTCTTAAGATATCTATTAATAGTACCTATATTAAAGCTTGTGTTTATTTATGATAAAAAGTGAAATGTGACTTAAATTTAAACTAATGATTCATATGTACATTTTATTAATTGTTTCAGTCTTTAGAAGTTATATGTGATCATATATTATTGATCATAGTTAAGTAATGACACAAGTATTATGTACATTACAAACATCCTGGAAAGTCACTTTCTACAAATATGTACATCTGAACAAATATATCAATAACTTTTTCATTGCCAATACAAGTGTAAAACATCTTAAAGCAAAATATTACAATAAAATTCACAACTATATGCTTTAAAGTTAATAAGTAACAAATAGTTCACAACAACGCATATTCATATTACAAATGGTGTTTAAACAAACAACAAAATTAATTACACTTATTGGAACACTTTGTTACGTAAACTCTAATAAATTTAGCAATCGTTTGGGATAAAAGTTTTTTATTGGAATTCAAAAGCCATTCATCTGAACCGTCACAACAATCGCAAATGCCATCATTCACTTTATCAGATGGCACGCTGTTGAAAGATATGGGTTTGCCACCGTGTTGGGTATCACAGTAAAAAGTCCCATTAAGACATGCATTTGTGCTAGGCTCATCAGTTCCGTCTTCACAATCACAGTAATCATCATTCACTTGTTCAAATGGGATCCGCTGATTGTTTGTCAAGCATTTAAATTTGTTATTAGTATCTGGTCTGTATTTTGACATGGTACTATGTAGTACACCCCTAATAACACCATTATTGTTGATAAACTTATCAGATTCTGACCGTATAATAACATGCTTTGGTGTGAGTTCCTTTAACCCTTCGATTTCATGATGATCCATCATTGATATCATTCTATCATTGAATCCAGTTTCTGATGTTATGGTCAAGAAAAAATATAGCTGATAAAGTATGAAACATATGACCATGCATAGTGTAAGTAAAATAATATTCTTCTTCTTCTTCAGTGCTATCATCCTGTTCTCCTCCTATTTCTATATGATCCTGAGCGTCCTGCCGGCTGAATACTTACAATACTCAATATTTACAGTATATTTTATTTATTTGACGTTAAATTAAACAAACACTGTACACGGTATTATCTTACATAGGTATCGACTGTATTTATAGCATATAACGTAGCATGTTTGTTGAGCGAGGTTCATATTACTTCCCGCATCCTTTACTTTCAATTCTGATAATGACAGATAACAAAATACGAATTTCAATTCAGTGATAATAAATTTTACGGCATGGAACGTTTTATTTAGATACCGACAGTTTCTTTTTGTCAGACTAACGTCAACGCCGTCAACTCAACAAATTGTCAACATGTCAATGGTCTACCGTTGTGTTGCTGATACATCAAAGGCCGGTGTCTTGACATGGACAAAATCACAGTGAACTGTGCAATTTATCATTCGATTTTTGCGTACGCACGTTAGGGTTGCTAAGTACTTAGGTTAGACGGTATTTAACAGTAAATCTAGTGTTTTTTAAATTATTATGTAGGGAATGGTAGCTATCTATATTTAATAAAAAAATAACTTGATTCTTGACACTCTATATTATTTCACCTATAAAATAGGGTCTTCATGCATCGTCTGAAATCAGTTTATTGGCAACAACGCGTGAGTTAGTAGTAACCCTAACCTATGTACGAAAAAAAAATGATGTGATAACTTAAACTAATCTAAGTTAAGTTAAAAAAACGAACTATTTAGTATTGAAATAGTTTAACTTGAGAAAAGTTTAGGTTAATACTTAAATTGTATGTAAAGGGTCTGTCCGAAATACGTCTAGCGCTCTGGGTTAGAGAGAGAGGAGGAGCCTGCCTACCACTGCCGTATGTGTGAGAAAAAGGGAAGCCAGACAGACTGGCGCCGTAACGCGTTACGTAACGAAGCGATTTACCCTCCCATAAGAAGTTATCACTTCAAAAATCGAATGATAAACTACTGGTCAGTTCAGTTCACTGTCATTTTATCCCATGCCTAGCGGTGTCCTTTTTGTTGTTTAAGGGCACCGTCTGCACAGTAGATGGAATAAAATCACAATCACATGTGAAAAATCATATGATTAAAACTCTTTTCATCACCACTATGACAAAACCATTGCCACTTAATTATTATCATTACGCTAGCGTAAGACCCGCGAGAGGTCTACATCTAAAAAAATAAAAAAGGTCGTTATGTTTGAAAAAAAGATTTTTGATTGATTTTAATGCCACTTATCTTTGTCCATGACGAAATCACAATCACCTTTGAAATCGCTGTGACTAAAAGCAACAATTTTATCAAAACAATATGATTTAAAAGTAGCAATAATTTCCATGTCACAGCGATATTTCCCCGCGAGATTTTTTTTTTGCGCCTTAATGTCGCAATTTTTTTTCGCCAGTGCGGATAGTCCTATATAGATCCCATGTGTTACAGAATTTTGCGAATATTACGAGAACAAATATACCTACTATTAAAGATACAAACTTTAAAACAATTTCCATAAAAATAAAATGGAAGATTTTATGAAATTTTTAGAAAAGTTTTGAAATTTGGCTATGGGCAACATAGTTATTGACACTCATTGAAGTTGTCAAATGGTCAATTTCAGGTGAAGTCTATGTATTATTATTACATACGAAACTGTTTCATTATTCTTAAATGAGTGGAAATTAGGAATATCGAAATGGATTTTCTAACGGTAAACCGCCAAGTACCTTTATCAGTTTCGAAAAAGAGTGAGGAATCCGAGTCCAATGAAGATCTCGAGGTAAGAGCTGTCAATCTGTTTTGTTGTTCTCATGACAATCTATATTTAAATCACAATAAAGTTGAAAGCATTTCTATTTAAACAGCGTTCTAACTACTATTCTAAGGTTTTATAGATTTTTTGTGTTGTCTCATTTTTAATTATTTGTAAATTGTTATATATAAAAAAGAAACTTTGAAATTATTACTTTTTATGTTAGTATTTATTTAGCATGACATCGTGAATTTAGATGGTCACCTGGCGAAGTTCATTTTCCATGTTACAAGTAATTGGCCCTTGGCGTTACGTAGAGCTTCGCATTTTCTATCCTATCATATATATCATGGAGAGTGCTACCAGAAATAGCACTCCACCACTGTGCGCTTTTCAAGACACTTTTTGCCTCACACTACCAACCTGTGGAACAAGTTATCGCTTCAAGAAAAGAGCATACCCCTTTTTCAAAGACCGGCAACGCGCTTCTGACTCCTGAATTGCAGGCGTTCATGGGTGGCGATAGTCGCTTTCCATCAGGTGACATGTCTGCTCGTTTGCCCCTATTCCATAAAAAAGTTGGAGTTGGATATTACTGTTGCCATCGATGTAATTTAAGCACTATTTTTATTTTGAATGAATGTTAGCCCTCACTTAAAAAGTAATTCTTAGTTGTATTATTTGTATATATAATGAAACTTATTTTTTTAGTAAAATGTATCAATAATTATTGACTGGTAGTTGAGTACCATTTTGTACACAATTATTTCTGTTACTAAAAGAAAGCATACAAGCGTAGCGCAAATACTAAGGTGACATTTGGTAATGCAGCTCCTAATCAATATTTCATTCGTTTTTATTTTTTCATTAGTTTGCCAGCTCTTGATAACACTACATCCTCTTTCAGGTGGATAATTCAAATAGTGTGCTGCTCAAGATTGCCACGCTATATGCAGAACAGTTAATGAGTGACCTCACTTTGGAGGTAGGAGGAAGGAGGTATCCAGCTCACAGGCTGATCCTATGTGCTAGCAGTGAGGTATTTCAGGTATGAATAAAGTAATACAGTATAATATACTTACATGAATATGATACACATCTCACCCTAAGCTATATATTTTGAAGGGTAGACAGAGGTTGAGTATGAGATGGTACCGTATACCGATGGTACATGGACAGAGATGGTAGATTAGAGACTATAAATGCCCACATTTGGTCAACAACCTCTACAGTTAACAAGGCCCTTTAACAATTAGATGGAAAACTTGGTAGTACATTAAAAGCAACGTAGATAAGTAGGGAAGGCAGTAGGAAGGGTATATGGTGCTTAACACAGATAGTTTGAAAAGTGTTAGCAATAGCTTGAGCAAGTTAGGGTTGAGTACCTGTAAGTGTAATGCGCTATTGCCAAACATCTGAGCTTTGACTTACAATAGGCTGATCAGAGCTTAAAGGTGAAAGGGAGACAGCACCTCACTGCTTCCTACTACACTGAGTGTTGTAGGCTCGATCTCTTCATTAGAACGCATTTTGTGTGATACACAAATTGTTGTTCTTAGTTTGGATTGTAACGGTGCATTTCGCGCCATTACAGTAATTTGAACCTTTGTCTCGTTTTTGTTTTGTTAGATTGAATTTTTTGTCGTTTCTGCGAGTGCCGATGGTCGAGGGACGGACGAGAGTATTAATCGATGTTGTTCGCCCGCAGTAGTTAGTCGATTTATTTTTCTTGTACTGGCAACATTTTTGTTTCCCCGCTCTATAGAGCGACAGGCTATTGCACTGGTATCACTTTTTTCACTCTTGGCGTCGGTCCAGGACGAAGCAGTTTGGATTTTTTAAAATGTAGACTTTTTGTTGTAATTTATGTCTTACGAGGGCTTATTTCTTACTTTTATTTTTCGGCCAACCTCGTTAAGAATCAAATTATTGATTGAGTTTTTATTTTCGTAAAAAAGGTGAGTTTTGTTCGGCCACGTGCTTCACGCTTGGCTTGGCGGAATTTGTGGTTTTAACTCTTTGTTTAATTGGTTACAGGCAATGCTTATAATGCTTATAATGCCGCTGCTTGATTTGTGAAGCATTTTAGAACCCTGGTAAGTGAAATATGATCTCTTGTCAGAGTTATGATTCGTACTGTGAGATAGGCTTTTAACCTATGATTTTTCCTTATTTGCAGATGAATCAGGGTTTCTTTTCTTTTTTAGCTTATATCTAAAGTCTTTACATCACCTAAATTATTTTACTTTCTTATTGGAATGTCCTTGAGTGGCATTCGATTTTAGTCTCTCGCCGGAGTTTGACCCCAAGAAATTAGATTGCTGTGGAGCACCGGATTGGTAGAAAAAGCTGCTTAGCTGCACGCCATTGTCTGGAGCCGGGGAGTGCTAACCCGCCTTTAACACCACGTGGGAACCGGAGTGAGAAGTTTCGGAGTTGGTTTGATTTCATTTCGTTCGGACTGATCCAAGGTCATCGGTATGTAGTTTTGTTATATTTTTCTTGGCGACGTGGCATTGAATACTGTAGGTCCCCAAGGGGTGTTATTTTTATTAGAGAGTAGGTCAATGCTATGTCTACCTTTAGAGTTTATTGTTTTGTCTATTAAGTCTTTATGCGACTCTTTAAAATTTATTTAACCTTATATTTTTCTTATTGGAAAGGATTGCATTAATGACAGTACTAATTTGTGTATGAGAATTACCTATTGTAATTAGAGACATAAGACACATTGTACTCTGCAGACACTACGGGATAATAAACTGCCAATAGAACTTAACATCTTGTATTCATTAGCTGTCCTCCCGCTTTGTTTTAAAAAGGTTCGGTGCTGGCTGAGATGTCCGAGGTATTAGTTGTGTTTGTGGTGGGTTCTGTGTTCTTTTAAGGTGGTATCTGGCGCCCGAGACTTTTATTTTGTTATTTTGTTTCTATTTGATGCCACCAATTTTAGTTTTATTTCTTATAACACACCCCACAACATAAATTTCAATTTTTTAATTTTTTATTATTACAGGATGTTGTTTGTGTCTGTTTCTTTAATGTATGTAAAGTCACTCGCAACACAGGATTTGGTTCTAATACTGGAGTTCTTTAAAAAAAAGACATGCTTTAAGTTGGCAAGGCATTAGTGACTTCACTGAAGTGTCTGGGGTTTCAAGTATTTACAGACAGTTATCACCCATCAATCAGTAAAAAAGTACTATATTCAAGTACAGTTATAAATAACCAAGTTTTATAACATGGTTACAGGTAATGTTGATGAACCGTGAATGGAGCGAGTGGCGTGAGAGTCGCATCGTTCTACAGGAGACTCCGACGGCTGCGACCGTGTTCCCACACTTTATCAAGTAAGTGCCTACATAGTATCTATATACAATTCATTCTGGATTTTTCAATTAATTCGTTTATTGGGTTCAACCTCTATGCAAAGATACATATAATTGTATGTACATAATGGGAATTAATGCGATAAGCTGAAATATATCTCACGTACGCAAAAGTTTAAGATTCTAACACTTGTAAATTAAATAAATGTTCTGTTTCAGATATTTCTACACCGGACATATAAGGATATCATATCAGACTGTGTTGCCAGTGCTTTCTCTTGCTGATAAATATAATGTAAAGGCAAGTATTTTTCTGGTATTATATTTTTAATTTACAAATTTTGAATTGTCTTGTCATGTCATGTATTTGTGCAGTTCCAATGGTTAGGATGAAAATGGAATGTAATTATCTAGAAACATGATTGTGTCAGAACTTCTTTTGTGTCAAAAATATGTAACAATCTGTGGTGTATTTTTTTTGTATTTTATAGCTCAGCAATTTAAATAATCAGCTCACCGACAGCCATATAGTCGACTTATTTGACGGCACGAATGGCGTAGTAGTCTAGGCGATCACTTCGCTGCTTCCTACTGCACTGAGTGTTGTGGGTTCAATCCCCACATGGGTCAACACTTTGTGTGATCAAATGAAAATTTGAATTTGCAATAGAATCAAAAATAAAACAATTACTTGTTTACAGATATTCAGACTCATTTTTGTAAGTCCTATAAGTAAATAGTGGTCCTTAAACTTAAATTTCTCTCTTGTTCAGGATCTAGTCAGTCTGTGCCTAGGATACATGGCACAGCACATAGCGCAGGCAGCCAAGCGCGGACAGCTCATTTCCTGGATGCAGTATACAATGGCGTGTGGACACAATGAAGTTGCGAAGGTATGTTTATATTTATATGAAAAGGAATAATTTATATGAAAGGAAACTTTGACATCGAAAAATTATTTTATCTTAAAAAATCGTAGGGTAAATATTGTTAAAAGTAAAGTTATCATTTTATAACACTAGCTTTTGCTTGCGTCTCCATTAGTGAAAGAATTTTTAAAATTGGTTAGTAAACTTAGTAATTAAACTACTAAACAAACTAGTAAACTCACTTTAACTTTTGTAATATAAATGGGTATAAAGATATCTTGAAAAAAGTTTTTTCCTAATTACTGTATTTTTCTTTTTTAACTTATATAAAATTATATGTATATACATAATTATACTTTTTTTGGTTAGGCTTAATGATAAAAGCACGTTTTTTTCGTTTTTTAAACTATTAGTTTTAACGGTTTTTTTCATGACTTTTTTTGCAATGATATCATGATCACTGTTTCTTCTAGGCGTGCCAGAACTTTGTAAAATGGAATTTGGAGTGGGTGTGGTCGGATAGTGATCTCAGCGAACTGGAAGGAGAGACATTGGTTCAGTTGCTACAACAGAGTGATTTAGTTCTACACAATGAGATGAGCCTTTACCAGTATGTATACATTTTCTACAAAAAGTTTTTTTTATTTACGATAGAGGGGGCAGACGAGCAGACGGGTCACCTGATAGAAAGTAACCATCGCCGCCCATGAACGACTGCAACTCAGGAGTAACAAACGCGTTGCTGGCCTTTTAGGAAGGAGTACGTTCTTTTCTTAAAGGTTTGAAGGTCGTATCGGCCCGGCTTGTAGAGCGCTGTTGCGCCCCCCCACCCCCATCCAATACGCGGAGCAGCCCAGACATCTACGCCTAGACGCATTGTGTTCGCACGCGTAGATGTCTGGGCTGCTCCGCGTAGCAGCCCAGACATCTACGCCAAGACGCATTGTGTTCGCACGCGTAGATGTCTGGGCTGCTCCGCGTAGCAGCCCAGACATCTACGCCAAGACGCATTGTGTTCGCACGCGTAGATGTCTGAGCTGCTCCGCGTAGCAGCCCAGACATCTACGCCCAGACGCATGGTGTTCGCACGCGTAGATGTCTGGGCTCCTCCGCGTAGCAGCCCAGACATCTACGCCTAGACGCATGGTGTTCGCACGCGTAGATATCTGGGCTGCTACGCGGAGCAGCCCAGAGATCTACGCCCAGACGCATGGTGTTCTGAGCGTCGAAGTCTAGCAGGGATTCTCCAACGCTAGCGCAGCTAGTACCCCCCTGGGGTAGAATATTTTTCAACGACGGCGACGCTATCATATAGGGGAGTCGTGCTCCGGAACCTCACTCACTCGGTCAAATACAACATCGAAATTGCTTAATGACCCGTTTTCTATGAGGTTAGATTCTTACGGAAAATTGTTTAAATTTTATACTAGGTGTACCCTGGCACACTTCGCTGTGGCACATTGTGGTTGCATTGATGAGAAATGTGGAACAAAACTGACCCGTAAAATATATAAAAAACAATCTTAGATGCGGTTTGTATATCGTGTGAAAAGAGCTCAATCGGTGCAGTAATTTTTGAGTTTTTGAACTGTATACAAACCAACTTACCATTTTCATAAAGATTTTTTCAAGCTAAATTGTTTTTAATTGCATATAAGCGAATTTTATTATTCATTTAAATGTTTTCAATAAGTGTGCTTTATGTGCCTGATAAAGTACACGTATTTATGAATAATATTGCTCCAACAGTTTCGTGGTTCGATGGCTGAACCAACAGCGCGATCGCCTTAACGCCAGTGACTTGTCCAAGGCGGAGATGAAGGCACACTGGGAGTCACTTGTGGCAGCTGTCTTCTCACATGTCAGGTATGTATGTACTCAAACCCATGCACTATGTTTAAATCATATTTTTAAAATGCTATTTATGCCATTTCCGTTCTGTGTATTTCGTTTTTTTTTCTACTAAATACCGTCATAACTATTGGCCCGAAAAAAACATTATTTTTAACTAATTCATTTTTCTGTAAGTCAGTCAGTCAGGTCTTCTGCGAGGTGTAATTATTTTAATCCCTAACAGTTTTTTTTTAAAACATTTTTAAAGTTTTTTTCTTAAAACCCCGTTAATGCTAGAGGTGGCCCGTGGTCCAGGAGTTAATAATGTAATTTTAATGAAACAATTATAAACAGTTTGGGGTCTCTGAATAATTTAACTTCTGTAATCGGTTAATAGAAACCTTTAGTAAATTCTATCTAGAGTACGTTTTTTCTTTACATGTTTGTAGTGAATGAAGCTTATAAAGTAATGTTGAATTTCGCTACCAACAGGTTCCCGATGATGTGTCCGAACCAGCTGGCAAAACTACTGCTGTGTCCGCTCACGCAGGAGCACAAGGACTTCTTCATGGAACGAATGGCGATTGCCATGAGCTACCAGTCAGGTGACTATAAACAGAATATTTCAACGGTTTTAATCATAATGGGGAAAGTGTATTTTGTACGTTAAACAAAAATGTTTTATCTGCTGTTGATTCCGATGGACAAGTACAATTTTTTTGCACTTTCATTAAAAAAAAATACACTAATTATGTGGAAGGTGTGGGTAGAGATGTATTAGACCACATTTTACTAATTATAATTTTGTCCACAATTATGTAGTCACTTTCCATCACGTAACCCGTCGACTTGTTTGCCACCTATATCATAAAAAAACAAATATCGGATATTGCTTATAGATTGGAGAGTGTAAACAGCAAAAAATTTCGGGGATTGAATCTCGTCTGTAATGTATTCATTCAAATATAGTTAAAAAAATGAGCCTAGATTGGGTTTGATACGAGTAATCATCTACGCTTGTATTAAGTTAACTCCTATAATAATATTATATATATTAAATTGGACGACCGGATGGCGTAGTGGTTTCTGTAACAGACTGCTATTCCAAAGGTCGCGGGTTCGATTCCCGCTCGAGTCAAACATTTGTGTGCATGAACATTTAATGTTTGATTTGGTCTGTGTGTTTCTATCTATAATATGTATGTATTTACAAAAAAATATATATATGGATTTATATCAGTTGTCTACCCATAGTACAAGCTCTGCTTAGTTTGGGACTAGATGGCGTTGTGTGAATGTGGTAGAATATATTATTATATTATTTATTGGAAAACTAAAATTAACCTTTGTTTTATATTCGTCATCGTCAGGGCAATACGAACGTGTGGCCGAGGTCCAGCAGACAGAGGCAGGTCGCATGCTCTTCACTCCTCGGCTTTACACTGAGGACACGTGGGGCTCAGTGCTGGCCGTGGACAACTTCCACTCCCTCCCCTGCTACCACACCAGGACGTTCATCTTCTCCACAAGACCCTCGATAGCAGACGTTGCGCCGCAGGACAAGCTGACGGAGTGGACGGTGGACTTGTATCCTAAAGGCGTGTGGTTCAAGAAGAGTTTGTTGATAGTATGGGCGGGTACTTATGATGTGAGTGTTAGTAATATTGGTGATGTGATATTAGCCGTTTCAAAGGTTTAATTGCGTTTATAATTATTGTTCTGTTTCTAAGAGTCGTAGCGTGATCTTGCATAACCGGAGTAATACCACGGCCTCACAGATAACCGGTGTTAAGCAACTCTTTCGTTGCCTTTCACTGAGTGAGTGAGGTTACCGGAGCCCAAATCCTCCCTCCCGCTGACTCGAGCGGGAGGGACTTCAAGGGCGGCAATGCACTTGTGTCTTTTGAGTTGCGGGTGTCCATGGGCGGCGGTGGTTGCTTGCCATCAGATGGCCCGTCTGCTCGTTTGCCCCCTTATACCATAAAAAAAACCTAACCCTCCTCAATGAACTACTATTAAAAAAAAAAAAAGGTGAAACAAGCGATCAAAACAAAAACTATTACACTAATATAGATCACTATTCTATGGTTCGGTATTGGCTTTGGATCAGTTTTTGGAAATGTGGAATTTTTCTATTTTGTAGTGTTATGACTAGCAATAGTGTTATATGACAGGTAGAGAATCACTGAACTGTTCCATATATCCAGGTGCCAGAGGTGGTACTCCGGACGGTGCGTATATCCATCACGTGCCAGAACTGTCCCACAGGGACCCTCAACCAGTACGGAGAGGCGGAACAGCCCGAGCCAGACGTCAGGGTCAAGGTTAGCTCTGATGTATTCATTGTGAAACTGTTCACTTTTAGACATAGACATAGTGATCTTAACTGCTGTGCCAGATGTTACCACCCAGGACAAATGATTGTGTAATGAGGGCGATCGGTTTAAGCGGTCGCAGCGCCACTTCCTACTACGTCGAGTGTTGTGGGTTCGATCCCCACATGGGACGACACTTTGTGTGATCTACAAATTGCTGTTCTAAGTCTGGGTGTTCTTTGTGTCCGTTTCATATATGTTTGTGAACCCTGCGACAGGATATATTCCTAGTGCGGGAGTTGTCTTTTAAAATAAAAATGTATCTATAATATGTACGCATTTAGAACTATATAAGTTTGTTCAACCTATTGGGGATCCGGTTCCGGTGTTCGTAGCATAAACACGTACGTCAAAGTCCTCCGCAAATATTAACTAATACTAGTGTAATAAATGTGAAATAATAGTGCCACAATACAAAATCCACCAAAATAGACAATAGAAAACGAAATAAGCAAGTGAACAAAGCGTGGAACAATATTCTTGAAGTAAAAAGTGCAATAGAAAATCCAACAATATAACCTAAAAGTGAAAGTCATAACAGTGCCACCAACATAACCAACAAATCAGTTTGAAGAAAGCAACGTCATTTTGACACTGAAGTATATAGTGAGTGCTGCAAGTCACAATAATCTAAACTACTATTCTACCAGTGTTGTCAGTAAATAAACCAAAAATGAACAAAAGTATGGAATTATTATTGTTAAAACTGGATGAGAAGTTAAACCAGCAAACCAAACTCATAACAGTGTCGGTGACGCAGAATGTTATGGAAGCATTAGATGAGAGATTAAAAATAATAACAGAGGAAAACACTATGCTCAAAGAAAAAATTTCTACATTGGAGCAGAAACTTAAGGCGATGGAAAGAGAAAAAAGAAAATACAACCTGGTCTTTTTTGGCATTGAGGATGTTGAAAAATCAGAAGCGGAACTTGCAGACCACGTCAAGGACACAATTTTAGAGTCAGGCACCCATCTAAACAGCCCGGAAATTAGCAACATATATAGAATTGGCAAGGATAAAAACGTTAAAAACCGCCCTGTCGTAGTCTCCCTCACATCTCTATGGAAAAAACACTTGATTTTGAAAAACAAGTCAAAGCTGCCACCAGGTATATATGTAAAAGAAGATTACTCCAAAGAAATGTTAGGAAAGCGGAAGCAACTACAAGCACAAGTGGAAGAAGAAAGAAAGAAAGGAAATATAGCATTTTTAAAACATGACAAAATAATAATAAAGAGACCAACGGGAGTAAACAGAGACAAAAGGAAAAGAGAAGGTCATGACTCACCCAATTCATCATCTCAGAAGAAAATAGACTTAAGAGGCAACCCAGCTACTACATCCTCTAAGGGAAAAGAAATCCTTAAACCCAACTTACTTACCTACATGGAACGAAGCAGATCTGCCTCACTGTCAGAGGATCCAAAAAACCTATAAGGACCACCGGCACCCGGAACCAAGCCAGAATAACAAATACCAAAACTACATATACAACAACTAAAAAATGCACCCCAAGCCGGTTGGTCACCGTGGGGAAAGAAGACCGTTACCCTTCAGCAAATGAAAAAGCAAATGAAAAACCAAAAGAAAAACTAAATAATTTTTACATAGCCACCCTAAATACACTTTCATTAAGGACAACAGAAAAACTCCTCGAGCTAGAAATAGCTTTGAGTAAAATCAAATGGGATATTCTCGGTATTAGCGAAGTAAGACGAATAGGAAACCACATTGAAGAACATGACGACTATATTCTGTACTATATAGGTGAAACAAGGGGTCAGTATGGGGTTGGATTTATGGTGAAGAAACATTTAAAGAAACAAATCTTGGAGTTTAGGGGCATATCTGAAAGAATAGCTTTATTGAATATACAGCTTCATGGCTACAAAAACAAGTGGACTATAGTACAAATATATGCGCCAACAGAAGCAGCGGACGAATCAATAAAAGACGATTTCTACTACCAACTTTCAACTACACTAGAGACTGCCCATAAGAACATTATTGTTATGGGAGACTTCAATGGCAAAATAGGTAAACAGCAGCATGGTGAAGAGTCACTAGTAGGAAAATATGGCATAGGAAAAAGAAGCAAGAACGGGAAAAGACTTGTAAATATGGCCCTGGAGAATAATTTAACCATATTAAATGGAGTTTTCAAGAAAAGGCATGCCAAGAAGTGGACCTGGATATCGCCCGATGGGACCTACCGTAATGAAATAGACTTCATAACGAGTAATCGACCCAATTATTTTCAAGATGTTAGCGTAATAAATAACTTCAACTTTAATAGTAACCATCGCATGGTTAGAGCAACATTAGCTCACAAACAACAAAAGAAACAACGGAAACACTTCTATCGTGGGAAAAATGTTTTGACAGCCGATATAACGTCTCAGAACATTACGACATCCAATGAAAAAGATAAAACACAAGAAATTTATGACATAGTTACAAACAATATGTACAGAAAAGTAATCAAGACAAAAATAAATGAAGATACACTAAGCTCAAAAACAATAGATCTCATTCAAAAAAGGAAAGAACTACTTAAAAATAGGAGAACTAAAACAACATTAAAGGAAATTACTGAACTAAGTAAGGAAATAAGTCGCAATTTAAAACAAGACAAGTCAAATAAAAGAATCAAATGTATCCAAAAGCACATAACTAAAACTGGTGGTGTTAATAAAGCACTGAAAGAATTAACAGAAGCGACGTTATGGATCCCGAAAATAAAAAGCAAAAACAACAAGGAAGAAACAAGGAGACAGCCAATTTTAAAGATAGCAACAGACTATTACCGGAAGCTCTACTCTACCGGAAACACCTTAAATCGCAACATAAACCTTGAAGATGAAACGGAAGATGTCGCTCCGATTCTTGAAAGGGAAGTCCAGCATGCGATTGAAACCCAGAAAAATTTTAAAGCCCCCGGACCTGATTATATAACTAACGAGATGATGAAAGCAACATTGCCAGAGACAACATCAAGACTGACCAACTTGTTCAATCTTATCCTAAATACGGAGTCTATACCTTCACAATGGGCAATAAGCTCTATAATACTCATCTTTAAGAAAGGAGATAGATCAGAAATAGGCAATTACCGCCCAATAAGTCTCATGTCGAACATATACAAGGTATTCTCTAAAATAATACTAAAACGCATCACCAAAAAACTTGACGAACAACAGCCAAGAGAACAAGCTGGATTTCGATCGGGATTCGCAACAATAGACCATATACATGTGATAAATCAGCTTGTTGAAAAATGTCAGGAATATGATTGTCCACTGTACATGGCATTTGTGGACTTTAAGAAAGCTTTCGATTGCCTGGAACATCAGTACATTTGGGAAGCCCTGAAAAATCAAGGAATAGAAAATAAGTATATAAGGGTAATAAAAAATGTATATTCCAACAGCAAAGCACGAATAAAATTGGAAACAGCGGGGGAAACTTTCCCAATACACAGGGGAGTGAGGCAGGGAGACCCACTCTCGCCAAAACTTTTTTCATCCGTGCTAGAGGAAGTCATGAAGAAGATGAAATGGGACAGCATAGGGATTAACATAAATGGAACACGTTTGAATCATTTAAGATTTGCGGATGACATTATACTTATAACAGATAACCCGGAAAGCCTTAAAAACATGCTCCAAGATTTGTCAAGCGAGAGCAGAAAGGTGGGCCTAACAATAAACAAATCAAAGACTAAAATTTTAACAAATAGATCCCAAATAAGCATCTCAGTAGATCAGGAAGAAATAGAATATGTAAATTCCTACATATATCTAGGCCAACTTATTGCCTTCAACAATCATATGGATTCAGAAATAGAAAGGAGGGTAGCCAATGCATGGAAAAGGTTTTGGTCTCTCAAAGAAGTGCTAAAGTGTAAACAATATACTATTGCTATGAAAAGGAGAGTGTACAACACATGCATATTACCAATTCTCACCTATGGATGCCAGACCTGGGCTAACACACAGAAACAAAACCAAAAACTGACCACATGTCAAAGAGCCATGGAGAGGAGTATGCTGGGTTACACAAAAAGAGACAGAAAGAGAGCTGTAGATTTAAGGCAAATTACGAAAATCGAAGATGTCGTAGTCAAAACCAAAACACTTAAGTGGAGATGGGTAGGCCACATGATGAGAGAGAATAGGAATAAATGGACGAAAGATATAACAGAATGGACCCCTAGATTCCAAACAAAAAGGAAAAGAGGAAGACAAAGAAAACGTTGGTCTGATGAGATAAAAAAGAACGCGGGTCCACTGTGGCCCAGAATAACTCAAACAAGAGCAGAATGGAAAGAGCTGGAGGAGGCCTTTGTGTCACAAGGACACGCCGACGCCCAATAACTGCGGCATAATAATAACAATAATAATATTGTATTGATATAATTATAATGTTAATTAATTTAATTGCATGTTAACACTGAACTATTTAATAATGAATACGTGGAACTATGTTGGCAATAAAGGCTTAATAATAATAATAAGTTTGTTCAACCAGCATGATTGCATGATTGAACAAGTTATGATCAGAAAGCCACATGCCATAACATAGTCTACATAAGCATTGTTTGTCACTTGTATCTTGATGTCCATCATCATCAACAGCCTCATAGGCTGATGATGATGATAGACATAGGCCTCTCCTTAGAAAGGAGGTTTTAGCCTACTAACCAGACGGACTATGCTAACCAGATGGGTTGGTATAGGGTTTGTGTCAAGTTTTCTCTCTTGAAAGACAGTATTGAATTCTCTATGTGAAGTGTTCCAAGTTATTATCATTAAAATCGTATTCTTACCCAGTGTGTGTATTCATTTTTGTTTTAATTGATTGACGAATGGCGAATTTTGTTATTTTCAGATTGGTATATTGGTGTGGGGCGTTCAGAAAGGTGTTGAACACGTATCCTCTGTAGTGGAACGAGTGCATCGCTTCTCAGCTCAGAACAGGTAACTTGACAATATTACCTGGAGAATGAAGACAGGATGAGACAGCTTGTACAAAATATATTGGGTAACTAGCTGGTGCCCGCGACTTCGTTCGCGTGGAATTTGAAAAGCGCTGCCTTAGTGAGTTCGATTTCCGGACCAGGCAAAATTTTATAGTTTTCTGAGAGAAAAAATTGCCTAAGTTACTCCTTATATAGACAGCTACTTGGTAGTAAAATATTATCAAAATCGATCCAGCCGTTTTGAAGTACCCGGAACAAACAGACAGACAAACAAAAAATATTTACTGGTTTTTAGGCATAGGTATCGTGCAAATAACCGTGTAAGCATGAAAAAAAACTATTATTTTGACATTACAAACAGACACTTCAGTTTTATTTATTTCTATATGTAGTATAGAGTATATAAAATAAACGAATGGACATATAAATTATATCATAATCATTACTCAAACCAATCATCATTAAGAACTGCATACACATTGTATTGAAAAGGACTGTTTCTAAAAATTGATGTGTATTTTATAAATACCCAAAGTAATAAATAAAATTGTAGGTGCAATGTCCACGGGTCTGTGGTAATTTAAACAAGTACTCGTGACGCCACTTTTGTATTACAAATTATAACGGTTACCTAGTTACACAGAAGGGAAGAAGGGTCACTGTCGGGTGGGGGTCACTGTCGGGTGGGGGTCACTGTCGGGTGGCGGTACACTCAAAACGGAGCGGCGCTGGCGCCTCCGAGCTGACCCGAAGACTGTCGAGGGCCACACTTCGTCTGGACAGCTGTTTCGCTATAAAATACTTAATCATTGGGGATATTAATATCCTTTGTCATAATTCTGGGCCATGTATGTAATATTTCATATTGATCGGTCTAGTGTGCGAAACTGTAACTAACTAAAGAACTTATTAAAATAGATAAAACTGAATTTTGAAATCTGTAGTTACACTTTAAGGTTTAACAGACAGTAGCACATGTGTTCGATCAAGATATTAAGTGGTTTGAAGGTGATTCGTTTAATAGTTTATATTTTCAGTTTTATTGATGTATAGTAGCAATCACATCAACAACCCTTAAATAGTCCACTGCTGGACACAAGAAAGGAGGTTTTGGCCTGCTATACCACACTGGCCAGATGGGTTTGTGTCAAGGTTTCCTTCTCTTTTCAGTGCTGTTGTCCTTCGTAGTTCCCTCCCTTAGTCGGCTCTCACGACAGACAAGGGATGAAAAGGGGTGGTGACATTCCGTATTCTTAATCCGTCACCATACAAATAATAGTAGGGAGTGTTGAAAGAAACAAGTTCTTAGAGCCGAACGTATTTTGTTTGTCCAGGGTGCTGAACATAGATGGTGCGTTGGATTTCGACGAGCTGAACACGCCGCTGTACAGCCCCGGGCCCCCTACACCCCCACCACAACCACCACCATACAAGTAAATATCTCTATTTTGCTCGTATTAGAAATTGTTTTCGTAAAGGGAGGTTTATTAATGGATTGATGAAGATGGATTGTAAAATCAGAGTTTATCTGTAGACATTATAATACCGAGATACGAGATTATGACATTGATTCGATATCTATTGTTAAATACTAGGTTGGTGGAGATGTTAGGTTCTTACTTGGACAGTAAGAGACACGGTTACATTTTTTTTAGCTAGCATATAAAAAAAAACCGGTCAGGTACGAGTCGAACTCGTGCGCCGAGGGTTCCGTACCTACCCAGATTTTACGTAGAGTTACGCGTAAACTTGTAAGTACCAAATTATATCTTAATTTTCAAGTTTTTGTATTTTTTGGAATTGTTCATTTATTTGTGCTGTAAGACGTTTCTTTTTGTCAAATTTCGTGATTCTAGGTCAACGGGAACTACCATTTAGGTTTTCGACCCAAAACCTATAGGGTACTTCCGGTTGACCTAGAATTGTCAATTTTGGTTAAAGGCAAGTTCTTACAGCACAAGTAAAGAGGAAATTCTGATAAATAGGAAAACTTGAAAATTAAGGTACATTTTGGTACTTACGAGTTTTTGCGAAAATCGAAATTTTCCCATATCTTTTTATTGTGTTGACTCAGGACCTTGATTTGTATACACCTAATAGGGACCATAGATCTCAGTATCTGGTATAAATTTCAATTTGCTAGGTCTACCCGTTCCTGAGAAAATCAGTGGTGACACACGAACAGACGGATAGACGGACAAAAAAGTGATCTTATAAGGGTTCCTTTTTAACCTTTTGAGGTACGGAACCCTAAAAAGAACGAGTCGGTGTAAGTGACAGCTAATATTGCAAATATTGCCTATCACTTACACTGTATCGTACTACTGAACTCAGTATCCTAGATGAAGAATTTATTTATTTATTTATGGGACAGCCAGTAGTTGTTACATTATTTACTAAAATCTAAAGCATGCATCTATTAAGATTAATACACAACATTTTAAGGCGTCACAACAGAGCTTAATTTGAATGTTTTATTTGCTACTTAGTACATGCACTATATGCACCTTGGCAAATTCAATACGTGCCGAACTCGAACTTTTAGTTTGACACACGATCACTAATACTAAAATCGATTCCAGGTGTTCGAAATGCTCCGAGAGCAGTGAAGAGGTGGAGCCGCGCCACCTGCTGGGGCCCAACCGCGAGCAACTGCGCGTGCAGGTCATCATTGTACCACTCACCGACTACTGCCACGTGTCGCCGCGTTCATAGCGAGGGGGCGGCGACCGTGCCTTGCTGGGGCCCCACCTGGAGGACCTGCGCGTGCAAGTCGTCTTTGTGTCGCTTACCGACAACTGCCATGTGGCGCTTCGCTAATAGCGAGGGGGCGGTGTCCGCCCTCTGCTGGGGCTCCACTGCGAGCAGCTGCTGACTGACCACTGCTCATAGCTGCTGCTGCATTCTGTGTATTGTTGCGTTCGAGGCTATGCTGTGTTGAAAAACATATGTGAAATATTTATGTGTAATTAGGCGACGGCGAAACGGTTCAGTGCCTTTTCTTCCCTATATGTCTACCGATTTTCCGTGTTTAATAGTTGTTGACGATTTTAAGTGTAAAAATAATAAATCAACTTAATTCATACCTTAGACTCATTCAAGCTTAATTGTTATTATTAAATTGTGAATAGATATAATAGTTTTAATCATTATTCTAAAAAACAGTTGCTGGAATGAATCAACGGATTAGAAATAATATTTTAGACATTTAACTTTACTCAATGCTAGTTGGTATCGTCAATTCCAAAATGACTTGGTTATTCAAAATCTTACCACAGCTGGAAATGTTCAAGTAATTACCGTTATCTAAAATTGTTGTGTGTGTGTAATCGGTCACTGATATTAATTTTATTAATATATTTAAATAAAACAACTGACTGTTTTTTTGCTAATTTTATGTGTTTTACTATGTAATGTGTCTATAATAAATATATCTAAAGGAGAATGTTAATATTGATTGTTTTAAAATCTCCAAGAGTTATTAAAAGGTTGTTATATACTAAGACGTCGCTTGCTGTATTCTAATACACGCACAAATTAACAGCTTTTTTATAATAATAAGTAGGAAATTCTCCTAAATGTTTAGAGAAAAGTCAGATGGAGGTGTGTGGTTAGCGGAATTTATGCGGAAATGTGAGTATGACGAATCATTCCATGGTTCATCGTTTTAGAATTCTTCAGAATTGTGGCTACTTCCAAATTCGATCAGAGATACTTTCAAGCTGTTTACAATTTTATATAAAAATGTTAAGTTGGTTTGTGTACACTTCGAAAACTCAAATAGTTATGTACATATTAAGCTTTAATTTTGACACGATATACAACCCACTTCGTTTTGTTTCTCATTTCCCGTCAATGCAACCACACCGGAGCGCGGCAGGGTCCAGCTAGTTATGTCTAAAGTGAATAAAGTTTGTATTCGAATGATGGGAATTTTTAATAAACGTAAGTTTACTTACCTAAGTACTTGCACTGTTGTTATTTTAATTGTATTCTATTAATAACATGCCATTGTGTATCCTGTATGGTATTAATTTCTTGTCAGTTCGTTTATAATGATGACTAAAGAGGTTTTTGCTTTCGATGAAAATGATAATCGAATTTATTTAAAAAGAAGTTTCGGTTGATTGGACAAAAATGTAACCTAGTTTTACATATTTATATATGTCCTACCTTACTAGTAGGATTGAAACAAAAATGTGCCTCCTGTACAAAAAAATCAAACCAAGTTCTAGGGGTTCACAATATGTGTAAAATCTTAACTAACCTAAAAAAATACCAGTTGTGAAATTCTTTTGATGGCGCTGATGTGGTTCGTTTTGATTACTTATCCTTACTTCTTCCTCCTTTAATTTTTTTTTTGTGAAATTACAACCGGTAATTTTTATACATATATTTTTATATTGGATATAATATACATTCATTTTTAAGCCCTAGCCCTAGGTACTTGGTTTGATTTCTCTATAGAAATAACACCCTCTCTCCCTCTCTTCGACAACATAGTTGGACCTCGAGAAAACACCTAACTCAATCGTCAGCTACAGCTTCTGAAGCTTAAGTGATGATGGTGTAATTTGTGCGATATAAAGAGGAGTATTTGTTATACTGCCAGAAGTAAATATTATATGGATGCAAATGTTCCCTCGAGATGTATTCAAAGCTGTTGTATTATTGTGATTTAAATATAAATCGGTTAAAATTTAGCTGTTTTATTATGAATCTATACAAATATACCTACCTGTATTCATACATACATTCGTAGACCCGGAATATTTAAAAACATTTCTTACGCCTCCCGTAACATAGTCTCTAAGCCGACAGGGTGAGAGAATTGAGGGATGTATCTAATAGGGAATATCCACGTGACACCAAAATGGACAAAATATTTTTATTTGTAATTTTTATTGCTAAAAAAGATACCCCTACAATTATTTTTGAAATTTATTATAATTTAATAGTGAAATTTAATCATCAAAAATTGGCTTTTTTAAGATTCCCTCGCAAATTTCTAAAACGCAACGCTATTGGTTGAATAAAACGTGACGTCAACCCACACTGTCAAGAGCGTCAACAAGTTGTGTGTATTTGTAATATTTGGTTTCTGGTGATTATTTGTTTCATTTTAAGTTAATAACTAATACGTTTTCAGTGTTAAATTATTAAATTTCCGTGTAGAAAGACTCAACACAATGACTGAATATACTTTGTCAGGTGCAGATTTGATATTATTTGGGCACAAAGGAACGGCACAAAATAAGTTTTTATTGGCTTTTCCATGGTAATAAGTTAATTTTTATCACTCACTTTTTTAACTTTCAGAAACTTTGTGAACTTCACTTTGTTGTTGACATCCAATTCGTCTGAAAGTGTAATCTGACGTCACAAAAAAGCGCGCCAAAATGGACGTGTTCAAACTGCCCCAAAATGATAGTGATTTTAATAAATTTTTTTTGCTTAACGGTTTATATTTCGGATGTGTTATATTTATTTTTGGTAATGTAATAACTAGTAGAATCGTTTAAAAAAAAAAAAATACATGCATATTCCCTATTATAGTACATATATGGGAGAGGCGTCTAAGGCCATCAGATTAGTTAAAAAAATCGATGGTCAGAAATACTCGAACGTGTAAGATTTAGGCATGTTGGGTTAATTACATACACATCAGTTTATTTTTTAAAAATCAGACGATTTGAGCGTGACATAAGGCAGTAGGAGGGTCACAGAGTAGCAAAAATAAACATATGACCTTGTTTTTTTTCGAAACAAACAATGCAAGAAATCTTTAAATGTCTAAATAATTTTTAGTGTCTTTATTTGTCACATTTTGTAAAAAAATAAAAAAATCTAACCGTCAGATTTAAAATACCCTGTAAAATTATCGTCAGATTTTTGGCTAGCATGACAGGAACATCAAGTTGAACCGTCTGTATAAAATGTAACATGCTCGGTTTTTTCGAAATGGCGATTTTTCGAATTTGCAGTTTTGCATTTTCGAAAATTCATATTTTTGGTGTCCAAATAACATATCTCCAAAATATCTGATGCGCCTGAATTTTTTTTTCGATTTCCTTTCCTTACATTTTTGAAAACATGTAGCTTTACCACCGCTGAAAATGGAAACATTATACAACTTTTAGGCATTTTCCCCATTTAACATCATAGTAAATCTCCATTTAGCATCATAGGCTCCCCTACTACATAGGAAACCGATGTTAAGCATCGATTTTGTTGCTTTTCACTGAGTAACTGTGAAACTATATACAATTTGGTTCTGAATCCTCGCTGTTGGTCAGTTTTATTTTTAGTCAACTTGAAGGTTATTAAAAAAAAAACTGCGTACTTTTAAAGTATTTATTACACAATACACTATAAACAAGCTCCTTAAAAAATACATTGCCTAAATGTTTACTAGCGGATAATATGGTAAGGCATTGAAGGTGAAAAGTGACCATACGGCCATCAGTCGTGTTTTGATTCTTGTTATGTATACTAATACTAAAAATATCTGACACAATTTTGCAAATCCCGCTGATTATTTCGAATTGGTGTTGGGGATTACTGGGGAAGATGGGGAGGACACATGACCGATTGCTGTACTTGATTCATTATAAAAGTACGAAACAGTCAGCAACACATCATTATTGAGGACAGCTCTTATGTTTCACGATCTGTTAGAGAGACGCCAGAAGGCGTCGTCGGTGGGCTGCGTCGTTGCAACGCTCTGAGTGCCACACGAGCGCAACGTCGCAGCGCTGCATTTTAACGATACGACTGTTAGCGATACGATATTCTAAAAAAATATCGCACCGCCCCTCTCCCTGACTTGTCAGTTGTTTCAACGCACTGCGTGGCATGTCATTCAAATTTATATGTAGAACTACGGAGCGCTACCGCTCAGGCGTCGCAGCGCACCGACAACGTGTGGCATGTCTCTAACCAACTGGCTCAGTAATCCATATTATTAAGATCTTTATATATAATATATATATATAAGAAGAATAAATCTTTTACCTAAAAATTTCAATTTTTTGTCACAAGGTTTTCTAGAGCTTCTATAAGCCGGCTACACCTAGGGAAAGAAACCTATTGGCGAGTTTTCTAAAACCCGAGACGGTTTCAGGAAGGCTTTCATTTGTTTGAACTATTCGTTTTCACATTACACATATTTAGACATTTAGATGTACGATCTTTTACAACTTACACACATAAAAGAGAGTTAATATATGAAATGGCTTAGATTTTTGTCCATGCTGTTCGCATATTTCTTATAAAATAACTTTTAATATTAATTTTGTCTACTTTCCTCTCCACTCTTCCTCGATAGTAAACTGTAATAAATAGTTCCAAGTCAATAAACCAAATCATTTGTATCTCGAACATAAATGAATAACTATATTTTAGTGTTAAAAGCAGAAAACCATTAATATTTTTGTACATACATTTTTTCATTTTATTTTCGTTCTAAATGATCTTTAGGCCAACTTAAACAAATTAAACTCTTAATCGTTATATGACTTTCACTTAAACTACGCTTAACTATTTAGTACCTGTTTCAGAATGTGGTGACACAGAGGTACAAACATCTGTCATCATATGCAGCAATATAATTTTTTAGGCGATTCCGTAGTACGTTAATTTTTGTGGTATATCATTACACATTTATTTTAAGATATTTTTTAAATTTATTTTATTTTGAAAAATATATCTATTTTTTTCTTCTGAGCCTTTTTCCTGAACTTAATTGGGTCGGCTTTAAGTCTACTGCGATACAGCTGAACTTCGATTGTTTGTCGCCATCAGACCTCCACAACCCAAGAGCTAGACGATATCGAAGTTCTGTAGAAAGACTATTGTCGGTCTTTTTAAGGCTCCAATTATCCGTAACGATTGCCACATATGCTAGAATGGTAACCGGTACCAATGGCTTAACGTGCTGTTCGAGGCACGGAGGGGTCTCATTATGTAAAGAATGGTCACCCATCCACAGACTGACCTGGCTACGATTGCTTACCTTTGCAATTTAGCCACGAGCCCCTTAATTTTGTTTTATTATAATAATTATAATTACAAATTATGAAACAGGCGAATATACATACAAATTTAATTCATAATAAGCAGTTTTTTTTTATATTGCAACCCTGTTCCTCGCAAAAGAGTAACATGTTTACGTTTAATCTTTAAAAACATTATGTTTCTTAATTCCTTACTTTTATCAGGAGTTTGTATGTATACATTGTATATCGTATTGTCTTTTAAAAATACTGTCTGAATATAACAACTAGTGATGTTGTTTTATAATTGATAGTCTACAACTGAAACATAAGATAAAAAGTATGTTTAACATTTTGGAAATAAAATTTCATTACGTCTAAAATTCTAGAATAACCGTGTTTAAAAAAGTAATTTTACTTTTAAAGAGAGTAAAAGCAATACAAATTACCTACTTTTTTTTTACAAAAAAGAATACGTTTAAGTACTACGCTTAATTGAGCTATAACTGTTAGTATTCGCTTGTTTTCGCAATACATAAAATTATTCAATACACAATGGATGGAACATTAAATGCTGAATTTCTGAATTAGAATTTATTTTGAAAAAAAAAAAGCAAAATGATAGAATTGCTTTTTGGTATCCACAGTCTTCAATTCCTTACTAAATAAGCTATGGTTAGTTGCAATATCGTTTAGTTATTGTCATAAAATTTATAAAAAAGAAAATACTATTCGGAAAATTTTTGATTTTAAATGTCTCACTTGTTATCACAGTGTTGCATTACAAGAATATTATGATTCAAAAGGCTTATAAATGTATAGTATATAATATATGATCAAACGAACTTCCAAACTGAAGTTCGATCATTATTATATTTTGACGCTTCACTCTTTAAATATAAAGGTCACAAATATAGTACCTTCAACTTACAAGGTAACTTCGCACAAAAAAAAATACCAATTTCTTAGCGTTCCATGGATTCACAGTGCGGGTGTCGGGTCCATCGCGTGATAGATGGGGCAGCACATGCGACTTCGACAGCGCCTGGGACTTGCGACCCAAGTATACGTTTACGGAGTACTCCTTGCGGCGCGTCAGCACTCACCTCCACTGTCCGCTGTGTTACGATATCTGATACGAGCCTAGCAATGCCGCTTTGGATATACGTTCAAGAAAAGAGCTTATTGAAGATCTTAAAAGAAAAATCAGTTTATGAATTTCTAAACGCAACTAAAAATATTCCCCGCCACTTCCGGATGGATGGGGCTGTAGACACCTTATGTGGTCGTTTATATGCTAAGATATAATCGGAATCTGCTCCTTAAATCCCCTGTGACAGCTAAATAATTCACTAAGGTGGTGGCTGGACAAATATTTTTGTGTGCCTCAAAAAATAGTAAAAATAAAAATGGTAGCTTACCCCCGCATCTGATCTATCGCGATGATTGTCACTGTGACAAGGAAATGGTCGTTGCCTAGCACGGAAGATGAATGAAAAATGGCAGCCGTGCAACGCAGGCCTTGTAGGTTAAAGGTATTACATTTGTGATTATTACTTTATATCTGAAGAACGAAGCGTCGAGATATAATAGGTACGTATGACGAATATATGGACTCACATTCCACAAGCACCAGATCAACCACACGCGTGTACAACACTTATTACATTTCACGGTTAAGTAATATAATTTTTAGTTTACACATACACATGCTTGAGATGAGAATAATTACCCAAATTTAAATACAATATCGGGAGGTTTAAGGTCATCTCCAGCTTTAAATATTTCATACTACTATGAGTTATGTTCAATATATTTGTGACCCAAAAGTCGCGACTTAACGTTGCTGAAACAAAATGGTGAGAATTTTTCAAAACTTTCATTTTTATCATAAAAATGGTTTTGTATAAAAATACTTTTAAGTCGGTCATAGAAGAAGCTCCTTTGGGAAGAGATTCATCGAAGCGTAGTCCAGCAGCACCTGTTACAGATATAATATGGACGAGTTAAACGTTTTGATTTCTGAACATTTGGAGATAATAATATACAAAAAACAGGACACTCAAATGCCGTAATGTTATAAAGTAATAGTTACTTGCAGGTGAATACAAGATTTTATGTAATACCAGTTTTTGCCAGAGGTTTCGTTCGCTAAAAATTTATTTTGCGACTAATGGTAGTGACAAAACCCACGAAAACGTCGACTCGATGGAGTGGAATAAGAAGGGCTCGATCGACACCCTACCTCTTTTAGCCTATCGGGAGTAGGCGCAGGCACTTCGAGCGAAGAACCCAGGGCGTCCCGCAGCTTGGAGCCGTCGAGGCACAGTTGCTTGTTGAGCAGCAGCTCCACGCCCGCGGACGGCTCCAGGGGGGTGTGCTCCAGCGAGTACTTGCGGCAGATGTCGGCCCACGCCGTCAGGTGCTTGTCGTTAGCTTCCTCCGCCACCGACGCGATGTCGGTCTAAGGAACAACACTGTATTCATTTACACTGTACTCGATACTAGTATTCTATAAGTCCAGTAAAGTGTAACAAGGAGGGAATATTAAAGTTTTCCAATTATTAAGATCGAAACTATTGCAATACATATAGGTACTATACTACGTTATCTGCTTTATCGGACAAACGGTATGAGAGTTGAACGATTGTGGTATACATCAAACTATATTCATATTATATTTTGGATACGTAATGACGTAATGACTCCTTCAATATTAGAATTAAAGTGAAATCAATATCATATATAATCAATATGTTAGTTTTTGACACACAATGGATGGGACGGGATGTTATTGCGACACTTTTTCCAAGTAACATGTTTATGCTGAGAATAGTGATGTGCCAGCTATATGAGGGTATAAGATGATCTAAATCCGCATCAGTTACCTTTTCGCATATCCTAAACGGATCTTTTACTTTGGTATCGTAAAATATTTTGATGGAATTATTTATTTATTTAATATTTTATGCACAAAATTTTACAAAAGTGGATTTAATGCCATAGGCATTCTCTACCAGTACCTAATTAAAGATTAAATATTAAAATCTGTATTTAATGTTGTGAGTTACTGCTATTATGAATAAGTTATATTGAAATATCTTTACAAGATCAAATCTCAAAAATCTGATATGTGTATTAAAATAATTATTCCAAAACGCGCGCGAATTTAAGTCCACACATGTCATTTTATTTAGTCTTAAACTATTGTTTCAAAGTCCTATCACTAATCCAGAATCGTAACGTACCTTGGCTAAAGTAGAAATAGCAGTGCCATAATAATCGTGATTGATCTTGAATATCTCAGCTACGATCTCCGCCAGGCTTCCTTGGGTGCTGTTAGCTTCGTCCACAACGTTGTAAGTCTGTCTGTTCGCCTCTGGTTTAGTGCCGAGGGCCCATATAGCGCGGCACACGTCCCTCACGTGGACCGTGTTCATCTTGAGGTCCGCCGTCCACAGAAGTTTCATGGTCTCATTGATATGCTTGTAGATACCGCCGTATAGGAGACGTGGGGCTATGTTGAACGTATATCAATTAAATATACTGTGTTCTATTCATAAAAAATACATATAAGAATGCTGTAAAATGAGCGTTATCTAGACCGAAACTAAGTATAGTTTTGATTAACTACTACTTTTTTAAATGTATTTTTATTCCGGTCTTAATGAAGTTCTGTTATGTATTTTTAGGAAACAAGATTAAAGAGGGCGAGTCGTTTGTAGTAACCTGTTGTTCCCTTAAGAAATATTTCTTGTGTTCTTAAGGAATACATTAGTGCTTATAAGAATGCTTGTAGTGTGTTTATGTATTCTTTACATAATCACACTACTTCTTAGTGAACCAGAATGGTGCCAGTGCATCATTTATATCTAATACATATAGGTAAGACTATTGTCGTAATAATAAGACTATTCTCTCTTTTCTTTCTAGACGTAGAAACGTAGAAAGAAAAGAGAGAAAAATCCAACAAGTTTACAATTACTGACGTAAGGAGGTGCACCTGAACTCAGAAAACATATATTATCGATGAAACTCGTACGTGTGTAATTTTTCATCACTAACCGCAAGGTCCATAAAAATAACGAATAGGAAAAAACCGTTAACATAGAAAGGTGTTTTAAAATTGCTAATAAAAATACACAGAGAATATAATTAAAAACCTTAGCTGGTTTAACTGGTAATTTTCCAGACAACTTACTTAAACTCCGCCTATCGCCGATACCATAAACTATCCCCGGCCTGATGATGGTGTAATTCAGCTCTGACGACATGTTCTTCAGTTCCTGCTCCACTTTGTTCTTCATTTTACCTTCTACTGTCCACGGGTCTACTGGACCGTCTTCTTTATGAGGCTAGAATGTACAAAATGATAAATGTATATTTACATTACACCTGAAAATCATTAAACTCTACGACGTAGTGCCAAAAAGCTCATATTTTCTATTTTCTCTTAAGTTAGTACTCTATCGAGAAGAGTTAATACTCTATCGCTAAAGTTGTTGAAGACTGGAGAATGTTTTTTTTTTTAAACGGGTCAATTACGAGTCTACGCTCAGATATAGCGCTATCCAACTTTCTTCATTCCAGTCTATAGATGACAAAAAATAATTTTAAACACGTTTTGATTAGTTTGTTACAGGTACATGTATTATTTCTGAATGGGTCGACTTTGAATTGAAAGCAGTTACTTACTTTCTTGACAGTAGCATAGATGAATGATGATTTGAATTATCATTTCATTAAAATAAAAATAGAGTAATGTATTCTCAATAATAAAACTATAAATTTTCTTTATTATTTGTACTATCCGAACAGCAGTTACTGCTACAATATTCTATTGTAGCTGTAAATCTCGAATATCTGGAAACAATAGTTTGCAATTTCAGACTTTTATGTTTGCACTGCACTACATCTTTTAGTAAAGTTGACTTGATTTTTTACATCTTCGATGGACCACCAATATAAGCGATTGATGATAATTTTTAACTCCCGACGGAAAACGAGGGGTTTTATAAGTTTAACGTGTGTATCTGTCTGTCTGTCTGTGGCGTCATAGCTCCCGAACGGATGGACAAATTTCGATGTAGATATTCTGGTTCGAAAGCCTATGTGATCGAGATGGTTCTAACTATAAATTTTGAAGATCATCAGTTAACTTCCCAGGTGATGAAGGGATCTCGCTAAAATCTTCAGGTTCGATTGATCTGAAATTTCGTATACTGTTACTTTGATAGTATTTCCACGACATGGTAACCTGGTACTTGCTGCTGCATCAAGTAGTCCGCGGGATAGCCAACATATACATATAAAATTACAGCATATACCATGTTTGGGATTTATACTGTTTTTTTTTTGTGTCGGGGTTTTTTTAATATTGTGTTATAACTTAATATCCTCATGTATTATTAAAAAAATGGCTTTGTAGAAAAATAGAAAGATAAGTAAGTAATCTTACAAGGGTCCCTTATTTCCTTTATAGTAATGGAACAAAAAGGTTTGAATGCTCCGTAATTCAAAAGCATCCTCACTTCCTCTGATACTAGTGAACCTATGACGTCATGTTAGCGAGACAATATCAGAATGACGTCACCTCTTCAATGTCACACCAGCGAACAAGTTTACGAGCAACGGACGGAAGTGAGGGTCCTTTATCACTGAATATATTATTACCCTTTTAACAGCTTTAATAAATTGTGACAATACAAATATTAATATGATTCTAGTACATGTTCGAACATTACTTCAAATATTTAGAACGTTAGGAATTCAGTGCACGCGTGTGTGTGTAGGATTAACCTTTTAGTAGGTAGGTATCTATATAAATCGAGGTCTGGTGAAATGAATTCACTGGCATATAGATAGTCAGCCAATTGTAAAGAGATTCGTAACCTAATAATACCCTATCCGCTCGACTTATTTCGACCTAATTTGGCAAATGGAGTGGCTTTCAAGGTTCTCAGGACTCGAGAGGTTCATGAAAGTGGAGATGCGGTGAAAAACTAAAGACACATAACTTGTACTATACATCTATGATAATCTATAAAAAAATAGAAATATAAAACTGAAGCGTTCAATCACTGAAGCGTTGAACGCTTTAATTTTAGAAACTACTTGTTCGATTATTTTTTTAACGTTAAATAGCCCATTTTTCCAAGGAAGAAGAAAGGCTATTCGCTATAGGCTTCATAACGCCAACAACACATTATTAAAATGTTGTAAAAATTGAAACATTTAACAGTCAGCTAGTAAAGATAAAAGGCTGTACGGATGGCATAGTGGTTTAAGCGGTCGTCACCCCACTCACTGCTATGCTGAGTGTTGTGCGTTCAATTCAAACATGGGACGACACTTAGTGTTATCCACAAATTGTTGTTTTTGTTGTCTTTTTAAAAAAGGAGAAAAAAAGGCATTATTCTCCATAATGTAGGGATGCAGTAATTAATATGCTTAGGTGGATAGTAGGACGAAGTATCTAAAAACGCTTATAAATAAACCATGTGCTGCAAATTCTTATATTATAAAAACCAATGCAATACAGAATAGAATGTCTTGACTTTAGGCAAGTATTTTCACATGGGCCTTCAGTATTTTCATATAGAGCCTTATTTTTTAATTATGGAGATGGAGATTTAAGAAGATAACTCACCTTATCACTACTATACATCTGTCCACTGGATATCTCTACCAGCCGCGGCACCTTCAACTTGGCGCATTGCTTAGCAACATTTGCACTGAGGGTGAAGATGCCCTCCGAGTACACAGCCTCCGTCTGTCCGACCCTGGTCTCGCCAGCGCAGTTTGCCACCAGGCCCCAGGGGGAACCGTCGCCAGGGTCCAAGGCTGATGCACATGACGCTGTAAAGAGGATTATTATAATTTGATACCACCGAACCAATAAACCTTATAAAGGGAATACTATAACCGAACTTAAATATCATTAATATTTTAAATGCTTTTGAATTGAGATTATTTTTTGCTACACATAAGTATATGTTTTAACTACGCAACAAATCATAGTGACATTTAGTACACAAATAATCAAGAGTAATATCTAAGGCTTGAGTCGATGTAGATCCACAAAGTACTGCTTCTGATTTACAATATCTAGGTACATTCATGCGAGCGAAAATAATTGAATTGAAAAGTTTCTATAGTCAGAAGATTTCGCAGGATTGCCAATTCTCCTATTTTAATATTGTATTTAATATTTTAATAGACTGTCGATGGAATGTCATCGGAATAGTTTTGCACTTTTCTTATACTACTAAATATGTAAGACCAATGTCCTTGACTTGTCACTGAACTGCCACTGATACAAATGTCGTCCATGTTTTTGTAATAGTTTGGTAAATAGTACATTTTCAATTAGTAATGTAGTGATATATTTATTTGCCAGATATTGCAATGTTGTTGTTATAACCATTGACGAGCCATTGTTACTACATCGAAAGTCTATTGAAACTGTGAATTTATGTTAGTAAAATACCCATATTATGACCGATGCCAATGGCATCTCAAAAGCATGTCAATGGAATGACAATGGGTTGCGCGTAAACATGAAATAGCAGAATTGAGGCCCAGCTCTCTTGTATTCATGCTGTCAGGAATCTTAGAAGTGTTGGATCCAGTAGTGTATTGGTACGATACTAACCATACATATACATCAACAGGGTAGAGATTTACCGGTGTAATAGCTTATTTGGGTTAATGGTAAGTACTTCTCTGAGTAATTAATTATTTAGTTTTTGTACTTGTTTGCTTAATTCATATTTTCGAAAACCACGATTAATTTTAGTGTGAACTTTCTGTAATTGCTATTTTCTATTTTGAAAGACTGGAAAATAGATAATTACAGTGTTTCATGATTATTCTACTGGTGAATGGTGTGCTAGCTTGTCCTCACTATGCACGTACTTTCAGTGCTAAGATAGGGTACGCAAGCCACATCAGTACACATGCTCGAAACTAGGACTCCCCAAACATAAGCAGTCACCATGACTGAAATCGGCATGGGATGTATATACTGGTGATATATCTTTTAAAAAAGTAACCGACTTCAACGCAACCCTACGTTATGATGAATTAATAAACAGTATTTAATTAATCCCGTCCTCATGACTGAATTTTAAGATTGATTAAATACAGTTTCGTCAGGTCGTATCTTTTCAAATTTGAATGGGACTAAAGGAAGGTATACCCTTTTAAATAAAAATCTTCTGAATTAGTTCATGAATGGCTGTTCTGAGGTAACAAACATAAAAAGAAAAAAATATTACAGTCGAGTTGTGTACCAATTCCCTTCTTGAGATCAGTTTACAATAATGGTTATACGTTTGGATATTTAAACTATTATGAGGATAATAAATAATAAAGCATGACAGTGTTGAATCTCGTAAATTTTTATTTCGTCAACATGTCTTTATCGGAAGCATTCGTGCAACGGATAAATTTCTCGTAATAGATAATCTTGATATATGTATATTTGTGTCCCAAAAACAAAGCAGTAAGTATTTCAAATGTACATACGTACATACGAGTATTTTGAATTATGAATAGAACTGGACTGTGTCTAACCAACAATACATAGATAAGAGGTATGAGTCACAAATAAATGTTACAATTCAATATCCTCAGATACAGGGAAAAATTAATATGTATTGACAGGACTTCAAGGAAACTTGATCGGATACATAAAGTCGTTAACAATACTCATAGAATGGCCGGTTATTATTTTCATTTACATATATTGTGTATGCATGTTGTATTGTTAACAAATTTGTTTCGTAGCCTATTGTCGCACCTTATGAAAAAGGTAGTATGAGCCAACCATGTCGCGGCTTTTAATACATTCTGTTTGTCTGTTAGTACTTTTAGTTCAAATCAAAGAGAATACAGGAATTGTTTTCTACATCTAACTATTTGAGCTGTAAGTTTAGACAAAACGAGTCTTCCGAAGATGATAGATTTTTTATTTTAATTTTTTCAAAAAAGACAACTCCTGCATTAGGAATATATCCTGTGTCGAGGGGGACCTTACAAACATACATAAAACGGACACAAAGAAACACCCAGACTCAGAACAACAATTTGTGGATCACACAAAGTGTCGTTCACACACACAGTACACACACCCATGTGGGTTCAAGCCCCACATGGGACTGTGGAGCTTGAACATACAACACTCGACGTAGTAGGAAGCGGCGCGCCATCCGTGCAGTCAATTGATCTTTATTTTAAGTAATATAAATAATAAGTCATTCAAATCTAAATCTAAGTATTTAAGTAATGGTTTTCTTGATAAGAATCTTTTGAGGATAGATTGGTTGAAAATTATTTGAATTTATCACAATCTCTTGGCAAAAAGGGACATTAGAATTTTTTAAAGTTCTTTTGCGCAATATTCACAGCGGATAGTCTTTGTCGATTTGCTGGCACTATTCTTTATCTCATAACTCGAACCAGGTAAAGTCACTGATTCTCTAAAAAATCAAGCTTTTAAGTAAATGTACTCGAAAGCCATACCTGGTATAGGTATGTCTTACGAGTACATTTACTGGTGCCTGAAACGGCGTGCGGTTTTTAGTTGGTTGGAGCCCGTGTCGTCTGTATGGACAGACCGACTCAAAACTATGGTCCTTTCTTCAAAAGGCCTATCCAGACCCTATACTGTACTTGTTGTTTTATTTAACTTAGTTTACGGACCAAACAAAAAAATACACTTCTGTGGTTTGTTTCGGCGTTTCTTCCCAGAGTAAGTTTTAGGAAATGTCGGCTCCTTCTAGCTGTAAAGTCGCACTTGTAAAAATATATGAAAAGATTTACTTACAGAAATAAATATCATTTATCAACATTTATCGAAAGGGCTTTCCCCACAGAAAATAGAAAAAAAGTGTGGACCCGGCAAGGCACCGGGAATAAGGGAGTACTTAGTTTTGACTTGACGATGATTTAAAAATTGTTATTTAGGCTCGATATCTACACATGTAAAATAAATAAATTCAACATATTAATATCTAGAATACCCAATGCTGATACAGGAGGACAGGGCGTTCCTATTTGTGCCGGCGCAATGGAAGTTAATCTTATTATTGTATCGTACACATATAACTAAGTTAATAACTCCGGGCTTCACATGAGGGTGCCACTTTGTATCGTAATTAAATTGCAGATACGTATGTCTTGTTTATAAAATATATTTTTAGAAGAAAATGCGTATTAAAAATACACACATTAAATACAAGTAGCTGGTTGATGCTAGACTACATAATATACAAGTGGTTGGTAATGAATGCTATTACGTCTAAGTTCCAGATCTAACCCACGAGTATTGCAATTTGACATTAAAAATAATATATGTTGACATTAAAAATAAAATAATATACTTGACGCACCTAACAGATCTTCTGATCTCAAATTAAGCAGAGCCTGCACTATGGCAACGAGACTATAGATGAAAATACTTATATATTACTAAGTATATACATCATCAACAGCCTTTAGTAGTCCACTGATGGACATAGGTCTCTTCTTAGAAAAGAGGTTATGGCCTACTATACCACGCTGGCCAGACAGGTCGCTACAGGCAGGGTTTGTTTCGAGTTTGCATACACACGTACATACTACATTTTATTACGTACAGAAAAATTACACCTAGACACGGAACAAATTATTTACACATTTTTTTTGTCATATGCGGGTACTGAAAACACGATCTCTGGCTTAAAATACAGGATTATAGAAACTAGACCAACAGGCTAGCCATATGTATATCATATTACATATATGCAGATATTTGGAATCGATGCGTCTTTACGCATCGATTCCAAATATCTGCATATGTGTAATACAAACTGAGTTTGTATTCGCCTGTATTTATATATTATTATGTATATTTACGATACTAACCTTGTTCAACATGGAACTTTCTCTGTGTTTGTGACTTATTAAATGTGTTTGTGTGTGTTGGGTATTAACATATAAAACCAGTGCTACAAATGTGTGTCGAAAAGTGACTCAAGCTCCAAAATATCAACACACACTGTTAACACACAAACTGTGGGTTGCTTATAAACCGTGCAATGCAACGGTGACATTTAAGACCTGTATTGAAATAACATGGTGTAGAAGTAACATTGAAACATAATATGATTTGATTATATTAAATAAGAATCAATAAGAGAAGAAGAAGAAGAGCCCAATAATATCAAATAATCTATTACAACCGGTCTATATATAGGTATTACGTTCGACTAGATACAATATGTGCTGTCATCGAATGAAACCCAAATAAATAAATATTTTGTAGTTAATAATAATAGTAAGTAACTATACGTAGGAGAGTCATGCTTCAGCATAAATGAGCCGGCTCTACCAGTGATACCACGCCCTAACAAAAAACCGGGCCAAGTATTACCTCCCCATAAGTGCACCTACCTCATGCTTTCTTTGCATCGCCCAATCGTTCGACTGGCAGAGAACGCCTTAGGCATTAAGTCCGCCGATGCATATTTGTGACAAAAATGAAAACTTGAAAATTTATCATTTTTTGATTATAACAGGTTTTTTTGTTTTTTCGATTCGAAAAATTCCGACATAAATATATATCTATGTTGTACGTAGGTACATACACAATATATGTTCATATTATATATACTTAGTTATATCATCAATGTATTTCAACCTAAACTCAACTCTCGCGTAAACGGGGCCAATATATGTAGATATACTTATATACGCCGCGAGTTCAATGGTTTTTGCCCATTTCAAAAATATTTTCTTTATTTTGTTGTTCAAAAATGCCTAAAGAAGTTTTCACTTCAAAAATAACTGGTTTCGTACAAAGATTTTCATCTCCT